TATCCACTATCTCAATTGATGATTGGAAAGTGGTGAAGAGTCCAATGATCGTTTCAAATTAAAGCGGTTGGTTGATTATGAGAGAGATCTACTTTTAATCGTTGATTTCAATGGTATTTGCAAAATCATGATTCTATGAGCCTTTTATTCAATCCATAAACTAGTTCAATTGAAATCAACGTACTCCACAATTTGAACTTGAACAAGTTGTTTTTGATTTCAATTGTTTATTGTCCCCCACGAAACACTCGAACAAATTGTGTCACTCTCCCCACCCCCACACAGGAAATTTCGGTCTGGTACGGGACACACGCTTTACACAATGTGGCCCTTCAAAAACACAACCGAAGTGTCCTTAACGGGCGGTTAGTTCAGTGGTAGAATAAGTGCCTTCCAAGCACTAGGCATGGGTTCGATTCCCGTACCGCTCAGACCTTATTTTTGACGGGCGCAAATTCCCGTTTTTTTTTTAATTCTACAATATTGTTCGAAATCATGAATAAATAACCGTTATGATAATGAATAAATAGTATATCTCTCACCCTAAAACATCTTTCAAGTTTAGCTCACCACTTCCACGTTGTAATGGTTGAGGTTGATTCCCACTTTCTTTCCATCCAATCATAAACATGACTCTGAAGGTCAATGGTAAATGAGAAACATCAGCCTCTCCATAGAATTTAGAGTAAATAGCTTGTGCACTAATCAGCACATCTCTATCCAAGTTTTCAAATCCTTGCTTATTAGCATTGTTTTCACCCATTAATTGTAAATCTTCCATCATGGCCAAAATATCTGGATAATCCACTATAATCTCTTCAACATCAATTGTAACCATATTAAACTTAGCCATTTTCAGCAGGTTTGTCATATCATCAACTTTTATCATTGGAGAGATTCTACTCATTGACATCCCGTTTTTCCTTTCCAATTCGGCCAATTGTAATGAAGTTCTCAATTCAAATATGGAATCCTCACAAATCATACTTCCTAAAAACAATCCATCTGGTTTCAAACAATTGTTGATTTTTTTCAGAGTTGTTGGTAAATCATTAATCCAATGTAATGATAAATTGGAAACAATACCATCAAATTTATTTGCTTCTAATTCTTTATGATTCAGTTCTTCTTCATCAACAACAAGTTTTCTAACTTTCAACTCAGTATTAAAAGGATCATCATCCCATCTATGCAACATCTCCTTACTAGAATCAACCATCAATATCTCACCAATTTTGTTTCGAACCAATCTGGTATCTTCATCATCTCCTTCATTCAACACTTTAGCGAAATTCCCTGAATGGGAGCCAAGATCCATCAATTTTGGGAAGTCTCTTTTAATAAATGATAATCTCTCGATTGTTCTTTTAGCAACTTCATTTCTTAAATATTCAACTTTTGAAGTATTTGACAATAATTGTGCCATTTTTTCACGTTGTTTCAATTTGACTGAACGATCAAAGACTTCGTACGGTTTTGAAGCGAAATTTCTTGTAGAAACATGACAAAATGAGTTCCTCACTCTCAATGGCCTAATTGAAATCATTTTCAGTTTGATTTGACACTTTTTCGATGTTTTCAAAGTAAATTTGTTTTTTGTATGGAGAAAGCTCTATCTCTCGAGCTTTTTTCCTTTGAACAAAAAAACAAAAAAAAAATCTACATTATTGAAAATTGTACTATGAGAAACCAACATCAACAACAATGCTGCTTCGCTCAACCACAAGATGCTGCTCCCGTATAAGGACACAGAGACTGCTCACTCTGTTCATAGAGGCTCGTCGACATGGTCACTTTCATGCTTTGGGAAACAAACCCCATAAAAGTGCTGAGGAACGTTTGGCTATATCTGTTGGACCTTTATACGAACTGATTGAAAAACAAAAGCTAAATGTTAAATCTCCAGATAGTTGTGGGAATACATTATACTCACTAAAGAATTTCTATGAAGAAAATATTGCAGTTATTGAAACAGAAGAATTACTTGCTAAATTTCTTTCCATAATAAGATCAAAATTAGAATCTCATCAATCTATAACAAACGGTTATTTTTTCCAATTAATACATATAGTGAAAAAGCATAATCTCCTTCAAGCGAAATTTTATCATCAACTGTTATTTGATTTGGCTATTTATATGGTGGAAGTTGATAATGAGAATGCACCAATAGATGTTCAAATCTTGGAGATGGTTTCAAATTCATTAATATTTTCAAAATTTTTGAAAGATCCAAAGTCTAAAAATTTTGCAAATTTGATTAATTATAGTATAATGATTCAAAAATTGAATGAACAAAAATATTTTGAAGAATTAGCACCAAAATTAGTTTTCCAAATTGTTTATACCCCATTTTTAAGACAATTGAATAAAGAACAATATGTTCTACGAACCATCAATTTATCAAATGCTTTGGATTTTGTTCGTTATTATGAAAGTCATCCACATGTTTATAGACATTTATTGAAAATGATCAAACCAGATATTATCACATCTTTGGAATGGGCTATTGCAGCAGATGATATTCCCAAAATTAAAGAATTATGGAGATTTTATATCAAAAATTATGAATATTTGATAAGTGAAGATTTCCAAACTTTATTATATCAAAGTATTGAGAATGGGAATGCTATAATGCTTGGTCGTTTATTATTAAAACGTTGGAACTTTAGAAATAGTAAACCAAAATTTTCTAAAATTGCTCAAAGGCAAGTTGCTTCAATTTTGTTGAATCATGGAGATTATGATGGTTTTTACAACTTTTTTGAATTATCAGAAGATTGTCCAGTTTGGGAAAGATCTTGTTTAATTGAACCATTTTTGGATTCAGTAACTCTAATTGATTATTTCAAATTAATTAATGAAGTTACAAGATCTGATGAAGTGTTATTATCAAAAGATTTTGATTATTTAGTTTCATCCTTTTATTCTGAGCTTAGAAAGAGAAACGCAAAATTAACTCTCGTTCAAATTGAAAATTTGGTGAATGAGACGATATTACAATCCAAAGATCTTGAAAACAATGTGAAGTCACTTTATATCAACTGTTTCTTAAAAGCATTGGCAATGAAAACAAACATAAGTGGTGTGATTCATGGTTATTGTCAACTTCCTGTCCAACTTTTCACAAAAGAAACTTTTAAAATTTTGCTAAACACATTTACAGCAGATCCATTGCATTGTTCCAAAAGAACTTCTGAATTGTTTAGGTTTGCCTCAAACAATTTGGAAATACAATTCACAATCCAAGAGTATAATATGATTATTAGAAATACAGTTGATAATGATGAGTTTGTCGACTTTCATCAAATATACTATTATTATTATCAATATCTGAAAAGAAATGATGTTTCATTTCTACCTCAAAGATTGATTGATTTAGTTTTGACCAATAAACAAGCTAAGAAACGATATAAACGTTTGGAATTGACTGATGATCTTGATGAACTTTTAGAAGGTAAATTTACTTGTTTGGCAACTATTATCAAAGCTAATGAAAAACAATATACTCAAACCCCTTTGGAAATTCTGGAATTAGTTATTAATAAAATTGGAGCAGACCAGCTCAAAGCTTTAGGAGTTGATCTTTTTTCAAAATCTGTTGAAAATTACTATCTAGAAGATTATGAACCATCTGACACATCAGAAACTGAATTTGATCATTATGATCATATTGATGCTAAAAAATTGAAAATGAAGCATAGAATTTCCATTCAAAATTTCATAGAGAATGGACCTCAGAATATTGATGGACAGGTTTTGAAAGTCGGATCGACATTTCTACAAGAACTGGAAACAGATGATGCCATGTTTACTGAAAATTTTGAATCAATTGATGAGGAAGATGCTAAAATTATTGAAGAATCATTTGATGATATTCGTGATCCAATTGATGAACCCCATGATCCAGCTAGTGAGACTCATGATCCATCTGGTGAGACTCATGATTTAATTGATGGGACTCATGATCCAGTTGGTGAGACTCGTGATCCATCTTGTGAAGCCCATGATCCAGTTGATGAAACCCATGATTTAGTTGGTGAGACTCATGATCCAGTTGGTGAGACTCATGATCCAGTTGGTGAGACTCGTGATCCATCTAGTGAAGCCCATGATCCAGTTGATGAAACTCATGATCTAGTCGGTGAGACTCATGACCCAGTTGATGAACCCCGTGATCCAATTGATGAACCCCATGATCCAGTTGGTGAGACTCGTGATCCATCTAGTGAAGCCCATGATCCAGTTGATGAAACTCATGATCTAGTCGGTGAGACTCATGACCCAGTTGATGAACCCCGTGATCCAATTGATGAACCCCATGATCTAGCTGATAAAACCCATGATCCAGATGAACAAAATCTCACTCAAGAGAAATAATTAATTCTTTCTCATATTTTGAATTCCCTGATAAATTCCAATCCGTTTCACTAAGTAATTTTATCACTTGTATATACTTCTCACGATTAGCATTTGCATGAACCATTTTTTCATTGTAGATATTGAACAGTTCTTCACTTGCCAAAACACGCACTCTTGCAATTGGATGTTTTGAACATAGCCAGCATAACCTCTCTAAAGGCTCTTTCAATCCAGGAATATGAGCTAAATAACCAAATATCTTGATTGAACTTGTTAATCTATTGATATTTTTGGTGTTCAAATGAAGATTGTAGATTCGAACATAAAGTCCCTTAACTGGAAATTCTTTAGGAATTAACAAATTGGAATCTAAAATTCTTGACCAGAATTGTAATCCAACAAGTATAGTTTTATTTAATCTTTGAGCTTTTGAATTTTGTCCTTTCAATGCTTGTGGTTCAATTTTGATGACAGATGCCAATTGTAATAAAATTTCCTTTTGTGCTTCGCTTGATAATGTCTCATAAAACCTCAAAACACATTTCAATGATGCAATAATCAAAGAATCAGTGGATTTTATAGCACCTGCTGTGAAGATAAAACCTTTCCAAAATTCTTTACTAGTTTCTTTATCCCCCATAAACAACTTTTTATAGATGTTCAACAATTCTGTGAAATAGCCATCTAATGAATGGAAAGTGTGACCTGGAATCCCATAAAATTTCATCAACAAATGGAAACTATCAGACCTTGTTTTATCAATTGGTTCACATGAAAGTCTCAACAGCTTTGGGATAACCAATTCGGATAAAGATGAATCTTTAAAAACATTGATGTTATGTTCAATCAGCTTAATTGTCTGGGATCTAATCTTGTTACCAACATCACCTTGTTCTGAAATTGTATAATCATCCAGTTGTTCCACTAGCTTACCAAGGATCTCCTTATCTAGTTGGTTGTGATATAAATAAATTGATATTGAAGATATTATCGAGGCCTTGGTATCAGCATCAACCCGATCGATTGAAAGTAAATGAACAACATCACTGACTTTGGAGCCAAAATCTGGAAAATAACCAACACTTGAAGATGTATTCAAGTTATTATTTCTCATATAGTATATCCATTTATCCCAATATTTTCCACTCAATGTAATTTTGGATACAATCTTGATCAAAACTTCTTTAATTTCTTCATTGTCCACCCTTATAGCGTCAAATAAATTTTCCAATAACCAATCATCCAATTCATACCCTATCTCAAGAAGGGTATTTAACAATGACAAATATGAGGTGATCATAGAAACTGAGTCCTTGTGGTGATTCAACTTTATCTCTTGAAAAGTTGACTTTAATTGAGGGTATTGTTTGTTTTGGGATAATGGTAAAATTTCTGATAACACAATAAATGCATTAAACTTTTGACTTGATTTGTCGAAATGACTGGATATTATAGAATGAACGACGTCTTGTGGCTGGCCAGAGAGCAAGTCTTTCAATGCTCGGGAGCTTAATTTAACAACATCATAATCCAAATTGTAAACATTTTGTGATAAAAATGAAATGAAGTTTTGCTCCAACCCTGGAAAAAGAGATATAACTTTACTTGGTATATCAAAATATGATTTTTCAATAGACCCTAGATCGATATAATCCAATATTTCAATTAACCTTATATTTTTTGCGGAATTTTCCTCTGAAGGATAAATTTCCTCCCAAATTTTATTACCATAACGCCCAATCAATTCCTGTAAGGCAGCAGTTGATGAACGCCTTATCATTATCTCTTTATCAAAGCAAGTTACCAACAAAAGTTTTTTGAAAACGCTAAATGCTGTTGACACATCAATATCTTTGTTATACTTGAACAATGACCAACTTATGAAATTGGAGGCATCTCGAATATTAGACCCTGCAATGAATGTTATTCTTGACTGTTGGAAAAATAATGTTTTATCAAGTATCTCCACAATGTCTTTGTATCCAGCTTTATCAACCAATGATAATCTTAAAAATTCAGCCAACGTTAATAGATGAGTGTGCAATTTATCAGAGTTTATAGTTTCAAATGATTCTAATAGCAATTCTTTAGTTGAGTGTATAATGTCAATAATTATCTCAATCCCAAAGCAAGAATCCAAAGAGCTCACCAACTTCACAAATTTCTTTGCCAATAAAAATCTTGTATCAGTGCTTCTATTATCGAAATTGTTCAAAAAATAGGTGATGATTTCCTCTATTTGATCATAATCATCCATATCAATTAAGTATTTAACAAGTTTGGAGTAAATCTTAGAGACCAGATCAACATGACATTCACTTTTCTCTACTGATTTGGTAAAACTCAAAATTTGCTCCAGACGTGGTTGGAAAATCATATTGGAATCTTTTTGAAGAGCTATATTCAAAGTTTCGAGATAGCCTTGTTGAGCAACTTCACTGGCATCCATATATTCCTCCATCAAGAGTTCCATAAATTTATCAAACTCAGCAGCACAATCACTTCTCATGATGAGAGATGCAAGTAATCTCGCTCCTAAGGGTTGTAAAGGACCAGATGTTTTCAAATATTGAACTCCAATGGTGAAAATTCTTTGTTTCGCATCTTTTCTCAAGCTATCCAGCTTAAAAGGAGCCAAACATAGCACAGATAACCAACACAGTAATAAATATTTCTCATGCCAATCAATATCTTGGGATTGATCAATTTTTGATAAAATAGTGGGTATTAGTTCAATATCAGTTTTCATAAAATTTAGCATTTTCTTGCTGCTAACTATCTTCCCGAAGGTGTAGAATACCTCTGTGATCCACTTTTTGCCATTCTTTATATAAAGATCCAACATCACATTGACATATTGCTTCAAATGTTTGTCTAATAGCTGAGGACATGGTTGAAATTGATTTATGTTGTTCAACAACGCATTGAGATTGATAGACTCTGAGGTTGCATTCAATTCAATTTGCTCTTGGATTCCCTGGTGTAGCACATTGGCAACTTTAGCAACTCGTATCTCATCCACCTCCATCTTCAAATGGCATAAAGTAATTATCAGAATCCAATTGCCTTCAACTTAAAAAATGTTCACGAAAAATGTTTGTTTACAAACTGTTGCCCCCTTCAAACGGATAATCATAGATTCAATTCGCGAAGCTACACCTTTTTTTAACTTAAACCTCCATAATTTGCTGAAAGTTTGTATGAAAAACATCCTTTCTATTTGCAGTGCTGAAATCAATTATCAAAAAAATAAACTAAACCTTTATAATATACAACGTAATACTAGAAAATGCATTATACCCAAAAAAATTAAATAACCCATTAAAAAACCATGAATAGTGATGAAACCAATTATGAAAATCTATCAAAAACTTAGTCAGAAAACCCTTTCCATTCTTTTTCTTCGCCAGCTTCTTCAGCCTTGTCGTTTTTGCTTTCTTCTTCCTCTTCTTTTCTCTCTTCATCCTCTGCTACTTCTTCATCTCCTTCGACTTCTTCAGAGATTGCTTGAGCTTCTTCGGCGCCATCATCACGACGAGCCTTCTTTGAAGGTCTTTCTTCATCTTCAGGTGGAGGAACAAACCAAGGAATTTTACCTCTGTTGAAATCATTGATAACTAATTTGGCAATACCTTGTTCATCTGGTTCACCACCTTTCAATAATCTACCATGCTTTCTGGCAAGTAATTCAATAAATTCAGTAGCATTATTCCAACCAGAGATCTCATATGTTCTTTCCAAATGTTGTCTCTTACATCTTTTCAAAACACCAGGTATATATTGTTCAGCATGTGTAACATGTTCAACTCTGACAACACCTCTGAACAAGATATCTTCTTCTGTATCTTTCAATGATGGTGGAACAATACCTGGACAATCAATCAAGAAAATTTTCTTCATCAATGTAATATATTGCCAAACTTTAGTTTCACCTGGAATAGGAGCAACTGTACAAACTTTCTTTCTTCTTAAAGTGTTGATGATACTTGATTTACCAGTGTTTGGATAACCGATAAAACCAACGGAAATTTGTTTACGGTCTGAATGTAAAGATGAGAATTGACGCAACAATTGAATCAATGAACCTTTACCAAATGAATTGGTGATGGAAGCATGGAAAGCTAAAGTTGGATGATCTTTTGATAAATGTTTGACCCAAGCAGCCTTTTGATAGTTAGTAATGGTTCCTCAGAAAGAACAATTCATAATTCCCATCAATACTTTCCCAAATTCAAAAAAAAAGTAAACACTATATAAATTGATGTGAGGTTCTTTACTACGAACATCGTCAAGGAAAAAATTCCACATAAAAGTGAATTCCGAGCTCAACTCATAAGATCCTCAGTAATCCTAGATGAATTTATCAAAACGATAATTTCAATATCCAAAAAACTCAAAACGAGAATTCTAGAAGCGGAAAACTGTTATTCTTCCAAAGTTGTAACAGACATATTTTGTAGGTAAAATAAGAAAAACGTCCTGACAAAAAACTTTGGGTTCAAAAAAAAAAGTCTCTGGGAAATATTGGATGAGAATCTAAAAATGTTGGTTAGTAAAAATTTAACTTACTGCAACCCAAGTTGGAACTAAATCACACTTGTTCAACACAAAAATCAAATGTTTATGAGCAGCGTCTTTCTTCATATATTGTTCAACTGAAGCACATCTTGTACCCATTGGATCTCTTGCATCTAAAACATGAATAACGACATCTGAAGAATCAATAACTTTGTACAATTCATTCCAAATACGTTTCGATTGACCTTTATGGAAAATAGCTTCTTTAGCTTCAGCAGTCCAACCGTCGGTATCAACATTACCCATCAAACCTAAAGTTGAAGCTAATTCATTCTTTTCATCAAAAGTACTTTGATCTTTATCAGTACTATCAGCCAATTCTTCTAATGATGAAACAGCAACTCTTGGTCTTTTACGTTGAGCTTTTGGGCCAAATGTACTTTCAAATGATTCAGTTTCTAAAATTTTATTTGTTGGAGCATCAGTTGTATCTTTTTCATCTAATAAAGACATTGGTAATTTGTTTCTTCTTAATAAAAATTGATAAGAATCTTCCTTCTTTTCACCTAAAGCATCTCTGAAGTGGGTTAAAGCATCTTGAGAAATAACTCTTGTATTACCAAACCAACGACGATTTGGATCAACTCTAGCAGATGGAATTTTAGTGTCTTGTAAAGCAGCAGCTTTTATAAGCTCACCATTCTTATTACGGATTGCACGACCCTGTTTATACATGTTTAAATGTTGAACTTTTTTTGCATCACGATAAAAATTTTCACCTTTAACACGAAGATTACCATCTCTGGTATCGTTTTCACGAACACGACGAGTTTTTTCCTTCTTTCCTGTACCCATTTTGTCTATACCTTAAAGATCAATGCTTAATTGTAACCAAGAAAGAACAAAACCTTTGAATTTATAAGAGATCTCTTAAAGTAAAGAGAAAAAAAAAATTTTTTTTTACCAGCCTTTGAAAAGAAAAAAAAATAAAAAATGTAAAATCCGAGGCCTCGCTCACGTGATGCAATGAGCCCTCGGAAATATAAAGGCTGAATTTAATTAGGGCGAACTACAAATCGTTGTAAAATACTTCATTATATGCTATTTAAAACACTCTAGACAAGACATTATCCAGCTTAGAGTTGGTTGTACTCTTTTTGAATTTCTCAGGAGCATCAGCTCTAGTTGTATTAACTTTTCTTTGTTCAAAAGTTCTTCTAATTTCATCATCTTTTGCTGCATCTTTATTGTCGGTCTTCTTTTTACTTTTAATGTTTTCAATCATCTTTGATTTCTCAACATTTCTAATGAATGCCTTGTTTAATTTAGCAGCTTGAGAAATTTCCATTTGTAGTTTGGATTGTCTTATCTCATTTTCTCTTGAAATTTGTTCAGTTAAATCAGCCCATTTAAAACCTGATAAATATTTAACATTCATTATATCATCATAATAAAAATTCCCTTTCTTCCCACCTAACTTATTCCCGTTCAATGAATCTGCACAAATCTTTGCATCTTTCTTCTTTATAAATTCAGCCCAACCTTCTTCATACTTTATCTTTTTATTACCACCTTGCATTAAACGTTGCTTATATCTATGTTGGGCTTCTCTTTTCAAAAATAATCTATCCACTTCACCAAATCTTGATAATATCTGTCTCATTTTGGCTGGTTTCATATATGGAGGTATTTTGGAAAGATAAACAACACCTGTTTTACCCTTTGGCTTTTTGGCTTTCAATTTTAAAAGTTTTGATTTTCTAAATAACTCATTGATATTTTTTTGTTCATCTGATTTTTTTGATTCACGTTCTTGTGCGGGTTCTTCATCTTCAACTTCTTCGTCTTCATCTTCTTCATCACCAAAAGCATCAAATGTGTTTTTTTTTGAAACTTTTTTGGTCTTTTGATCTTCTTCATCTGACTCCACATCAGATTCTAATGTCTGTGGGTTTCCAGAATAAAGTTCCTCGTCACTTCCCAAACTATGAAATCCATCTTCTTCTTCATCACTATGCCCTATAAATTTATCCATCTTGATCTGTATTTTATGATAGTTGAGCTCTTTTTAAATGAAGTTTTAAACAATTTCAATTTTTTCCTTCTTAAAAAAAAAAAAAATCGATGACTTGTTACAGGCACTCCATCAACACTTTTTATACACGAGAAAACTACACTTTGATCGTTTTATCAGGTGAAAATTATATTAAAAGTTCTAAGATTCTCGTAGGTACCGTAAGATCTCAAGACTTGGACTGTTTATCATCTCAAATGATTTTCAATTCTATGGTAAATTTCCTCTTTCAAAGTTCCAAGTTCAATATCATCATCTACTTTTCTCATTATTGATTCACCGCCAACAAACTGTTCTTTATTGAAAACGTCTTCATATTTGAGCCTGTTAGATCTATTTGCTAGCCTGAAAAATCCGTTGCCATAAACAATCAAGTTAGATAATGCTAGAGAGCTTTCATAAGAAGTTAGTAATTGCAAGTATAGGTCAGCATGGGTATTCTATGTAAAACTCACAATGCACAAGTTGAAATGAACAATGAAATTGAAGTAATAAGCTTGACATAGGCTGTATAATCCGATGGTGGCAAGTTGGCTTCTGCATAGTTTAAGAATGGCTCCTTAGAAAGAAAAACCAGAACAAATGTGACAAGGTTCAAAACAAATGATAAAAATTGGACACCGACACTTATTAGATGAGCAAAATAAGAAGCCCTATTGGGAATAACAGCAGCTGAAACGATGTATGCCACAACAGACACAGCGAACTTAATATATTGGTTAGACAGTCAATCCTTAAAAAGTCATAAATGGAGTATAAAATCCTTACCACAATCACATCAAAGATTGCATTGATGATACACATGACTGGCCTATTCTTGACATATTCAAATGGTAATTGAAGAAATCCAAGTAAATACTCTGATATGAAGCAAACAAGATATAGAATCATGAGCGTATAGTATAGTTTTGTTGAATATAAAGAATCCACTGATCTTATTGCCACATTTCTACCAATCCTAAAGTCAACTTGTTGCAAAAGATCGGTTTCCCTGTAATTGAAAATGGTGAAATGAGGAGCTGCTGTGAGTTCAGGATAACGGCGTACTGGTTGCCAGTCTCCTTGAGGAAGAGGTGTAACAGGCTCCGAAGAAACCACACTTTGATCATCACCTCGAGCTTCCAACTGAGTACTATCCATCCTTAGTTGTGGCCTAAATTGCTTGTTGTTGGTAACGATACTATTTTTCTCCTCGAGTTGAATTTTCAAGGTATTGTGGTTTTTGTGTAACATAATTAAAAGCGGCTTCACCAGCCAAAAAATTAAAATGTATTAACATATGGAGCTGGGTCTTGTATGAAATAGTTCTATGTACAAATGAGTGGCTCATTTCTCTGTCTTAAACTTTGGAATTGGTGGTAACAATGGATTCGATCTTTGAGTAAACTGAGAATACACCGAGCGCTCAATCTTACAAATCAAACTTTCTGACCTCACAACACCATCTCTGACCCATATACTCCAAGCACCCATCATGTTTGCCATCAAAACATCTGTGAACAAACGATCACCAACAACTGCTACTTCTTCTGGACCTGACGCTATATTGTTTTTCTTGAAATACTCCATAATTTCATTATGACAGCCTGGTTTCTTTGTTGTATGTCTCAAAACAGTGACACCAGTTCTTTCTTCAATCACTTTTGCTTGCTCGTGATTCTTGTCATCATTTGTACCGGCTGAGTTACTGACAATTAACAAACTAGCACCTGGGTAGGTTGTCCGTAGTTTATCCCAAGCTTCCTAGTGGGTGTTAGTACATGAGACAAAAATTTTAACAGCACAATTTCAACTTACCTTATACTCTGGCCACACTTTATCATCGTGGGCTTTGGCAAAACAATTATCTTTGTCTAATACAATAGCTCTAATATTTGGTTGGTGATTTGGGAACTTTAAAGGAATTGGAATCTTGTCGAATGACGAGACAGTCAAATGCGGAACACTGTAGCTTGGCGTAAAGAACAGTCTAAATACGTTCAGCGTAGCACTGACATTCATCTTGACACCCATCTAATAATTCTATCAAAACCTCATCTAAATTGTTTAAATACGTCCTATACAGAAGACGCAAAAAAAAATAGATCCGCAGATCTGCCACTCGCACGCGTGTCACTTATTGCTTCATCACGTGACGCAACTTACATATATCTGCTTCACCTCGAAGCACTGAGATTAGGCACTTTACAGATCAAGAAGATTATTTGAATCAGAAAGGTGGTGTATAAGGAGATGTTCTCTGCTTTTGATGGTGCAATTTACTTGAAACAATCATTCATTAGAACTTGATCTACTCTTGGATAAATATTCAGAACTGTTGAATTTGATGATCAATCACTCAGCTAAAGCTAGTAAGAGACTAGAGTGGTCTATATGGGCCTTATTATATTCTAATAGCACACATTAATTGATTTCTTCAAAGGTCAACATTTTCAATCAAGAAAATTTCATTATTTGCACTTCTTGTAAAACTTATTTCATCAATAACTTTACCTGCAGTGATAAAACTTTTAATTCCCCAATCACCTTTCCCGTAAACTTCAGGAATCTTTGTAGCTATACTTGGGAATAAAGCTTTGAAAATATCTCTGTATTCAACAACATCTTGAGGTTTAACAATTAATCTTTGGCAAATATATTGATATTTAGCGTTGATCCAGTCAGGTAGTACTGATTTTTCATTATAATGTTTCTTGTTCCCAGTTCTGATGATCCACAGTAATAAGGCACGATCAACTTCATCAGATTTAGCCAGCTGTTCATAATCTTGAATGCCAAAAATTAGTAATAAACTGTTGGAAAACGTTTTGTCATTCTTATAAATGGTTTTGAAAGATAATGGTTTGAAATGTTTGAGTAACGATTTTTCAGTCTTGGTGATTTCTTCAAATGTTGCTTGGTATAGTAGTCTTTGAGTTGTCTTGTAAGATTTGGCAATTTTAACAATATGAGAGCTGACATTACCTTCATTTTTGAAAATTTTCAAAAAATCAATCTTTTGTTGAACAATTTTTTGTAATTGTTGTAAACCTTCCAATTTATTTCTCAATGTAACTGTTTTCTCATGTTCATTCTTCACTAAAAAACAAAACAACTTCACTAGATTTTCAGATAATGGTGCACTTTTGGTGATTTTGTAGGCAACTTCATTATTAGTTAAGCTTAATCCAAACTTGTTTGCAGCTTCAATGTTTTCCTCTGGGATTCTTAAAGCTAACACTGTAGAATCTTCTTTATTATTATCTAAAACAAACCCATAACCAAATAATAATTCTTGATTGGTTTTTGGTCCATAACTATTAAAAATTTCAGAACCATTGATAATCTCTTGTTGTGTTTTGAATCTAAATACTCTATCATTTCCGTCCTTAGCTGAATCCCACTTAACTTCAACTTCATTACTATGATTTAACAAATCAAAAATAGGGACTAGAAAGGCTTCATTCATGTCTTTACATTCTTCATTACCAGCAAGTAGAAAGGGAAATGCCCTTGAAGTGAATGTAGCAGCTGCCCATAAATATGCTGGGAAACTTGTCCATGAATTTGGATTATTAAAATATGAAACAAATTGTTCACTTTTCCCCTTTACATATGTTTGATAGAAAGATATATCCTGTTCATAATCCTTTGTGTGGTATTTTGAATCTAATGATTTAATGATTTGATACCATTCTTCTACTAATGATGAAGTTTGATGATCTATCGCAAGATGTGCATCAGTGCCTTTGATCAATGCTCTTTCAGCATCATCCCAAAATAAAGGTGAGCCAATCTCCTTCCCAGTGGGTAAAGAATCAACATATGGCTTGAAAAACTTGGAAACATTTAGTTCATCCGTTTGAGTTTCTTCTTTATCAAATCTTAGTTTGGCCAATAATAATTGTGTCAATGGATTTCTATTCCTCTTTGTAGCAGCATTCCCACCGAACACTTTTTCAGCAAGTAATGGGGTAATTGTAACAGATTCTGGAACTTTCAACAAGTCTTGATTGTTCTCAAATTTATCTTGACCTTTATAAATCGCAGATATACCTTTTTCAGTTTTCTCAAATGTTACATCATTGTCAATTATAGCACCATTCTCAGTGGCCCAACTGAGCACATTATCTAAAGACATGATGAATCCACAGGCAGAAGACTTTCCTTGGTTCTATAGTATCCTCAAAAAAAACCTCAAAAAAAAAGATCTTCCCATAAGAATCTAGCCCATGAATTGTTCTTTTCTGAAGCTTCGATTTTTTTCGTCGTCTTCATCATTCGCGAAAAGCAAAGAAATGGTTAATTAAAAAAACCCTCTAACCATTACATACAGCATCACCATCATCGCCATTCCCAAATGAGCATTGAGGATTTAAAAGAGTCGTACGTCACGGACAACTTCCAGCTGATATTACATAATGTCTTGGAGGAACTAAAAAATAACACCATCTGGGATATCAACTACCACAACTTTTACAAAGATGTCCCAAAGGAAACTAAATATCTTACACCCACTGATGTAACAAAAGTTGATAAATTGTTGTTGGTGGAAACTATAGAGACTATTGGAATGAGATACAACTATGAGGCTCATTCATATCAAGATACTGCGGCTCTCGCTAAAATACTCCTTATTTTACCCTTCATGGGGTTGAACATGGAGAGTTACCGTGGATTGACAGCTCAGAAGGATTCAAGCCAGCTAAACTCAACTTCATCAACAGAGACAGACAATTTATTGGCGTGCCAAATCTCATTGTCCAACATCAAACTAAGTCCTGAAGACACGAAAGAAAAAGAGGTTGACTCATGGCTACGTGAAAGATTAGAAGCCATTGACCAGGATCTAATGAGAAATATTCAAAAGGCCTGTTCAGCTAACCATGGGAAAGTTTGGCACGATTTAAGACCTCAAGTGAATTGGTGTATCTCTCGTTCAGTGGAATATACAGGTTGTGAGTCAGAGGTTACCCAAGCACTTTATCATTGCCTTATTTACCCACTTACTAAATTATTTAATATTGTCTACAACATGACACTAAAGGCTAGTTATGGTATACGATTGGAAGATACTATGATACCTGAGTTTCCCAGATTTGAAAGAACGAAACATGGCTCTACCGTTTTCAGTGATGTGAAGGGCAAAAGGGGTGTTCATTTGGTGCTTGAAGCAGGGAAGCCATTTTTATCACAGTTGTTCAATTCGAAAGAGAGAGGATTCAACAGACAATACAGAGATTTTTACGGTAAACTCTTGTCATATTTGACTATTTCACAGACTGTAAGGAAAGGTTTGCTTACAGATGGTGTATCAATGCGTTTTACCCATTTCAATCAAATAGATATCGTAAATGGAAATTTGACTAGTGCTCAAGACAATGGAAGTTCCACCAACAACTCTAATGGTTTTATTGATGAAAAATCTAAAACCATAAAGATGTCGGAATTGTATTCGCAAGATGCAAGTCCTGAAGAACGAGTAACAGCTGCCAAAATTATTATGTGCATATTATATGATAGTTGCTTTACTGGTTTGATCAATGATTCAAATGCTACTTTAGAGAGAATTTATGAGTATATGTCCACCATACAAAAAAAAGAACGTGGTCATTGTAAGTTTGGGGAAATCATACAAGAATACACATTCTATACTCCAGTTGAAGTTTGCAAAATGAGTGCTGCAGATTATTTCAGAAAGTTTAAGCCAAAGTATCCAGTTGAAAATCCTGAAATTCAGTCTCAACGTGATGAAAAGTCTCTGCAAGATGGTAATGTCATATTAAAATTGTATGATGAAGAAAAAATTGAGAAATTTTTCAAGGAAAAGGGTATGGACAAATATTATACTTCAACTAATGAGAATGGTGGCTCTCCTCTTTTTGATGAAGCAAGATATAATTCTGATTTCGGTGCTTTTAAAGAAGGTGTATTAAACATGTACCTTGATGAAGTTGAGGCATATACTAGAATCCAAACTTTTAATAAAACTTGTTCGGACCCAAATGACAAAATCAATTCCCCTGATTTAATTCGTTGTGCTAAAATAAAGCACCCTTCTAGTGGACGATTCATCTATTATTTGGTAATTTCTGAGATTCCATTTGTGGATAGAAAACCACATACTTTTGAGGAACTTTGCCCCAGTGTGTTCAAACAGCTTGATAGGCTTCATTCTATAGGGATTATTCACCGAGATATCAAGAGATCTAACATTTGTTTCGATGAGCAAACTGAATTGATTTGGATCTTTGATTTCAATCATTGTTTGCTCTTTGACCCAGATCAAGAAGCCGTGCCAGATATAGTTTGTAAAGATTTGAATGACCTGGACAACTATGTGATTCCCATTTCAGAAGATTAATATTAGCTAGTTGACCTCATTAACAATAATATAAAACATTTATAATTTTCGTAGGTAAGAGATAGCCGGTAATACAAGCTTATCCTGTTGGCTGTCATTTAATATCTACCATAATGTATATCAGACTTTATACAAGTAGTTAGATTATCATCACCTATATCAATAATCACGTGATATGGAGTTCTGGCAGTTTCAAATAAAACCAAATTTCGTCCTGGTTTCACCCAAGAAAAGCCTACAACTATCATTTTTTAATACAAATACAGTCATATTATGTATACCCCAAATCAATATCAGCGAAACCTCTATTCACTAAGTAAAACTGACTTTCCCTTCCTGGTCATCGCACTCTGAGACCAATTTTTTTTTGATTTTTTTTACGGCCGTTGGAAGAAAAAACTGGACAGAAAAAACTGAATACCTATTTAAAAACGATTCAAAAGTCAAAGCCATTGGAAAGGTCTAGTTGCTCATTTTAAAGCTGAATCAAATTCGATAATTTAGTCATTCATATTTTGCAAGAAGACGAAAACAATGAGTTCAACGGCCCCAAATAGATCAAGACGTCAGTTCAACAAACCTAGAAGACCGGACTCTACAAACAATAGTAATAGATCAAAACCTCAACAAAATGGATCATGGAAGAGAACATTTGCTAGAGAAGGTGATGCTGCTAATGATGATGGAGAAGTAGATGAACGTGAGCAGTGTATTATTTGTGCAAATAAGATTGTGATTGCTGCAAAATCAGCTTGTAACCATACAACTTGTCATGTTTGCACATTCCGTCAAAGAGCTTTATATGATAAGAAATCATGTTTGGTTTGTAGAACTGAGAATGAAAAGTTGATTTTCACTGAAGAGACTCAAAAACAGTTTGGTGATTTTAGTAATGGTGATTTTGTCAAATTCAATGAAGAGTATGGGGTTGAATTTACGTCATATAATGCCCATGATGTTACCTTAGAATTGTTAAATCATAGATGTTTGATATGTCAAGAGTTATCTGAAAATTTCCAAAAGTTGACAGAGCATGTCAAGGATGAACATGATAGATATTTCTGTACAATTTGTTCTGCAAACAAGAAAGCATTCCCACAAGAATTCAAATTATACACTCAGAAACAATTACAAAACCATCAAATAAGAGGTGATGAAAAAGGTTTTGATGGACATCCTCTATGTCGCTTCTGTAAAGGGAAAAGATTTTATTCTGAAGATGAATTGCTAATACACATGAGAGAACGCCATGAAAAATGTCATGTTTGTGACCAAATTGACCCAGCAAACCCACAATATTTCAAAAACTATCCATCTTTAGAAGACCATTTCAGAAGTGATCATTTTATTTGTAATGTTCAATCATGTTTGGATAAGAAATTTGTTGTCTTTGCAGATGAATTGGATTTGCAAGCTCATATGATTGGTGAACATGGTGGAACTTTTGGCTCAAGTTTTGTCGTTGGTGCCAATTATTCAAATAACAATAATAATAGATTTCACTCACAATTATCAACGTTCCATCCCGTCAATAATAATAGAAACAATTCCAACAATCGTTCAAGTGATTCATCAGACCAGAATGACTCTATTGCTACAAAACGTATGCGTTTAGAAGAAAGAGCAAGACATTATTTAAACTACTCTACATCTGCATTCCAAGAATTTCAAAATCTTACCAAGTCATATAAGGATAATCAATTAACTGCACAACAATTATTTACATCATTCAAATCATTATTCAAAGAAAACAATGAAGATGATGTTTACCTTTTGTTATTTGAAGTTTCTGAATTATTCCCGTCAAAATCATCACAAAATGAAGACTTGGCTGTGATGGTTAAAAAACATGAACAATCAACAAAAGAAGAACATGATTTTCCTGCATTACCTGGATCTTCATCAACAAATATATTCGGAGCAAGTTGGGGTAATCCATCCTCAAAGACTACTAAAAAGTCAAAGGCTAAAAAAAATACAATTGATGAACAATTCCCTGCATTACCTTCATCACAATCATCACAAACGTTCACACCTGTCAATACAACAGTAAGGTATAAAACCCTCACCAAACCAAAATCAAAACCACAGGTTGTCTACAACAGTCAACCTTCAACTTATGTCCCAAACTATTTAGATAGAAAACCTAAATCATCATCACCAGCCCCAAGAAAAGAAAAAATCAATGAAGATTTATTCCCTGCATTACCATCAGCACCAGCTAAAAAATTCATACCGAGAGTCAATCCAGTTCCAAAAGGGAATGGTGCTTGGGATTCAAGCTCAAACTCTGCATCCTCGTCAGCTGCTAGTTCTTCATTAAACTTGTCAGGATTGAATGCTTCATTACCCACTACAACAGAATCTTCAAATAATAAGAAAAATAAAAAGAAGAAACAAATTTTATTCCAAATGGGTGGTCATTAAAAGCATTATATAAAATAAATTCAAATCTGATACAATTTTATTTTTCAACGTAGTGGTAATAAAGTTTGCTCTGTCAAAGCTTGTCTGCATAATGGACACTCAGGATGTTCACGACTCCAATCAGATATACATGACCAACAAAAAATATGACCACAAGGTGCACAACTTGGATTAATCATATAGGATAGACAAAGCATACATTTTCTTGAATTTTCAGGGATGTATTGTAGATTCTTTGGGTTTGATAAATCAATATTCTGATCATCTTTAGGTTCAGGGACTTTTGTTAATATCTGGGATCCTGACAAGTCTATTGATTTTTCCGATTCTTCATTTTTATTAGAACTGGTGAGAAAATCATTAATTTTACCTATAGTTTTAAAAAAAATTTGAGCAAATATGATCCCACCTAACAATTCATAACCACCATTTGAAACTTCCTTTTGTTTATTGACTTTATGACCAAATGCATAACGAAGACCGAAAAATCTTTTAGATAGTTGATAATAAGAGCCAGTTAGGTAAAAAATAGCCAAGTGGGCATTTATTAATGAATCCATAACAGATGAGTATGAAATTTTGGATAATTTTGTTCTCCATGAATTACCCACTTCTCCTTCTTCATCGTCATCATTTTTAAATTGTCTTCTTATAATTTTTGAAACAAAATAAGGCACAATTGCATAAGATAAAATGAATCCTAGCCTTCTCAGCATTTTCGGTATCTGTCTCCCATTCCTTGAAACATAAATCAAATCAGTATATTCTTCCCCTAAAGTTCTTGAGCCTAATAACGTTGTCAATGCAAGATATAAAAATTTAGCAAATACAGTGATTTCTTCTGGATGTGTATGGATGAATCTTTGGCCTGTAAATATTTGAATAGCATCTTGGATCTTCCCTCTTAATACACTTTCGAAATATGAATCCTTTTGATGAGCACGTACTATAGTTGATTGTTGTCAGTAATTTGCCTTGGTTAAATTGTTCAACATTCTTAACTCACCTATACTTGGAGCATCTGCGAAAGGTAAGATTTGAAGTCTTTCTGATCGCGGCTGCTTCTTTGCTGATCTAGTTGGTATTATTTCCTCCATTGTTTATAGCTCAGATAGTAATTGGCTTTCAATGATTCCAACTTGGAGTTATTCGTTTGGTGTTTTGTTCTCCCCATAGTCAAGAAAAACAAAAAAAAACGAAAAAGATAACAAAATATCCTAATCGGGTAATTACCGTTTTAGTCGATACTGGTATACAAATATAACATCAACATAAAATTAATTATTAAAAGTCCTGTTCATTTTATCTGGCATTGCCATCAACAACATTAAACAAAAAATCATCCAAGAACTGAGTTCCAAGACTACTAGTGGTGAAATTATTAAAACCTGCAAGATCTTTCAAAAAATCATCATTTTGATTACGATCAGCTGAACTTGTTGAATCTGGTGAAATACCAAATTGAATATTATTTTGATGGGATTGAGATCTTGAAGATGATACTGGATTAGAATTATCAATCTTAGGAAATAACCAATCTTCAAACCTTTGTGCAGTTCCAGGTGTTATATCTGATGGAGCTGAATTTATCAATGTGTTTAAATTTATATCCACATTTTGCATATGTTGAGGATATGATAGGCTTTCAACTGGTGCAGTTGTTGTGAATTGGTGTTGCTGTAGAGGAATTGGTTGTTGTGATGGTGGTGCTGCAGACTGTGGTGGTGGTACGACTGCACCTGTTTCTTGTTGTTGTTGTTGTTCCTTTTGTCTATTTGCAAATTCTTGATAAGTTTGTTGTTGAACTTTTGTAGCATCCATCATATTTGACAATATTTCACCATATCTTTTAGAAGTTGGGTCAATTGCACCATAATGTCTTAGTACAGATATTGTGGAATTCATTGCACTAATGCAAACAACTTTTGAGCTTTCACCACCATTGACATTTGCTTTTGAATCAAACAAATTGTCATCAATGTTTTGAGATTGAAGCAATAAAATCATACCAATGATTAAACCTGCATGGAAACTGCATGAAATTATTGTATAACCTTTCAATGGATGTAAATTGTTAACAAAATAGAATTCAATCAATTTAATAGTCAATAATGAAGCCTTGATACATGATTGATAGAAATTCCTCAAATTTGAATAATTCTTAGATTCTTCATCAAATTTGATAAATTTCAACTTTATCAAAATTATGAAAAAGAAAAAAGGTCTTGCCAATAATATAATCCCGTCTAAATGATTTATATGTAGCCATAACAAACCATGATTATCATTATACTTCAATGTGTTTTGTAAACTCAAGCTCTTACTGATTGAACTATTCACTGTAAAGATCTTCAATTCAATAGCTAGCTTCAAAGCATTCTTCATACCAATTGCTGGATTATGATAAACTTTTGTCAAGATTTTCCCATTTAATAAGCAAACTTTTAGCATTTCATTTTGTAAGTCATTGAACTGATTCAATGAGTTTTTATCATCCCATTCCACATCATTTATTGTTAACGATCTCCCCAAATGAATTGCACATAACCGATCAGCAATGTACAAACTTCTAAATAATTTCCGCCTATGAAGGGTATATTCTGGATCTTTGAATGATTCATTGACATATCGTCTTTGCATCCCCAACCCTTGAGCATACCTAATTGCCGTACCTAAGTTTATCCATGATGTGTTTCTTGTCATGTTCAATTCATCATAAAAATACATCAAATAATAAGTCTCCACTAGCCAAAGATTTGAATCATTTAAAGTTGATTGTAGTAAATGCTGAGCACTTTCGAAAAACACATGAGGTTCAACAAAATAATTTATAGCAAACGGGAAAATACTTCTTTGTAATTCAATCTTTGCAAATATTGATCCAATTGCCAATATTAAATAAACAAGACAAAGTTGTTTTGGGGTAGCATTTAATGGATTATTGAACACTGTTTCGATAAGAGTCTTTTCGAAATATTCTTCATTGAAAACATAGGACACATTATTGATATATTTTTTGAACAGCTGTATCAAATGGTTTGCATAATCTCTTGGTGGTAAATTAACAGGCACTCTCATTCCTCTAGTTGCTGGTGAGTCAATCATTAAAAATCTTTGAGGATCATGGGTGAATTTGGAAATACCTAAAATCTTTTGGAAAACCTTTCGACATTGAGGTAAGAATGAACCAGCAGATGATTCACCAATGTATCTTAAGTTACCTCCAGTATCGTACAATAGTCTTGAATTCAATCCTTCTTCTTCTGGAACCAAAGTCATGTCATTATTCTTTTTAGTTTCATCATTGTCTTCTTCTTCCTCATTGGGTTGAATACTTAGAGGGAAATGAAACAATGGTTGGAGTGATGGTGGTAGAAATGAAGGTTGGGATGATGGATAATCCAATTCGGGTTTTGAAGGTGGTGGTACTGGTGGTGGATTAACTTCTAATGGCTTTCTTTGTTTGTTCAAGGTTTCTGTCTGTATAGGTTGTGACGAATTCTTTTGTTGCAACAACTTTCTACTCTCCAGCTCCTTCTTTGATGGTTTCAGGTTTCTTCTATCAACACCGGTATAGGTACAATCAAAATGCTTAGATGAACAAACATCACAAGGTATTAAACCATTACATCTTTGTTTTCTTTTCTTACAAACATCACAAGCTTTAGCAACTTTCTTTCTTCTTTCAGGAGGTATTCTTCTTGATTTCTTCTTTATCAAAGCAGCATCATTATCTGTACCATCAGTGAAAATATTGGACCCAGTTGATGAAGATGAAGAAGAAATTGAGTGATTTGCAGCAGCACTAGCCGTGTCAACCAAATTTGACATACTTGATGGAATGGCTGGGTATTATTGCGGCCCAAATTATGACAGCTTAATTATAGGTTGAAACAGTGGGAGAACCCAATGATTTTTGCACTAGTTTGACAGTTTGACAGTTTGACAGGTTGATGTGCCGTAATCTGCAAGCGTATGATTGTCCATTCGAGGATTTCAGCGACTTTATTGTTTTTTTCTTTGATTGTTTGTCAAAATTGCGGAGGTTGTGTACACAATTTTTCTTGGTTTGCAATTTTATATGGAGAAGTGGTTCGGGCAGCACAAGGCTGAATAATTTACGAGATTTGAATTTATAATTGACTTAAATTGGGAAATTTTAAGACAAAATATGCTTTGAAAAATAGCTGATAAGCATTTAAATGAGCTCTAGTTTTATTGGGTCTGTTTTTTATTAGCATATTTCTAAAAATTGTATTTGATCGAGATTTTTTCATTTTATTGACGTAGGTCATTGATTTTTAGTTTTAAAATTGGAGATATTATTATTCTTTAAATTTTAAAAATGCTCAAAAACGCTTGGAATTGGTATATGTCATCGAAAGGGAGAAACCCAGAGTAACAAATAGTATTACAGAATAGTTTTTAGCATTTTGTTGAGTCAAATGTTGAATTATGACTGATCTAAAGTCGGAATTGATTTCCATCATGTGACCTCATCATATTAAATTTAGTTAATTCCGGGACAATATAAAGTTTTAAATATAATCTCCCAGGAACAAGGACATGACAAAGTAAACCTAGTACTAGGTAATAGGAAATAATATCTTCAATATTGATTATCCATTATATCATACTTGAGAATCGCGATGTACATCCGTTGGCCTTCTGGAACCTATGATATACTTCAAAGTTAGATTTGACATTTTTCTTGAGTACACTCTCAAGCTTCCTCCATACCTTGGCTGATTGATGTAAATCATCGAACAATTTTGAAGTCAATTTTATCAATCATAAGGAAATCCATGTTGTCCATGATGAACTGGTGATCAGCTATCAGCTATAGTTGTTACACCGATTACAAAAAGAAATCTGAACAAAAAAAGTACCACCTTTTTTAAGCCGGTCCGTTGAACAGATTGAATCCTTTTCATCTAGACTCGAGTGCACATGTACGCTCAATCAACCTTTGCCTGGAGTGCCGAATCCCCCATGAGTCGACTCCATGGTAAAGCCCTTCTAAGTACTCCAGCTACAATTAGAATCATCCGATGTAACTGAATACATAATACATAGCTAAAATCTACAACCAAACCCCAACATGGTACCTTCTCGGATAATTACAATTACAACCCATGCGATTGTTTAGTTGGTGTACGGTATACTTAATGTCCATTACTAGGTGTCACTAGAGCACAGTCAGCTTCAAAAAGAAGTTGTATCAGTTGATACTCGCACCACCATCCTATCAGCGAGAAGAGATCTGAATTTGAACGGATTGATGTTAAACAAGATGGTTTGATTTCTCATCAAAAGCCCCGAAAATACAGCACCTTTTTGTTAGTACTACAGTACTACACTCAGTAGCTGGTCGGTTCAAGATTCAAGGTGGGCCAGCCTGTTCAAGGTTCAAGGCTTCATGGTGAAAAAAAAGGTTTCATTTTTACATGCTTATTGGCCCATCAAACAGAACAGAAATACAAGAACAGGTCTTAAACCCGTGGACCTGGTGAGGGATTTTGCGGCAAGACATGGTAGCTTATGGTGGACAGATTGACTCGATCATTGTGTACTTCTAACTTGTAACATGTCCTAGACTATATTGCTTCTGTCTTCAAGAAATACATTGCTTCAATCACATTTAGTTCGCACTACAATTCACTCCCATCATTCTGAGCTTGTGTGGTATCTTGAAAATAGCTTGTTATAATCCGTTTTAACCGTTAAAACTTTAACGATAATCCAGATTCGAGAAGCCAAACTCCAAAGAGTTATTCCGATGAGTACTAACGCTTATTGTTTATGACACGATCAACCACCAAAACGTACCACCAAACTACACTGAAGGTATAAAAATTTTTCCATTTAGTACCCAATCAACCTCAAAAAACCATGAGCTTATAGTTTATTTCTAGTGTTTTTTGTTAAATTATAGTAAAGATCACTACACCAATGTTTGTATTGTAAAGCTATATTTTATTAAATAGTACTCATGAGGAAATTTTCTCTCATGAAAATTTTCTTCACTCGTCGTTCATGTGTCCTCTTCAAATTAACATCTCAACACAACCCTTTAATTTGTAAACACAAGCTCTCCAGTATACTTGATTAAATTTAGTAATCCACACACTACACACTCACTCTGCCTAACTTGATCAATCAGCAAAGAGCCACTTCTTTAAATATTTGAATCGCGTTTTATCCAACGCTTTGGTTAAACCATCAGCCAAGTTGTGTCTTGTGTTGATATAAAACAAACGAATGGTTTTGGAATCAATGAGATTTCTAATGAAATGATACCTGATCTCAATGTGCTTTGATAACTTTGAAAGGGATTTGTTTTGGGCCATTAATAACCCTGGCTGGTTATCCCCTGCTAGACTAATTTCACAATTTTCTTGGGGTAAAATCTCCATTAAGATGTGTTTAAAGAATAAACAATTTCTAGCTGCAATTGTGTACGCAACATACTCACTCTCACAGGAACTCAACGTAATAATGGGTTGACGTCCCGTTTTCCAATCAATCACTTGGTTCTTATATAGTGTAATGAAACCACTAGTACTCTTCCTGGTAGTCGGACAATTGGCATAACTAGCATCACTCACAATGACAATGCCTTGGTTATAATCACATTCTGCTACTTGTTCTCCCGCCTGATGTATGCGTTTCAAGTACTTAACTTTCTCCTGGACCTTCCCATATGTAATACCATCTGATTTGTGTTGAATTAAGTATACCAGGATCCTTTGAGCAGCTTTCCAATGAGTCACTCGAGGACTTTTCACAAACTGGCACAAGTAATTAACGGAATATCCCACATCAACTCGGACAGTGTTAACCACATAGTTCAGGACTCCTATCAATTGTTGGTATTTGGTGATCTCACCTGATTCTAATAATGGAGAATTGAGATCATTTCCAAGATATCCACGTTCCATAGGTGTATCAAAGCGACGAGCTGGCAGCGTGAATTCTTCTTTAGCAGCTAAACCAGTTAAATAACTTTCAAGACTGAGTTTCAACCTTCCTTGGGTGCGGTCATATTTGAGATCCATGCCGATGAATTTATTCGCATCTCTTTCATTGATATCAAGCTCCTGATGAAGATACTCCTTGATTTTAGCAACCTCTTCATTGTTGGGGCTTAAGATGAGTACATCATCAACATAGAGCAATATGTAAATCTTGGTATGAGGATTGTAAAACAAGCATTGTTCTATCACACTTTGTTGTAATTGACCTGAGTAAGATAACAAAATGGTTCTAATATGATTGAACCAGTCAGCTGGACTCGTCTTGAGACCATAAATAGCCCGATTCAACTTCCAAACACAACCGGGTTGAGTGTCAGCCCCTTCAGGTGGTACTAAAAAGACTGGATGAGAGATGCTGCTTTGTAGGAATGCCCTGGTGGCATCCATAGACTGTATCACCCATTTATTCGGAGCAGCCACTGCTAGTAAAATTCGCAGTGTATCAAGACTCACCACAGGCGAGAAGTTTTCTCCTTTGAGATTGCGCTCTTGAAAGCCACGAGCAACTAAACGAACTTTCTTGATGACTCGACCATCCAAGGTATGTTTTATAGATAAAACATATCGGGTATCAATAAGATCCATATTTTCATCAAAAGGAACCTCTTCATAGATGTCATGTGTTTTCATGTAGCCTAATTCTTCACCACGCGCAACCAACCAATCAACAGAGTCATCACCTTGTAGCGCTTCGGCCATACTTTGGGGAATTTCAACATCAACATCTTTGTTCATTTGTTGAATAAGCATGACGAGCTCAGAGATTTGTTCTGTATCCACCAACTGGATTTCTTCCGTAGTCAGCTGTCTAACTCGTGAATTGGTATCATCTCCCCCTGTTGCTGCTTTAGTTGTAATAGCTGTGACTGGATCTAGCGACGATGAAGGTCGTTTCTCTTGTGATACCGTAAGCAGCTCGATTGGATCATGTTGATAATTGTATCCTGGGTACCTTGTAACCCACTGATCTTGATACATCGGTTCCACCTGGTAAGCCTCTGGTACCGGCAATTGAGGTTCCACTGGGGGCATAATCACTCTTGGAGCACCTGGTGTACTCACTATTGGATCCACTGGTTTAGCTAAAATTGACTGTGGTGGCATGGAGCCACTCTGATTACCAACATGAGCAGATGACACTGCAACTGGATTCAATAGCCTCATAAGTTCTTTGGACTGAGGTGGATAGTCGATATTAGCAGCAGTTTCACTACCACTTTCACTTGTGGGCATCAAAAGTTGGGATGGAGGCTCCATTCTAGACACACTACCAGTTTCACTGGATGAATCATCGATACCATCACCTTCCTTGGATTCTGCTATGTCTTCACCCATCGCGTCATCCTTCTCGTCAGCCAAACCACTTGATACGGGGCCACTGGATACTGAGCCACTGACATGACCACCACTACCACCACCTGGAGCAGATTGCTCGATAGAGATTGGATTTTGATTCTTGAAAGGATAGACTGTTGGCACCAACGTGAACTTGTCCGTTCTCTGGATCTTACCATCTTCAGGGTTCAGGAACAGCCCTATGGCGGTTGTATTATCATAACCTAAGAAAATAACTGGAATATCTCGCAATTGAAATTTTTTTGTATTCCTGATGGTTGGACGGATGAAGCCCTGACAGCCGAAAACCCCATCAATTTGGATTCTCTTGTCATCCGATGTACCAACTTTGGATTCCAAGACTTGGATTGGCGATGCATTCAGTTCTTTATTCCAAATTCGATTGTGGAGAAATATAAAGTGGTTGACAGCATACTCGTAGTACTCTCTTGGAACTTGAGGCGTATCTAACAGTTTCCTAGTCCTTTCCAACAAGTATCTGTTATTTCTTTCACTCCCCCATTCTGATACGATGCATAGGCACTAGTAAATTGGACATCAATGCCATTACGTTTGGCAAATTCCATCATCTTAATCGTCCGAAATTCATTATCAACTCTTATAGACAGGACTTTCTTGTTATGATAATTAGCGATTCTTTGTTGAAACCACGTGACCAACTCAATGAATTCAGCACTAACCTCTCTCTTGGTATGTAGAATTTTTGCTTTCAAAACCTTCGAAGCACGATCTGATACCAGAAGAATGTATTTTTCAAATATAGGACCGATGAGGTCACCTTGGATCAATTCACCTACTTCATAGTGTCTATCCACTTGATGCTTAGGAGGTCTCTTGACCAATGACTTACACCCCAAACAGCCACTGATAACTGCTTGACACTGAGCTGAAGTTAAGGAAAGTTGTTGTTTTTGGGCCAGATGGAAGAGTTGCGCCCCATTACAGTGACCCCATTGGGTATGTAAGAGATGGGCTTTAACTTTGGCTTCTTTCAGTTTCTCTTCCGACATCACCATGACTCTTTCTTGTGTAACAGCATCACCCTCTTGTGCAACAACCTCATCAAGCCACCAAAACTTGTTATTCCGTACAATCTTTGCAATCAATGACCCATCCTCTTTGGTGATGGTCCCTCCTTCTTTTTTAAACGTAGTTATCAGATCTTGAGATGCTAGGGTTCCCACGGAAATCACATTGTACGCTGCATCAGGTACTACTTTGACACCTTTTAGCACCACATGGTCTGTCAATTGTAAATCGCCTTCTTGGGTGCAGTCAGTTTGACCAGTAAACCCTTTAATAATAGTCTTTGTAGGTCTGAGATTCTGCAATTGATGATTCGATGATGTAACATGAATCGTTGCCGCGGAGTCTATAATAAACGGAGGACGAGCACTACATGAAGTGTAGTTAGATGAGGCATTGAATTCGAGCAGGTTAACTTCTTCTATAGGATGATCACTTCGATATTTTGGACAATCCCGTTGGTAATGACCCTTTTTGTCACAGTACCGACACTTGCTGTTGTTTTTTGACCGATTACCACCATTGTGATTACCACCATTGTTTGACCGATTCTCAGACTCAGTGGTTAGAAGAACTTGTTCATCTGGTGTAATTAAACCGTCTCTTTTCCATTTTTGAATTTTAGTTTCAATTGTTTGGAGATCAAATTGTTCCACCAATGACACCAGTTGTGTGTCTTCCAATCTGCAAATATCCATGATCTCCCTATTGGAGAACTTAGCAAACCTTGAGATTTTTAAACCATTGATTAGTGTTATACCGGCGGCTTGCAGACTTTCTTCCATTTTGATTTTTTCTTTGTCAGGAATGGAAGCATCAAAAACTTGTTTCACCAACTTGATTGTATCCAAATCGGATAAGATGAAGTACTCAGCATTGAGACCCGCTAATATCCCAAAACCATCAAGATTCGGATTATTCACCATCGTTGGGTGGATTATTGCAATTAACACTTTTTTAATGACCATGGATAGTCTAGCTGGAACTCTTCCACTATAACTTGTAGCTGTTAACATTTGATCAAACACAGATGACTCAAATTGTTCTAACACCACCGACGCAATCATATCTCTTAAGATTTTTAATCCATATAGGTATTCATATCCCTGATTGACAATAACACCCTCTAATGTTTTTGCATTTTCAATGAGCAGCTGATAGCTCTCACTATGGATATCACCACCTCCTTCTTGGAATTCGAAATCCACCATTGTTGTAGACCTTCCTATTGCAAGACTGTAAATCTGTTAAATTATAGTAAAGATCACTACACCAATGTTTGTATTGTAAAGCTATATTTTATTAAATAGTACTCATGAGGAAATTTTCTCTCATGAAAATTTTCTTCACTCGTCGTTCATGTGTCCTCTTCAAATTAACATCTCAACATTTTTTGCCAAAATTATTCCGTGAGCCTTGTTGAAAAGTTCAAAATTTTTCCGTGGGGCGCGTTTTGGTTTCTTTTTTTGTTGTAAATTTTTTTTGTAGTGTGGTTTTGATGCAGCTCAATTACTATGTGGAGCCCCGGAATGGAGAGCATCTGGAGAATATGGAGAATACATACGAGAGAAGTGAACATCAAGATCACCTTTTTTTCAAAGCAGCTGCTTGTAGGCTCAGGATGAGTTGTTCCGTTTTGATGTGGTTTGGTACGTGTGGGTAGTTACGGCACTGTGGTTGAGGAATTGGTATAAAAGAGGATTGAATCCCTATTGTTGTTGATCAACTTTTCAATTGTATTCTACTCATCAGAATATTTTATTACAAAGCTCAGTTACTTTTAACTATTACAAATTACAAATATAATCATGTCAACTGAAACTTCAGGTCAACAAACTCCTGTTGATGAACATCATTCAGATGATCATGAAAAATTAGAAAACTCCTCATTGGAGTCGGGTCACCAACAACAAGGTGGTATTCCAGAAAGACCATTAAAAGAATACTTCTTCATCAGTGCTTTATGTATGATGGTTGCCTTTGGTGGTTTCGTTTTTGGTTGGGATACTGGTACCATTTCAGGTTTTGTTAATCAAACTGATTTCAAAAGAAGATTTGGTCAAATAAATGATCATGGTGAATATTACTTATCAAATGTTAGAGTTGGTTTAATTGTCTCTATTTTCAACATTGGTTGTGCCTTTGGTGGTATTATCTTGGCTCCATTAGGTGATAAATTCGGTCGTCGTATCGGTTTAATGTGTGTTATGATTGTTTATATCGTTGGTATCTTGATTCAAATTTGTTCTTTTGACAAATGGTATCAATATTTCATTGGTCGTATTATTTCAGGTTTAGGTGTTGGTGCTATTGCTGTTTTGTCACCAATGTTGATTTCTGAAACTGCTCCAAAAGCTTTAAGAGGTACTTTGGTTTCATGTTATCAATTGATGATTACTTTTGGTATCTTCTTAGGTTACTGTACTAATTATGGTACTAAGATTTACTCAGATTCTACTCAATGGAGAGTTCCATTAGGATTATGTTTCTTCTGGGCCATTTTAATGATCATTGGTATGGTTTTAATGCCAGAATCTCCACGTTATTTAGTTGAAGTTGGTCGTCTTGAAGATGCTCGTCACTCTATTGCAAGATCAAATCAAATTCATGATGATGATCCAGCTGTCTTTGGTGAAGTTGAAATTATTCAAGCCGGTATCGAAAAGGAAAAATCTGCTGGTACTGCTTCATGGGGTGAATTAGTTACAGGTAAACCAAGAATCTTATATCGTGTTGTCTTAGGTATTATGTTACAAACACTTCAACAATTGACTGGTGATAACTATTTCTTCTATTATGGTACTACTATTTTCAAGGCTGTTGGTTTAGAAGATTCTTTTGAAACATCTATTGTCTTGGGTATTGTTAACTTTGCATCTACTTTTGTTGGTTTATGGGTTGTTGAAAGATTTGGTAGAAGAAACTCATTATTAGGTGGTGCTGCTGGTATGATTGCTTGTTTCGTTATTTTTGCATCTGTCGGTGTTACTAGATTATACTTGAACCCAGAACATACTGAATCATCAAAAGGTGCTGGTAATTGTATGATTGTTTTTGCTTGTATCTACATTTTCTTCTTTGCTTCAACTTGGGGTCCAATTATTTATACTGTTGTTTCAGAAACTTACCCAATTAGAATTCGTTCAAAGGCTATGGCTCTTGCTACTGCTGCTAACTGGTTATGGGGTTTCCTTATTGGTTTCTTCACTCCATTCATTACATCTGCAATCAACTTTTACTATGGTTATGTCTTTATGGGATGTTTGGTCTTTGCATTCTTCTACGTGTTTTTCTTCTTACCAGAAACTAAAGGTTTATCATTAGAAGAAGTTCATGAATTATATGAAGAAAAAGTTTTACCATGGAAATCAACTTCATGGGTTCCACCATCAAGAAGAACTGCACAACAAGCTGCTGAACAAAAAGAAGAAATTGCAGCTCAAGAAGCTCCAAAGTTTTTGAAAAGATTCTTTTAGATCGTTGAGTTATACCTTTTTACCCTTTTTTGTTGCATATGATTAATGACTTTTATGCATAATTATTTATACTACTATAGATTATATATATATACATTATTTATGAATTGATGAATAATTTAATTTAAGATCGAACTTGTAGTTAACATAATTGACACTCTTAAAATGACAGTCCAAAAGTATCACCTGGTTTCATTTCCGCGAATGTCTGTTCTCTTTTGTCCTTTTGTAAAAATGTCTGTTGTCTTGAAAAGATTTTTTTTCCAAAGATTTGACCGACGCCGGACAAGCCAAATCGAAAAAAAAATTGGGCTGGCAAATTGTCGAGGCTGGAGAGTTCGAATACAAGGGGAATAAAAGAATTCATAGTTGAAGTGAAGAATAGAAAGCTGCAGCTCTTTAGCTTCCTTGATAGCTTTGGAGGCTCCTAAAAGGCGTGGTTATGTCGAGAGTGTTTAAAAAAACGAATCTGGTGGTGTGTTGTTGACGTTGAACTTTGAAGTTGTTGTTAAGATCTCTCCACTCTCTTGTACATGTCTTGTTTGTACTTTTCTCCCAACCAGCATCCATCAAGAGATTTGACTGGAGCATACCCCATGGGCGAGGTTCAAGACTCAAGCGAAAAAAGGACCCACCAAAAGCTGGTGCTACAATTGTTCAAACCATTAAAACTTTATACCTACTTGAACGAGCCGAATAGAGTGTGTAGCGTAAGCTACCTTCGCAGAGGTTAATCATAATTGCTGTATGATTTCCAAAATTGAGTACAATTCTCACAAGGGTTTACGATTTCTCCGTAAAGTGTGTGCGTTCTGTTGTAGAACTCTTTGATCTCATCTGATTCCTTGGTGCCTGGACCAGGTTAAGTAACACTCTCAAATTTCAAACAACTTCAAAAGAACACTGACAAAATTTATCAACCTAACAATGGAACTGTCGGAGGTCAAACTTAAAAGAATCATCAGATTTGTTCGAAAACTCTGTTCAATAAAACGGGAGTCAAATCTTAACCTGGAGTTTATTGTGGTATCGGTTCATTTTTTTCGTTTGGGCAGACTGGTTCCTTTTTTTTGTGTCCAAGTTCTTCCGGAATCCATTCTTTTTGAAAAGAAATGAAAAAATACACACCATCTACAAAAAGTTTTTCCGTGATAAGATCATTTTGAAAGCCAAAAAGCTGTGCCCTAATTAGGTGTAGATTAAAAAGAGAAAAGATATACTTCTTTCTTTTTGTAGGTCTTGGTGATCTGTTCTTTCAATCCAGCCAATGCAAATTCAATTGTGGTTGTACGAATGCTGAAAAGGGTTAAAACAGTCGAAAATTCTCAAGAGCTCGAATTTGCAAGGCAAAATAATCTGGAGTCGAATGGATCGTTTTTTTCCTCTTTGTGTTTTTTCGCTGGTGTAACACTCTCGGACAAATTATGGGCCACGAGAAATTTTCCGGATGACGTGTCGCTGCAGTGAGTGGACATGATTTTCAAACTCAAAAACAACAAAACGAGAAATTTCTCTTTCTAGGTTAATCCGTCAAGACTCTTCGGAAGCTGGCGAAACAGCCGTAAAGTCACCATTTAATTGAATTTTTGTGAAATAAGAGGTGAATAAAGTAGGCATCACATCTATTCAATCCCTATTTTCTTCCTTTGATGTCCATCTTTGGTCAGATTGTTTTTTTCTCATTTTCAACGGCTCTACTCTGGAAAAACCTCGATGCACGGCCTGCATAAATGTCCCGGAAAAACTCAGTTAAGGTTTCCTTTTTGGCCCAAAAGCAACGCTGTGAAAAAGGAACGACACTAGGGAAAAAAAACACCATCAGGAAACAAAAATTTCAACCATCAGTTGTACGTGTGATCCTTACTTCCTGTGTCCCATGGGGTCCCCCATACACAGCATAAAAGTCAATCATGAAATCCGTTGCTCGAAAGAATATAAATATGAAGACAAATTCCCATATTTCCAATTCACGAGCTTACTTTGTTTAATCTACATAATACATTAGTATTACAAACAAACATGTCAAACAATATTACACAACAAGAAGGTGAAACCCTTCAACAACCTCAAGTTCCTAGTTCAGGTGTCTTGACTCCAGAAACAAATGATAGCATAATTGATAAAAATGAATCTGATGAAAAAGTTGATAAAACTGTTCCAGAAATTCCAGCTAAACCAGCTTCAGCATACATCTTGGTTACTGCTTTATGTTTTATGATCGCCTTTGGTGGTTTCGTTTTCGGTTGGGATACTGGTACCATTTCAGGTTTTGTTAACATGAGTGATTTCAAAAGAAGATTTGGTCAAACTCATGAAGATGGTACCCATTATTTATCAAAAGTTAGAGTTGGTTTAATCGTCTCTATTTTCAACATTGGTTGTGCTTTTGGTTCAATTTTCTTATCCAAAACCGCTGATATGTATGGTCGTCGTCTTGCTTTAATGATTATGATGGTTATTTACATTGTTGGTATTTTGATTCAAATCACTTCAATCGATAAATGGTATCAATATTTCATTGGTCGTATCATCTCAGGTTTAGCTGTTGGTGGTATCGGTGTTATCTCTCCATTATTCATTTCTGAATCAGCTCCAAAGCATTTAAGAGGTGCCTTAGTTTCATGTTACCAATTGATGATTACTTTTGGTATCTTTTTAGGTTACTGTACCAATTACGGTACTAAAGTTTATGAAAACTCTGCTCAATGGAGAGTTGGTTTAGGTTTATGTTTCTTCTGGGCTATTATGATGATTATCGGTATGATCTCTATGCCTGAATCTCCACGTTTCTTGATTAGAAACAACAGATTAGATGAAGCTAGAAAATCAATTGCTTACTCAAACAGAGTTTCTGCTGAAGATCCTTCAGTTTACGCTTTAGTTGAAGAATTAGATGCTGCTATTAGAAAAGAAGAATCTGCTGGTAAAGCTACTTGGGGTGAATTGATCACTGGTAAACCAAAAATTTTCTACAGATTGATGTGTGGTGTTATGATTCAAGCTTTACAACAATTGACTGGTAACAATTATTTCTTCTACTATGGTACTACTATTTTCCAAGCTGTTGGTTTAGAAGATTCTTTCCAAACTTCTATTGTCTTGGGTGTTGTTAACTTTGTCTCCACCATCATTTCTATTTACTCTGTCAACAAATTAGGTGGTCGTCGTTCATTATTGATCGGTGCTGCTGGTATGGTTGCTTGTTACGTTGTCTATGCTTCAGTCGGTGTTACCAGATTATACACAAACCCAGAACACACTGAATCCTCAAAAGGTGCTGGTTCAGTTATGATTGTCTTCGCATGTTTCTTCATTTTCTTCTTTGCCACTACTTGGGGTCCAGTTGCTTTCGTTGTCGTTTCAGAAATTTACCCAATCAGAATTAAATCAAAGGCTATGGGTCTTGCTACTGCTGCCAATTGGTTGTGGGGTTTCTTAATCTCATTCTTCACTCCATTCATCACATCAGCTATTAACTTCTACTATGGTTATGTTTTCATGGGATGTTGTGTCTTTGCTTTTGTTTTCGTCTACTTGACCATTCCAAGTACCAGAGGTTTATCATTAGAAGAAGTTGATGAATTATATGCTTCAAATGTTAAAGCTTGGGAATCTGCTTCATGGACTCCAACTAGACGTTACACTCAAGATGCTGCTTACAACAAAGCTCAATCTGCTCAATTAGAACATGCTAAAGATAACAACTCTGAAGAAATTGCTTAAGCATATACTGTACAATACCATTTAAAGAATAGTAAAAAAGGGGGAGTAATTTTTTGAGGTTGTTGCAAACCATAGTTAATTTAATGATTATTTAATGAAGAAGTCATGTTTATTATCAATTTCAATTGGTAATATTCACAATATGAAAAAAAGACAAATATAAGGTCAATGATATATTATAGAATACATATTAAATATAGTTTTGAAATGAAAGTTTTATTTATTTGAAATGATTATTGATGTAGAGAATTTTTCTAGTAAACAATACTTATAATGGTTCTCATGATATTGTTCAAATTATTTAGTTATGATCTGAGCAACGCAATATGGTTGTAATCAATCTTGTTCTAAACTTGGGCTATGACTATACACATCCTCATAAATATTGTTCCTGATACCACCATTTTTATCTTTTGAGAAAACAACAAATGGACTAAACGGACTCTGAGGCTTTTGGAAATGATATGATGGACTGTGAAGCTTAAATGTGTGGTATTTCTCACATTCAGCACCCCTTGACAATGGCGAAACAAACCCATCACCAATATCGTCTTCATCATTATCAATATGGGTCACTGGTGATACTGCTTTTGATGCAGTTCCATCTTCAACATCATCATCTTGAGACAATACACCTTGGTCCAAATCATCAGGGGATAAGGTAATTGGAGTATCTATCGTTGGTAAACCACAGTCAATATTTCTTAACAAAATCAGAGTATTTGAAATTTGTATACCTTTTTCAAAAGTTGATGATGCCTTTGAGTTCTTCGCTGATGAAATTGGTGATTCTTGAGGTTCACAAGATTTAGGAAAAGCATCAGAAATCCCTAATAATGATTGTAATGCAGAGATTTCAGTACTGGCAGCTTCAAGTTTAGATTCATGAACTTTCACAGAAGTAGATATATGATTATTCAATTCTAAAATATTTTGGATCAAGTTATGATTCAACTTGATTTTATCTTGAAGCTGATCACAAACATGACAGTGATAATCCACAAGTGAAAGCCAATCCTCTTTTGATACATGGTTTTTCTCTTTAACAAAAGCATACAAATCTTCTTTAGAGTAAATGTTTCTTTCAATTGGTGAAGCACCAATTTTCTCTATCAATGCCTCAGTTTCTTGCATAATGCTTTTCATATCTAGGCCACTAGGCTTCCCAATCAAACCATCACCAGCAACTTTATGGGCCAAAGACGGTGATCTATAGCTACTGGATGCAGATAACCTTCTATGTGAACCATCATCGTTATCACCCATATTCTCTTTATTAATATCAGTGGAACCTCCCGATAGAGTTTTGTTCTTCTTTGGGGTAGAGTTGGCTATCTGGATATCGCCATTGTCACCGTTTACATCTTCAAAAAGATTGAAAAACCCTGGAGCTTTCTTATTAGAGCTTGGCCTTGATTTATAAGTTGCTCTAATTGTTGCAACAGAGGATGGACGTGATTTGGAAACACCAGCCTTCAAAGTCAGAGCTTTCAGTGCCTGTTTGTTGGAAGCATGTTGAGCAAACGAAATAGTTGGTTGAGCGTAGCTTGGAAGTTTGGAGTCAGCAACATTTGACGAGTTGCCAGCTAATGGTATTGATAAACTTCTACTTCTTTGTTTATTCAGTGATGATGATGATGATGATGTACCTCTCAACGAACGTGAACCAGACATGACCGTGTTGATAGCACCAGTGCCAGAGTTGGGAACCACTCACTCATATTAAACCAACAATACAAAGCCAAATAAAGTTTGCAGCATATTGATTTTAATTGAAAGTGTCTTTGTGTACCACTGATAAAATTCGAAAATGTATTAGCTGAGTGCCCCTGACAATTGGTTTAGAGGACACATGCTGGCCCTTTCCCACAAAACGAGTTCGCGACTTTTTTTTTGAGTCAGTCATAAAATTTTTTATTTTTGAAGCCCATCGGTCAAGTTGTCAAAAGTTCATCATCTAACTTTCCAATTGTGACTTGAGTTCAGTTCAATCCCAGCTTAAAGATAGACTTTGGATGCTTATTAGAGCCTCTTCTAATTTTTCAAAGCCATACAACTACATTAATAGACTAATAAAACCAGTCTGTTCCTCCATCAGGGGTTTATCAACTAGATCATCATTACTAGCTCAAAAGAAAGATTATACACAAATATTGACTCACAAACCAGATTTTACCAAAATGACAACCATTAGTTCTTCACTAGAAAAACTTTCATTGAAAGAACCAACCAAATATGAGGGTTCATACCCAGAATACAACACTGTTGATCTTTTACGTAACTATATTACCCAAGAATTATCAAAGATCTCTGGTGTTGAACCAAAATTGATCTTCCCAGCTTTAGAATGGACAAACACTTTAGATCGTGGTGATTTATTAATCCCAATCCCAAGATTACGTATAAAGGGGGCCAAACCTCAAGAATTAGCTACCGAATGGGCTGAAAAATTCCCATTAGGTGAATATCTATCAAAAGTTGAAGGTAATGGTCCTTTTATTCAATTTTTCTTTTCTCCAAAATTTTTGTTCAACCTTGTTGTTAAAGATGTTTTGAAACGTAAAGAAGATTATGGTGCTTGTCCAATTGGTGAACAAAAGAAATTGATTATCGAATTCTCTTCTCCAAATATTGCAAAACCTTTCCATGCCGGTCATTTACGTTCCACTATTATCGGTGGGTTCTTGTCTAATTTATATGAAAAATTAGGCTGGGATGTCACTCGTATTAATTATTTAGGTGATTGGGGTAAACAATTCGGTTTATTAGCTGTTGGTTTCGAAAGATATGGTTCAGAAGAAGAACTATTGAAAAACCCAATTAACCATTTATTTGAAGTTTATGTTCGTGTCAACAAAGATGTTGAAAATGAAGGTGATTCATTATCTGAAGAAGAATCAACTAATGGTAAGGCTCGTGCTTATTTCAAAAAAATGGAAGATGGTGATGAAGATGCTTTGAAAATTTGGAAAAGATTCCGTGATTTATCAATTGAAAAATATATTGGTACTTATAAACGTTTAAATATTCAATATGATGTTTATTCAGGTGAATCTCAAGTTTCACAAACTAAAATGAATGAGGCCCTAGCAACTTTTAAAGAACAAGGCTTAACACATGAAGATAAAGGTGCTCTATTGATTGATTTGAAAAAATTCAACAAAAAATTGGGTAAATGTATTGTCCAAAAATCAGATGGTACTACTCTATATTTGACTAGAGATGTTGGTGAAGCTGTTCAACGTTATGAAAAATATAAATTTGACAAAATGATTTATGTCATTGCTTCTCAACAAGATTTACATGTTGCCCAATTCTTTGAAATTCTGAAACAAATGGGTTACAAATGGGCTGAGAACTTGCAACATATAAATTTTGGTATGGTTCAAGGTATGTCCACCAGAAAAGGTACTGTTGTGTTTTTAGATAACATTTTAGAAGAAACTAAAGAAAAAATGCATGAAGTTATGAAGAAAAATGAAGCTAAATATGCTCAAATTGAAAACCCAGAAGAAGTTGCTGATCTTGTTGGTATCTCTGCTGTTATGATTCAAGATATGCAAGCTAAACGTATTAACAACTATGAATTTAAATGGGAACGTATGCTTTCATTTGAAGGTGATACTGGTCCATACTTACAATATGCTCATTCACGTTTAAGATCAGTTGAAAGAAACTCTGGTATCCCAGCTGAAAAATTAACCGAAGCTGATTTCTCATTATTAACAGAACCACAAGCTGAATTATTAATTCGTTTATTATCACAATATCCCGATGTTTTAAGAAATGCCATGAAAACTAATGAACCGGCAACTGTTGTCACTTACTTGTTCCGTTTGACCCATCAAGTCTCTTCTTGTTATGATGTCTTATGGGTTGCTGGTCAAACTGAAGAATTGGCTACTGCTCGTCTTGCATTATACGCTGCTGCTCGTCAAGTCTTGTATAACGGTATGACCTTGTTAGGTTTGACTCCAGTTGATAGAATGTGAGGTGGTGTTTTCTTTTTAAACCTGTGTATATTTATAAATTAGTTAGATTGATACAACAAATTGATTAACTTTTTCATGAGTTTGAGTGTAGATGATATGAGCTTTAGTTCAATAATCCAAGAAGAAGTTTGAAGATCTGATGGCTCATTATTATAAGTATCGACAGTATCCGAAAACTGTCTGCATGTCATGCTTTCTTGAGCACCAATAACAGCTCAATGGCAAAGAACACCAATCATAGAGTAGATGATGGCTACTTTGAAGATTACAAGCGTCTTATCGATTTTGAACATCGCGAGTACTATGTACATATTAAAATACCCGAAATCTGCCATTTAGACAAAACACATTCTTCTTGTTTACACGCTGAAAAATAATTTGATTGGCGTTAAAAGCAGCCTTAATGTGAAATGTGTTCGGGCGCATCAACTGGTATTAATTTCAATAAGATATCTTTAGAATTTAGCCCAAAAATTCAAATTTTTACACCAGCCATGCACCTCCTAGATGCCTAAAGGAAAAAACCGAAAGACACCGGTTACAGTGGCCGAGTGGTTAAGGCGATGCCCTGCTATTTAGAGTAGCTGTTAGGCATTGGGTTCTACCTGCGCAGGTTCGAATCCTGTCTGTAACGCCATTTTTTTTTGCAAAGGTTTTGCTTCATTTTAGCCCAAAACCTATATGGATGCATTATTTAAATCTCTCAGAATATGGTGATATACTTTATTCCCCTTGAGAAGCATTTAAATGGTGTTTTATCACAAGATTAAAATCCATTAAAAGAAAAAAGTATGTTGCGCTTACCGGCTGAAATTTTTTGTATGGCAGTTCCAAAAAAAAAAATTATATGAGAAGAGCTGATTAAAAAATTAGGAACCACTTATCACAGTTTCACATTCATAAAGACGAAATCTCAAGATGGGTAAAGCTAAAAAGACCAGAAAGTTCGCTGCAACTAAGCGTATCATCACAAATAAAGATCAAAGAATGTATGTGGATTTTGCAGGCTAAATCTGAGTTGATTAGGTACTAACTACTTTATTATAGTAAGAAAAATCAAGAGAAGCAAACACCAAAGAAAGATGATCCCGAACTAGCAAGACATGTGTGAGTAAATCATTTACTTCGAAATTATTGTTTATAGTACTAACATTCTTTCAAGCCCTCAAGTTTCAAGTGCATTGTTCTTTCAATTTAACGAGGCCATCAAACCACCTTATCAAGTGCTTATAGATACCAATTTCATAAATTTTTCCATTCAAAAGAAAATAGATATTGTTAGAGGTATGATGGACTCTTTGTATGCCAAATGTATTCCATTAATTACAGATTGTGTTATGGCAGAATTGGAAAAATTAGGTCCAAAATATCGTATTGCGCTAAGATTAGCAAAAGACCCAAGAATACAAAGATTGACATGTTCACACAAAGGTACATATGCGGATGACTGTCTTGTTCAAAGAGTTCTTGATCATAAATGTTTTATAGTAGCCACAAATGATGCTGATTTAAAACGTCGTATAAGAAAAGTCCCAGGTATCCCTATCATGAGTGTCGGTTCGCACTCTTATGTTATTGAAAGATTACCAGATGTGTTTTAGATTGGTTTCAACTTTGGGTTTTTTAATGGTAGGAATAGAATATTATGTACATTAGAGATTGGTTGTAATTGAATGTTTGGATCAAGATCATTTTGACTTTGTAAGGTATTTCTCTTTGATCTAAAGGACCAAAAATGAGCTGGATTTATCAGAACGGAAAAGAAAACCCACTTGAATGATGGCTACTCATGCGATTTCTTTTCATCATAACCTAAGCTTTGAATTTTGTAATCTTTGTCTTTTCCAAGGAAATCGCTGCCCGAAGTATTTTGACAGATTTTTGTTTTTGGTTTTTCTAAAATCAAGATGGCGATGGAATCAATATTACAACCATTTTAAGCAAAAGACCATTAAATTCAATTGAAGATAAATACAAAGAATGGGCAATGCTGACGTGAGTGACGCAGCTGTGAAGCAAATCACAGAAATGGGATTTCCTGAAGAACAGGCAATTCAAGCATTACGAGTAAGTCAGATCTCATCCCGTTCTAAGGACACAAACCCTAACATAATCAAGGCAACTGGAGGTGATGTTAACGAGGCACTTAACTTAATATTTCAAGGTGCTGACTTTTCACAAGGTCAAGAGTTACTTCAGCAAGATGCTCAACTACCAGATTATGTGGACCCAGGTTATAATTATCAAGTTGATGAAAAGAGATCGATTCCAATTGAATCTGGGCTAATAAATGATAAGATTCAGCCACCATCTTATGAACAAGAGGAAAACCCACCACCAGTACCACCTAGACAAAACCGTCCGATTCATATTGAGGACATTCAGCATCGATCACAAAGTGAAGTCTCATTATCAGATTCAGGGTATTTGCCAGACTCTGAGACTTATAAATATCAGCAACAATTACAAGTGGAACCAGAGTACTCCATTTATGAAGATTTGACAAAGTATCAGAAGCCAGATGATGCACCATCTCTTTTGATGCCAGTAAGAAATGGTGTATTAGAAAGTTATTTAAACCCTTTCTTAACAGTGTTGCACTCTATTCCAGCTTTCCGCAAGGCAGTTTACAATCAAACTTTTGAAACCCTTGGTTTCCATCCACGTTGGTACAAAGGTGAACTTATCAATGTTCCAGATGGTACAGCTATTAAAGCTAAGAATGGTGAAACTTACGATTTGAGGTTTTTGCTTGAAGTGCAAAGAATTTTTGCATTTCTTGATGGTGATTCCGGTAGATATTTTGCTTCAATGAATAATTTCATAAGATCATTCCCAAAAATCGCACAGAAAAAATTTGGTTCCATAGACAATATTTATGAAGCATATGCTGTGTTTTATAGTGTTTTGGCATCACAATTAGACGTTTCAGGTTCTGGTAATGCTCTGTCATTTTTTGAGAGTGAACTAGAGGATTTAGCAGATGCAAACAAGAAGTTTGGTATGTTTCACGTTGAAGCTGAAGAGCTCAAGGGGGATTTGTATTCAACGTTGCATAGTATATTATGGGGTGATGATCTGGATAACCAGCAATTTTTGTCCAAGTTGTCGGATGTGATGACAATGTCTTTTGAACCTTCCTATGACGAAACTATCATATCAAAAGGTGTTTTAATTTCGGAGAAATTTTACCCACAAATTTATACTACAGATTTTAAAGAGACAATTTCTGAATTGCTGGAAGAAAGAAACTCATTTGATAAAAAGAAAAGATTGATATCAAGGGAATTACTGAATCTAAGAGCTTTCAATGGTAAACATGTGTCATCTATACTTTCAACCTCAATAGAGTTTTTAAGTTCAGAATTGAAAAACTTAAATGAGGAGGATAAGGAATTGGCGGATGCAGTGAAAGATTTAGAATCCATTAAAGCTGATAACCATGAAAAAATCATTAGTTTGACGGATAAGCAAAACACTTTACAAGACGAGAAAGCAAAAATCAATCCATATGATGTTAATGCTATATTTAAACGTCATGGAAGTGTTCCTGAACCATACTTATTAACGGGTGTGATACTGAGTAATAATGAATTTTATTTCTTGAGAAAAGTTAAAGAAGATTTGATTGATTTGGAGCAAAATCAAAACCAATGGATTCGTGTACTTTATGAACCAAAATATGGTAATGATCTCAGATGTTCGGTATCAAGTTTTGAAGAAGTGCAAAGGGTTGTTCATGCTACAACACAAGGTCAATATGAAACATCGTTAGTTTTGATCTATGTCAAAGAATCCACATGGACTACAGAGGTTGAGTATGAAGTTCCTGAATCTGTCACAAATTTTATTGCGAAAGATAAGTTAGAATTAGAGAAATCATTGGAATTATTGGCATCCAGTACAGATGAGGAATTAAGTGACGAAGAAGGAGATGAAGAAGAAGATGGTAATGGAATGGAACAGAGTGCAGGCGTCACTAACCAGGAAGGTGAGATTTCTTTGAAAGGGAATGATGAGAACTCAGAGGATAAAGAGAATGCACCACCAACGTATTAGAAGAATTAATGATTAAATATTTGTGTACAACCAGTGTAGCCTCTCTGCCTAGCCGTTTTTGCTTAGCTCTGTGCGTGCGAATTCCAAATTTGAGCCTAAGGAGCTTATCTCTAAGCGGAGATTATTAAAACGGAGATCAAAAACGTCAACAACCAAATAAGTCATAATGTCCATTATTCTTTTTACCTCCAATTGAACCTTCCTTTAACCATATACAGATGTCGTCTTTCAAAGTTGGACTACTAGTGATCTCGGATACAGCGTCTAAGGACAACTCAGAAGATAAAACGTCCGTCAAGATTGAAGAATTCTTTGCCAACTCTGAGTTAAATCCAGGATATGAGATAATCAAGAAGGATATTATACCTGATGATATTGGACAAATTCAATTGAAATTAAGACAATGGACTGAAACTGATGAATTGAAATTGATCTTAACATCTGGTGGTACTGGGTTCAGTGATAGAGATGTCACACCTGAAGCTGTGAAGCCATTGATTGAAAAAGAAGCGAGTGGTATTGTTCACACCATGATGAGTTATTCATTGAAAATTACCCCCTATGCAATGATGTCAAGACCTGTTGCTGGTATCAGAAATAAGACTTTGATAGTAACAATCCCAGGCTCACCAAAAGGTGCAGTGGAAAACATTGAAGGTATAATTGGTGTTTTGGGCCATGCTTTAAAACAAATTGGTTCAGCAGGATCGAGACATTTACACAAGTCAGAGCCAAAGGCTAAAGAGCATACACATTCTCATAGCCATGGTCATCATCACCACCATCATCATCATGCTCATGAAGGTGGCCATCATGGTGTCAAACGTCATATCTTGTCAAATGATTTAAGTAAACCAATCACTCAAAGGGCAAGAGAATCACCATACCCAATGATCGAAGTCAATGAAGCCTTCAAACTTATCAATGAATTCACGCCTTCTCCTCAAGTCGAAATCAAAAAAATCAATGATCCTTCAATTACTGGATATATCGTTGCAGAAGATATTTATGCCAACATAAATGTTCCAAATTTTAGAGCTAGTATAGTGGATGGGTATGCTGTTATAAACTCAGATGGCGCAGGTGTTTATAAAGTTGTACAAGTGTCACATGCATCTCCTAGTGTTTCTTCAACTTTGCAAAAAGGCACAATTGCAAGAGTCACCACTGGTGCGCCAATTCCCGATGGTGCTAATGCAGTTGTCCCAGTTGAAGAAACAGAGTTGATTTCAACTAAAGATGAAGGAGAAGAGGAAGATGAGGTTAAAATTTTGGCAACTAATGTTGAAGAGAACGATAATGTTAGAGGTGAAGGTACTGATATTGCAAAAGGTGATTTGGCGTTGGCTAAAGGCTCACAAATATCACCAGTTGGTGGCGAAATTGGATTATTAGCTAGTATTGGTGTGACTTCGCTCAAAGTTTTCAAGAAACCTAAGATTGGTATTTTATCTACTGGTGATGAATTGGTTGATCTTGGTGAGAATTGTCCAACTGGTGAACTGAAATTTGGTCAAATTTATGATACCAATAGACCTTTATTATTACAAACTTTCCGCAATTGGGGGTACGAGACCAAAGATTTAGGGATAGCCAAAGACACATCGAAAGCTACAGAGGCAACAATTAGAAAGGCATTCCTCGAAGATGATTTAGATTATATTATAACTACTGGTGGTGTTTCAATGGGTGAATTAGATTTGTTGAAGCCAACGATTGAACGTCAATTAGGAGGAATAATTCATTTTGGAAGAGTTGCAATGAAACCAGGTAAGCCTTCTACTTTTGCAACGATTGAAGTCAAGGGAAAGAGAAAGGTTATCTTTGCATTACCTGGTAATCCAGCTTCTGCTAGTGTTACTTCACATCTGTTTGTTTTACCTTCTTTGAGGAAATTCAGTGGAGTTATAAATTTGCAAGATCCTAAAGAATTGCCAGGATTCTCCAAAGTGAATGTTACGTTAACAAAGCAAACCAAGCTTGATCCAAGACCTGAATACCAAAGAGTTTATATTCATCAATCAACTATAGGTGATGAGTTGTTTGCAGACTCCACTGGATTCCAAAGAAGTAGCCGTGTTGGAAGCTTGGCTGGTGCCAACGGTCTATTGATTCTTCCATCGAGCAAGACAGTAGCAGGAGGATTCCTGCCTAAAGGCTCTAAAGTTCAGGCCCTTGTTATAAACGTTTTATAGATGATGATTCAGATTACGACGATTTTGACAGTTTCTGACGTAAGCCACATGCCTGTACCTGAATCTAGCCAGAAAAGCCTACAATTGGAACATGAAGAAACAAGAAACAGGTATACAAGTTTACTTTGAAAAGATCAGATGCCTTTTTTCTTGATTATAGCTTACTGGTAAAGATCTTTAGATCTTCTGTATCGTTCCATAAAAGGGTCCCTTTTTCTAAATATTTGTGTCCGTTCTAAAATCTCAAGATTCGCCAAATTTCACATCATCAAAGAAGAGAAAAATTTAGTTCCCTCCAACTGCCGAAGGAGTTGGGCTCCCAAAATTTCAAATGGAAATGAACCTGATCCAAGCCAGAACACATCCCATAAACAGATACAGAGTCTATCCATACTAGCAAATGAAGTATTAGCCCCTCTAACAGAATCCCTTCATCACCCTCGTCTCTTCCAACCTGCTCATCTCTTTTGACAGCTACTTTTTTTTATAACCCATTCGTTTTTTTTACACCACATCATCATCAGCTCAACAAAGAGAACAAAGATCCCTGTTTAATACCCAGCTATTCCCTTCAACAAACACAAACCCTTAGCTTTCCAAAGATGCTGCTTTCATATAAATTCCAAAGGTTTTTCAAAAGAGTACTGATCCCTTTTGCGGTGCTGCTATACATAGTGCTGTCATTTTTCAGTCTCCATACAAGAAATATTTATCACAACGGGTTACATCAACTTGAACCTTATAGAGGCGGTCCATTCGATGATATCAAGAAAATCAAATGCTATAGATGGTATGGTCATTGTAATCAAATCATTGAGAATTCAGATTATGACAATGGTGATATTATTTGGCATAGAGTGGATAAAAATCTAGATCTAAATGGTGAAAGCCCCAGTTCTTGGTCATTTTATCGAGAATATCTTTATGTCCATATTTCTACAAAGAAAAGATTCAATTCCCCAGGTAGGGCAATAGTGGATCTTGCCATAGGGGATCAATCTTCAAAAGATCCACCGTTTTATGTTGTTAATGATGCTCAATCTAGAAGTGGTCGTCCTAAATCAAGACTAGATGTTACTTATAATTACAACAATTGGGAACTAAGATTTGATGGGATCTGGGCTAAATATGATAAATCAAACTCAGAAGACGCTATAACAAATGTGCAATACCTGTTTGGTAATGACATTATTGAACCAAGAGCTGATTGGACATTGGTTAATGGTAATATAAACTCTAATGCTAAAATAACGGTACATCGTGGCCCATTAAATGAAAAAGGTGATATTTTAAAGAAAGTGCCAATCTTACTACAACAGAATGATGAATTTAAAATTTTACAAGTTTCTGATTTACATTTCAATTCAGATTTTGGTACATGTAAAGATCAAGTCAATGAAGAACATGGCTGTAAGGCAGATGCTAAAACTTTAAGTTTCCTTCATCAAGTTCTTGATTTAGAATCTCCAGATCTTGTTGTGCTCACAGGTGATATTATTGATGGTTTCAATACAATGGATTATCAAACTGCAATACTTAAAGCATTATCACCATTTATCTCAAGATCGATTCCATTTGCAATCGCTTTGGGTGAAAATGACAAAAACCAGTATGCTTCAAGAGAGGAGATCATCAATTTCATAATGGAATTACCTTATTCTATGATGGGTAATAATGACCCAAAACAACATCATAATTCCATCTCTGGAGATAAAACAAATTATGCATTAAGGATCTATGATAGCAAAAATGACCATTTACAAAATGTCATCTATATACTAGATATTTTCCAAGAAGATGTCAATCAACAAGAGTTTCTAAAACAAACTTTTGATTCATTCACTGAAAAACCAAAATTTTCATTAGAATTTCAACACCATCCAATACAACAATATAGACCAAAATCAGCATTTGCCATAGTGGGTGCTTATAATGAAAAAAGCAAATTGAAAATAAAGACAAATCCACAAATAAGACAAACCCTAAGTGATATCAATGTCCAGGCAATGTCTGTTGGTCACGAACACACTAATGAATGCTGTATCCATAGTGAAGATAAAGATAACAAACTGAAACCCCTTTGGTTATGCTATGGTGGTGGAACTGGTGAAGGTGGTTATGGTAACACTAAAATCAAATATGAAAGAAGAGTACGGTTGTTTAGAATGAATACTCAAAAAATGGAGATCACATCTTGGAAACGGAAACAGAGTGAGCCTTCTTCAGTGTTTGACTACCAATACATTTACAATTAAAAATGATTATTAATTATTATTTATTTATTGCTTAAAAGAGATCTGGAATTTCTACAATCTTGGTTATATTTTAATCCAATTTCCACAACTTCTAATTCAAATTCAAATACGTTTATATTTTTTCGTTCCGGCCACTAATAGAGGATAATTTTTTTTTTTAATTTTTTTTTTTTTGGCCATCTGAAAATTGTAGTTAGAGAGACAGAGAGACGTGCAGTAGAAACAGTTGACAAAACATTGAAAACCCCATCAAAAACTAGTGTCAAATCAAGATATTGGGCTGGTTCAAATCATTCATATATATTCTGCATACGCATAATGAGTCGGCCAAACGTTGGCGAGGTGTCTGTGGAAGAGTATCAGGTATGTGATTATTTTATCGTGTTTTATAAAAGAATAACACACATCTATTGATTTGAGAAATTTGTTACTAACATGATTAGCATATATATCAACAGATCAGCCTGTTGAGGCTATCTGACTTGAAGCTGGTGGCAAAAGCCCTTTCCATTGCACAAGCGGGTCGTAAAGCTGATGTCGCTGATAGAATCAAAAAATATCTACAAACAGGACGTGAACGAGGAGACAGTATCAGAGTGATGGCAATTGGCCATATAGTGAAGGCTGCTGCTAATTATGAAAATATACCTACGTTTGAAGTCGCTTATCGTCATTACCAAGGTTTAAATGGGTTGAATAATATGGCCAACAACCAACAACAACATCAACAAAATCCTTCATCTTCACAAGATCTTCTCCCCAAATCTCAAACGAATCCTACACGCGCTTGGTTATTTTTCAAAGAGAATCCATTCTTTGTGTTGAAGAAATTGGTTACCCCTAATGCTGGTCACTGTTTCAAAGCTCCAGAGACAAGAGGTACCTGCCGCGTTCAATTTGTGTTGAATGAACAAGATCATAATTTGTTGAAATCATCTTCAAAGTACAAATTATTTTTGTTGTGTGGTGCTTTTGATAAATCCAAACCATCCACAGATGCATTGATTGAATTTCCACAACCTTTAGAGATACATTTTAATGGTACTTTAGTCAAAGATAACGTCAAGGGTTTGAAAAATAAACCAGGAACTGCAAGACCAGCCAATTTAACACCTTATATTGCTGCTCCAAATCGTACCAATAACTTGGATATGGTTTATGCATTTTCCAAAACTGATTACCTGATCTTTTGTTATTTAGTTGAAGAAGTTTCACCAGAAAAATTGTTACAAAGAATTTTGGCAAATCCACATATTGGAAAACAAAAAACACTTGATGAATTTCAAAATGGTGATGATGAAGATGATATACAAGAAGTTTCAACAAGGTTGAGTTTGAAGTGTCCATTATCATTCACAAGATTAAAATATCCAACTAAATCTATCAGCTGTAAACATTTACCATGTTTTGATGCCCTTTCCTTCATTTATTTACAAGAACAAGCTCCTACATGGACATGTCCTGTATGTTCTACCCCAGTGAGAGTGAAGGATTTATCTATTGATGATTACGTGATGGATATTATGAAGAATACTCATGAAGATGTGGAAACTGTTGAAATTGATTTAGATGGTAACTGGAAACCAGTCATAGAAGGTGATGATAACAACAATAGCAAAAGAGGTACACCTGGTGCTAATCCAAATCCTGGTACACCAACAAACTTGAAAAGAGAGGAATCGGAATCTTCAAATCAACAACAGGTTTCTTTGATGGACTCACCTGTTGTTATTAGCTTGGATAGTGATGAGGAGGACGAAGATCAAGTGCAAGCACCAACTCAAGCTCAAGCACCTCAAGTTCAAGCACCTCAGAGCCACGAGCAACAACCTCAGCAACAAGGACAACACCACCATCATCAGCATCAGCAAGCTCAGACAGAGGGACAACAACAAAACGCTTTTCAAGTGCAACCTCAAGCTCAGCAGCAAAATCCAGGGCCACCTTCGTTACCTCAAATTCAAAGTAATAACACACCATCTTCCATTCCTAGTACAAGGGAGTCAGGTTCGAATCAGCAAGTTGCTTCATCAAGAGAAAGCTCCTCTACTCCTATCACAACAGCTACACATGCTTCTACTGCTTCCACTGGACTTCCGAGAAGACAACCCCCTGCTATTGTTGATAGTTCAGATACAACACCTGATTCAACCGTTGCCTCTTTGTTTAACGATCCAAAAGAAAATCAAAGTCACGGGTCAGTACCTTTGAGCTCAAATGAACCACCTGCATCACTTAATAATTCCGGTCATTCTAACTTGCAACACCAGCATCAGGTACTTGTGCAATCTTCTAACAACAACAACAACAACAGCCCCCTGATAAGGAAGCCACCACCACCATCACCTCCAAATACTCAGAAGCATGTACAACAACAACAATCAAACAGTGCTCCACATCAAATTTTGAGACAGGCGGTGCCACCTCATCAACTTCCTCAGCTTGCCCCAAGACAGACACCAGCTCAAAATCAGCCTTCTGTTCCTCTTCAACAGGTTCATCCAGTTGCAACACTACAAGGGTTACCAGTTATGTCACCGGATCCAGCTGTGGTAAATAATGGCAATAATGGTGGTCACCTTCAACCACCATTCCAAGTATCTCAACATCAATCACCACCACCACCGCCACCACTACAGCAGCAACAACAACAACTTCCTCCACCACCACCTCCTCCTCCAGCTCAGCAACAGCATCAGCAACAAGGTAGACCTTTGGGAGCTTATCAACAGGCCAATGTTTCACCAGCGATTGGATCAAATGCTTCCTCTTCATCAAAAGAGAGTTCTAGCACTGGAACTCATCAAAATAGAAGTCCATTACTTACTGAACAACCTGGGGCCCATGTTGCCAATTCAATGTCACCACCATCTTCTACATCATCACCAAATCTGTCAACGGCAGTGCCTCAGAAGAAGTTGAGTGCTTATGAAGCTGAAAAAAACGAACTAGATCAATTAAGAATGAGAATTAACAGGGCAAAGAGTGCTAATAAGGCTAATAGTCCCTTGGTTCCACCTGCTGTTCCAAGCCACCAAAGATTTGATAGATTATCAACAAATTATCCAGTCCCTGGGTTAGTTAATCATGGATTTCCTCCACCTTTTAATGTGGTCAGCCAGAATACTTCTCCTTTGCAGCAACAACAGCAGCTTCCTCATGTAAATGGTGCTCAGCAGCAGCTATATCATCATCAACAAAATCCTCAATCTCAAGTTTTGCCTGTTTCCCAAGACCATCAGCAAAGGCTTTACCTTCAACAACAACTTCAAAAGGAACAACAAGAGCAAAGAATTCAAAAGCAAAAAAGGGATCTTCAACAGCGTCAACAGCAACTTCAACAGCTCCAGCAACATCAACAGTCTCATCATCAGTCTTCAACAGTCTCAGCATCGGATGTAACTACAGGGGAAAATCAAAGGTCACTTCCAAAACAAGTTCAACCTGCTGCTGCTTCATCAGGTCCAAACCAACAAGACTCGTCTTCAATTCCTGAACAACATCCGGTACAGCAACGCGTCAAAGATGTTTATGGTGCTGATATACAACATGATAAAAATGGTCAAACTGGGACTAAACCTATTGAACAAAGAAGAGCTACATCTAATCCTATTTTCAGTCAAACGGTTGATCAATCAAATCTGAAAGCAAGTTTGGAAAATTATCAGCAGCGAAATGGCTTGAATAGGGCAAATACTGTCAATGTTGTCCAAACACAAGGTCATGCTGGTTTGATAAATAATATTCAGAAATTGAAGGACGATATTAATGCTCATCGTGTGTCTGCTAGCACATCGAGTAATAATTTGAATGCCCATACGCACAGCTCAAATCCTTCAACAACAAATGAAGTACCAGCTTCTTTACCTGTGCCTCCTTTTTCAACGTTTAAGGTGCCAAATTATCATCAAGGTAATCATGAACCTGCTAAACCAGATCGACCTGGTACTAAAATTGATTTAAACCAAGGAGAAAACAGTACATCCGCCCAACCACCTGAACCTTCAAATTCATCTGGTGCTGCTAATAATATTCATGTTCCAAATTGGAGTGCCAATAGCTTATTGCGTCCCTCAGGTTCTGTTTTTTCACCATCGAGATTTTCTTCTGAGAACACAAATCAACAACAACATGAGAACCCTCCTCATCAACAACAACAACATGGACAACAGGGACAATCTCAAGCGAATGAAAATTCTGCTGTTCAAAACAACCCACCTTCTTTACCTCAGAAGCCAGCAGTATCTGGTGGTATTTTGGGTATTAATATTGATCCTAATGCATTGCTAAAGAAAGATGGGTTAAATGGCCAATCAACATCCCAATCAAGCTCTACTAAAAATTCGCCAGTGATTGGTAATCAACAAGGTCCGCCACCTTTGGGTAAACCAAGATCAACTGCTAATGTTTTCCTGCCTTCTAAGAGACCTGTTAATATAGCTGAAAAGAAAAGAGCACCTTCACCACACCAAGTTGATCAACAGAATCCGAAAAGACCACTGATTCAGAAAGCTCCTATTAATCCAGGTGATAAAGCTGCGCATCCTGTTATTGATCTTACAAGTGACGGTGAAGATGATGATACACCATTGCTGCTAAGAGATGATAATCCTTTAAATAGGGCAAAGAAGAGCACATAATGAATGAACGTTATATTTAATTCGTGTATTATTAACATAGTTCCGTAGCTGTCCGAAGCACCTTCTCAACACTATCGAGTTCCGTGGATTAAAGGCTACAGGAGATGTGACTTGATAACTAAGTCTGATTCTGTAGAGTACCAGCTTTTTTTTTACTCCCATTGGCAAATCATCGTCAACATTTGCATAGTCAAGATATCATCAAATAACAGTTCGCGAATTTGATCTCTCTTTATAGACACATGATACATGACAGTCTACAGTGTACATCTAGATAATGAAAAATAAATATGTACTAAAATCTATTACCAAAACGTATCATTCCATTTTTGAAGTTCTTTTGATTGTGCAATAACATCTTTTTGTGCCTTTTTACGCATATAGAAGATTGGACAATCTTTGTTTGAACATAAAACATCTTGATGTAATGAACCTTGACACCTTTGACATTCTGTCCATAATCTTGAAAATTTAACTTGTAAAGCATTCATACCAGCTAATGCTTCACTATATAGTTTACCTGCTTTTGGTTTACAATTGTCACATAATGCACCTAGATTGTTCTTAGGTAATGGATTTTTACAACCTTTACAAGTTTCAACTTTCTTGACAAACTTCATTAACCCACCAGTTGACGATGATGCTGATGCCATTGTAACTGTTCTTGTATGTGAACCTGTTAATAATTCTTTAGCTTTCTTTTCCCCCAAAATTGGTTCGAAAATTCTTGTTAATGGGTTTGCTAATTGATTTTCCAAATAATATTTAGCATCAATTGGCAAGTTATGTTCTAAAACGTATAATGGATCTTCTGATTTTTCATAACTCTTGTTACCAGCAGTTTTGATAATGACATAAGCAACACGATCACCAATAGTTGGAGCAGAACCGGCATCTCTTTTTCTCATTCTTTCAGCTAATTCCACATGAGGTTGTTTATTTGCATAATCTTGTCTTGATAGAGCTTTTGTAATAACCAACTGTTGCATATCCACACGATCTTGTAATAAATCTGCAATTGTTTGCTTGACATAACTTTCAGCAGATTTAACATCTCTTTTCTCTAGAATCAATTCCAAAATTTTAGTGATAACATTTGAAACCAAACGACAATTATCTCTTCTAACAGTTTCAATACCTTTTGTATCCATTTTATCAAAAGTATCAGTTCTTGTCCAATATAACCCAGCGTATCTTTTTTTATTAATCAACAAATATGGGAAGTAAACTTTTTCAAATTCCAATTTAATTGGGTTTAAAAATTTTGTAGAAACATAATCAGCAGCTTCTTCACCTAATTTCATACAAGTTTCTAAATCTTTATAACCAAATTTAACCATGACAGAATCGGTATCACCATAAATAACTTCAGAATCAAATTCATAACCATTAGCTATTGTATATTTCTGTTGAACTTCTTGTTTTGTCTTTTCAATCATACCTCTACCAAAAGCAGTAACTGAAGATGAAATTGCAAGACAAGGTAATTTACCAATAGTAGCACCAGTGAACCCATAAACAGAATTAGCAGAAATTTTCAAAGCCAATTGTCTACCATTCAAAACATCTCTTTTAAAAGGATCAGTTTCTTTTTTCAAATCAGCTTTTGCCTTTTTTCTCGCAGATAACAATTCTTCTAAAATGATTGGTAAAATTCCCTTTCTTTGAGTTGATTTAACGAAAAAATCACCAGATGGGGTAACTGTATAATCTTCATCTTTTCTCAAACTTAATCTTTCTATAGTTGGTTTATTTAATAATGTTGTATAGCATAAATTATGGGCCATCATGATACTTGGATATAGAGAACTGAAATCTAATGTGGCAATTGGAACATCATAATAACCTCTATGAGGTTCAATAACCGTGGCACCTTCATATTGAACATCTGAACTACCACTCTGTTGTAAATTTGGTACAACAAGATCAACTTCTAAACATTTTCTGAATAATTGGGAAATGACTTTAATTTGTTGACCTCTTGTTAATAAGAATGAGAATGGAACACCTGTAACTCTAGCCATTTCTGTGTAATTAACTAGACACATCAATTTTTCTAATAGTCTCATGGGTAAATATGCATCTTTTAAACAATAAACAGCTAACCGTCTTCTTGTTTCACTAGTACCATTTTGTAAATCTGTAATGATGGAATGTTGAACTTCTTCTTTTTGTTCATTAAGGAAATGTGCAGAAACTGAATTTAAAGTATATGATCTTAATTTATATTCTCTTTGGATGAATTGTAAAAGATCCAATTGCATTCTACCATCAATGTTTATAACTTTTGATTCTCTAGTACCATAAGCTTTTGAACTAAAGACGGAATCTTTAGCTTCTTGTTTGATATTTTTCAATCTACCAAAATATGGGAAATCTTTTAATCCAAGTGCATTTGCACGATCTAATAAATATGGTAAATCAAAATTAGTTGTGTTGTAACCAATGATAACATCTGGATCCACTCTTGTAACGAAATCTCTCCAAGCCAACAACATATCTCTTTCATCTTGATGTTCAAAAATTTCAGAACCTGTTATTGGAGAACAAGTATTTACTGTGAAGACATTACGAACAAAAGGTCTTGATTCACCAGATCTCGAGACAACATTAGCAATTTGGATAACTTGATCATGTTCAGCTTCTGGGAAAATACCTTTTCTACCAGCACATTCAATATCAAATGATAAGATACGTAATGGGGCCATTTTTAACCATTCACCTTCAGGTTGATGAGAAACTAAATCATGATAATCAATATTAACCTCCAATTGACATCTTGATAATTTTGAATGACTATTAATGATGGTGTATGTTGATTTTGGTAATGTGATCCAACTCATACCAGTGATTTTACAATCAATCAACAATCTTAATAGATATTGAATATTATCATAAGTCATTGTACCATCACCACCATTATTAAACATCCCATTCCATGAAACCATCCCTTTTTCAAAACCAGATCTAATTTTGGGTATATCTTTAGCATTAACACCAACAATTTTTAAAAAACAAACTTTTTGATTCCCATTAAACCCCCAAATTGATTCTTTGAAAGCTAATCCCACGCTGTGAACACCACTAAAAGTTTGTTGTAAATAATGAGTAAAAGTTGATACATGTTCTTTTCTAAAATCCATTGGAGCTGGTACATAAAAATAATGTAAAAACCCAGTAACATTACATAAAACTGAATAACCTTCTTGAGTTACACCGAAAAACCTCACGGCTGACGAACCATCAGTCAGCGCTTCTTCAGCATCTAATTGTTGAAATGTTATGTCATGTGTATTTGGATCCCAATCTTTTGGTAATGAAGGTCTTTCCCAAGTTTGATCTTCAGCTGTTAAATTTTTGATATTAATATCATTACTCATTGATAATAATTCTTTTTCAAATTTTGAAGGTTCCACCTGAGCCATGGCATTCTTAGCCTTGAAAGTTTGAGATTGATGGAGATGTTGATCATCTTGAGTAGATTGTAATGAAACAGGTAGTGAATGAGCTTCTTTTGTTAATTCTTCCACAGTACCATCTGGAGTTGGATCAATCCCAATTTCGATTTTTGCCTTCTTTGAAGTTGGATCTATATTCTCCACTTCGTTAAGCGCTCTTTTACTATTATCAGACATGGTGTGGTGATGATGAATAGTGGAAAGAATATGATTCCAAGATTAATGAATCAGATGAAATCAATTTGTAATGTTAAAACGCGTCTAAACAAAAAAAAGTTGATTTTTGCTATAAACCGCGTTTGCTGGTCAGCATTCGGATCATGTGATACGACACGTGAGAGTCATGTGATGTGGTATAAGCTTTCTATAGTGTAAGTTTATTTAAATAGTGTAGAGAAGCTATAGTATTCAAGAGATTCAAACTGCTTTAGGAGACTCAGTGGTTGAGGTGACCAAAGCAGCTACTAGATATAGCTGTGAACAGTAAAGTAGAACTCCCTTCCTACTGTTTATTGAGAGTCAAATACCGCAGAATTGTTCAATCAAATTCCACAACTCTCTCTCTTCATACTGCTAAGACTATTCAATTAACCGCACCCAGTTCCTCGCCCAATCACCGTCCAATATCCAAGACCTCTTCAATTCCCAACTCTTCAATACTCGCGAATTCCCAAATCTCAATTTCCTTTTTCTTTGGAAATTGGCGTGGCACAAAAAAAAGAAAAAACTTTTCAAAGGTTTTGGACAGAAGCGGGCTTCAACAATTGCACAATAGAACAGATTTTGAAGGGGAATTGAAGTGAGAAATGATGGTTATATGGTTAGGCTGAGGATTGGTGGTTGTACTACGTTTAAACCATGGAGTGTTCACTAGTTTAAAGGTGGTAGTTGTGATGGTTTGGTTCAAGGGGCTGAACGTTGATAAGTGCGACAGTAAAGCTTATTACAGTGTAGATGGATTTGATAAAGCTGAGGCAATAGAGTATGTCCGTTGGTATAAAAGGTATTAAAGTTACACTAGTGCACAACTAACGGACCACGGTTTCTTGGAGCACTTGGAACATGGGCATGTTGAGCCCTGTGTATTCTTGCCTACATCTACAGATGCCAGATGCCTCATCACCAAAGCGAAAGAAAAAAAAAATCTTTTCCATAATTTGTTTATACCAAGACACTTTCAATTTCAAATTCAGGTGGAAAATCCTTTTCTTTTATTAATATAAAAAGTACTATGAACCCAATCTTTCCCATCAATTTAATCTAATCAAATCAATCACCCACCTTCAAAATGTCTAATAAGAAGGAAGATTTCAACCAAATTGTTGAACCTGAGTTAACAAATTCAGAGAAAAAACAAGTTTTGGATCAAACATTGGATAAACCATCTTCAACTTCTTCAATCAAAGAACAAACCACTAATAGTACTGATCTTGATCAAGATCTTGAAAACCAAAACAAACAAGTTTATGAAACTGCATGGCCTAAAAAATTATTATATATCGCTTATGCTGGTTTAATATTCACAGCTTTAGTGGAGAATTTCGCTGCTGATTCTACTAAAAACTTGGATTCTTATGCAACTTCAAGTTTTAATGCTCATTCATTAATCGCTACAGCTGCTGTTGTTTATAAAATTAGTGCTATTTGTGCTTATCCAATCTTGGCCAAATTAGCTGATTTATTAGGACGTGGTGAAGGGTTTGGGTTAGCCATTTTCCTATATACTGTTGCCTATATATTATACGCAGCTTGTGGTAATGTGGAAACTTATATCATTGCAGAGATTTTCTATGCAATTGGTAGAAACGGGTATAGAGTTTTCCAACAAATTTTCATTGCAGATACAACATCTTTAATTAATCGTGGTATTTGGTCTCAATTACCTGGTGCCCTAACTGCTGTGCCTTCATTATATGCTGGTTCTGAAGTTATGGATGCATTCTTGGAACATTCAACTTGGAGATGGGGGTATGGTTGCTTTGCTATAATCATTGGTGTTTCAATGATTCCATTAACTTTAATCATGACTATTTTAGATAAAAGAGCTAAAAAATTGGGTCAAAGAAAAGAAATTCAAGTGCTCAAGAATTTACCACAAGGTTCAATTTGGAAGAAAACCTATCATTTATTATTTGTGGAATTAGATGTTTTAGGTGGTGTTTTATTAATTGTTGGATTTGCATTATTTTTCATCCCATTCACTTTAACTGGTAAACAATCTTCTTATAGATGGCATGAGGGTAAATTGATTGCGATGTTGGTTATTGGATTCATCACTTTTTGGTGTTTTGTTGCATGGAATGCCCTTTATAAACATAAACCAATTCCAAATAGAAAACCATTTGTCCCACCACAATCATTGACTAATAAAACTGTGATTATTGTTTTAGTTATGGTTGCATTAGATTTATGTGAAAATTCATCTTTTGCTACTTATTTTTCCACCGTTTTACAAGTTGGTGGTTATTACACTGCTGGTGAAGCTACAAGAATTGATAATTCTAAAAAAGCCACAATTGATATTGCATCTGTTATTTGTGGGTTATTGATGAAATATACTAAAAGATCCAAGATTTATGTTATGATTGGTGTTCCATTCTTAGTTTTAGGTCATGGTTTATTAGTTTATTTCATGAATAGAGATGGCAAATTAGAAAAAACTGTCTTGTTAATTGTTATGGAAGTTTTCATTGGGTTAGGTAGAGGTTTTTATCAATGTGGTTTACAAGTTACAATTCAAGCTATTGCCGGTGTTGATGGTATTGCAATGTCAACTGCATTCTTTATGGCTTTCAATTCTGTTGGTTCATTAATTGGTAGTGCAATTGCAGGTGGTATTTGGAATTCAGTTTTATTAAATAAATTGGAAAAATACTTACCAACTGATTCAAAATCAAAAGCTACAAGTATTTATAAGTCTATTAAAGTTGCTAAAAGTTTTAAAAAGGGAACTCCAGAAAGAATTGCAATCTCAAAAGCTTATAGAGAAACCATTCAAATCATTGGTTATACCGGGTTGGGTATAATTGCACCAATGCTAATTTTAATGTTTTTAATCAAAGAAGTTAAATTAACTGATAAAAGAGATATCTATGAAGGTGATAATGTTGAAGATGAAGCCGAAGGTGTTCAAGTTCCTGTTAACAACACTACAATTCCAGCTACTGAACCAATGGTCATCAAGAAGTAGATACATGTATATATAGAATGTTTTAGTACCTAATTTTTTGTTTTAATTGATAAATGGAATGTAGACAAATGCAGTTTTTCTATAATTTTCGTATCTTTCACCAAAGAATGAAATCAAATATTTTTCTTCAAATTTAATTCGTTTACTGAAAAACATCCATAGAATAATAATGAATCCAACTAATGCAATTGGATTAACTAAAACTAATTGAGTTCCAACTGCCCACCAGAAAAAACCAGTATAACTTGGATGTCTAAAAACAGAATAAATCCCATGAGTAACCAATTCATGCTCATTTGACTTTTTAATAACAATCAAATGACTAAAAGATTTACCAGCTGTAATCATTGCCCAAGATCTAATAATTTGTCCCCCAACTAATAATATCAATCCAATAATCTTGATCCAACTAAAGGATTTCTTAAAATTAGGGAAGAATACATATTCAACAGCAGCTTCAATAATAGCAATGGTATGAGCCACTGTATATGATGATCCATTGTTTATAATAAATGATTCTTTATGAACTTTTTTAGGATTATATTTTGCTGTGATGTAAAATTCCAAAAAATGGAAAACTGATAATGACATTAAATAAATTGAAGGTTCTTTATATGTACTGAAGAATAATGTAGCCATTGCAAAACCGAATAATATACCAAGGTTGGCAGCTGTTAAAGCGATTTCCTCTGGTGGGTTTTTCTTGATATCTGGTAATAAATCATTATCTAACGTGGATGGGGTTGGTCCACCTTCATCAGATTCAACTGATTCTTCTTGCTCATCATCAGATAAAGATTGTTCTTTTGATTCTTCTTTTTTGCCTTGGTGATGCTTTGGAGATGAATGTACTGAGGATTGATCAGTTGATTCTCTTGGAGTTGAAGCTGGTGAGGGTGTTGATGAAGTTTTATGAGATTTGCTCATATTTGATATTTTCCTTATAGGATTTGTTGTTTTCTTCAAGAAGGACGACATTGTTGGGAAGAAAAGGTTGTGATCCTTTATATATATGGAGTTTTATCAATTGAGGCTAAAGACGAGTATAATATATAGCACACTTCAATTCTTCAACACTTGGAACCTCATTTGAAGTGTTTGAACAATTGAAATTTGTTTTAACCGTTTTAAGGTTAAACAATCAAAATTGAAAAAATTGAAGACTTTTCGCGGAAGACGGATATTAGCGGTCAAATTGGATTCTCTCAGTAAATTGCAAAAATTTAAATAACTTTAGTTTTGATTTGACTTGATTGAATATCGTTTTATCATAATCTTTTTTGTTTCCATTACTTGGTCTTTCAAGCTTTTTTATACTCCAGTTTTCCCTGTTGTTCCTCGGGTTCTGTGGGAAGTGTAATTGATGGTGACGTCGATGATGTTGGTTTCAACCATGGGTGCAACAGTTGAGAAGGAAACAAAAAGTATTTTATTTCTTAATAGCTTAAATTCAGTTAATAAGCTTTCTTGATCTCTTCAATTACTTCCCCTTGACACTTAGTTGGGATTACTATTATCCGACCTAGTCACGCGACATACACGTGACATTGCAACCCTCGGAAATATAAACTTTGCCAAATCTATTCATTCTCCAAAGAATCACCAAATTTCAAACCAGCAAGAAACTATTCCACAATTCCAATTAACCACAAAACCAAGACAACCACTAAACACAAATACCATATAAGCAGATTAGATAATCATCATCACCAACATCAACTCACTGCTTCCCCGATCAAATCAGTCTTTGAAATTATTTGAGAATCAGGCTGAGCATCTTCTTCATTAAAGTGTACAGGGAAAAACCACAATCATACTCCAAAAAAAAAGAGGACCCTGAGACAATTACAAAGCAATAATAGAGTTATAACTATCTTTCACACATCCAAATAATCACAAATCATCCTCAATGGGTAAAGCTGCCTCAAAATTATCAAAAGATGAATTAACATCTTTAAAAAAATCAACATATTTTGATAGACGAGAATTACAACAATGGTATAAAGGATTTCTTCGTGATTGTCCATCAGGTCAATTAACAAAAGCTGAATTCATCAAGATTTATAAACAATTCTTCCCATTTGGTGATCCAACAGATTTTAGTAATTATGTTTTCAATGTTTTCGATGATGATAAAAATGGTACAATTGATTTTAAAGAATTTATATGTGCTCTAAGTATTACAAGTCGAGGTTCATTAGAAGAGAAACTTGTTTGGGCTTTCCAATTATATGACTTAAACAATGATGGAAAGATAAGTTATGATGAAATGTTGGCTATTGTTAGTGCTATTTATAAAATGATTGGTAGTATGGTTCAATTAAATGAAGATGAAGCAACTCCTGAATTAAGAGTACAGAAAATTTTTAACCTTATGGATAAAGACCAAAATGGTGAAATAAGTTTGGATGAATTTAGAGAAGGTTCTAAAATTGATCCTAGTATTGTTAGTGCTTTAAATTTATATGATGGGTTGGTATAATAGTTTGTTTATATGTGTATTAAAAAATAATATAATATTATAATTTTGTTTGATTAAACCCTTTCAGCTGTCCATATTGCTAATCTACATGTTAGTTTAATCCCCTCTGTTAATAACCAATAAGGAACAGCAGCTTCTGCATCATTTTCCACTGCAGTATCTAAATGTTCCAATTCATCATCTCTAAAATTTTTAATTGTATTTTTTAAATTTTGCAATTCTTCACTTTCTAAACCATTAATAATTTCACCAGTATTTAAATCTTTTGCTTGTATATCACTAAATTTATTCATCAATACTCTTAATTGATCATTATAATGACCTCCAATAACCGTTTCAACTGCAACTGTACAAGCCATTGCAGCTTCTTTACCAATCAATGCAGTACCAACACCTATACTATAAGCTCCTAATTTCCATAGTGGTGTGAATAATGATGGTCGTACCCTATTTTCAACTTGTAATTTATTAAAAGTATTATGATGATGAATTTCTTGTTCCCACATATGTTTTAATATAGTCTTCAATTCAGGTCTTGTATGTTGTAATATTGAATATTGCCCAGCATATATATAATTAGCACCTAATTCACCAGCTTGATCCACTCTAATAACACGATCTAAGAATGCTTTTTGATGAGGTGATAATGATGAATATTCATATTGTTTTGGTGATGATGGAGGTGGAACGGGTTGGGTATTAATTTGAGCTCTTAATTGAGATAATGTTGAGAATTTACAATTCTTTGGAAGGGTTTTAATTGATGGCATTTCTGTTATGAATTGGGGTGGAATCAATTGATGGAGAACGAAAGGAATTTGTTCTTATTCATTTACACCTTTTTGAAAGAAGTCGTTTGATTTTTTTTTGCTCTCAATGGTTTGAAGCCCCGGAAATCTAAACGACACTAAAAAAAAATGCCAAAGTTTAAACTTTATACCATTTTTTGTAAAAAACTAGTTTTGGAATCAACGTCTTTAAAAATTTGAATCATTTGTTCACCAATCTCAAAAGGTAACTCTTGAGTATCTCTTGAATTGGTAACTGGTCTCATTTCAAATTCATTATGATTATCTGAATTATACTGCTGTTGTATATTAATTGGAATTTTAAGATGTCTAAGATAAATATTTCTTTAATTAATAACCATTGAATTTTAAATTTCCCCTTCCATCTTGAGCTATCTAACCAAATATCATCATCAACTTCATTATTGCCATCATTTTTCTTGACAATTTTAGATTTCATTTCGGCAATTCCACAAAATTGACCGGATCCATTAACTGAAAAAAATAAGAAAATTCTTTTCAAATTTGAATTTCTCATTGAATTAAAAGCTTTTGATAATCTATTATTACCAAGATCAGTTGATGACCAAACTTCATGAGTAAATGAAGATATTATATCTTGTTCATTAAATGATTTAATTACAAAAAATCTTGAGCCTGATGGTATTGAAATTATTGATGGTGATAAAATTAAATCATTTTTACTTTGTTGATTATTTTCAGTATTTGGTTTTGATGCTTTTGTTTGATATGGGAAGATTTGGGGGAAGTAATATGGTGGTTGATTTGGGAAAAATTGAGGAGGTGGTGGTGGAGGAGGAGGAGGAGGTTGTTGATGCACTCCTGGATGTTGCTGATATTGAATTTGAGATGGCGGTCTTGAATAATATGGTATCGGTTGAGTATAGAATAGTTCTGAAAGTTGATATTGTGATGGTGGTCTTGATTGACTAGATTGGGATTGAGGTCTTGACTCGTGATAATTTGGATAGGGATATTGAAGCAATTGTTCATGTTGTGAATGTGGTCTTGAACTTTGTTGGAATGAACTTTGAGTTGATGGTCTTGAAGGATGTTGTGAAAGGCCTGGTGGTGGAGGTAGAGGTTGTCTTTGGGAAGCTGCCTTTTGTAGTTTTTGTTGTTGAGTCAGTTGTTGTTGTCTGTATAACATTTCACAAAACAGTTTATAATCAATTGAACCATGATGCCAATTCATTTCCAATGGATTATAACTTGAATTGAACTCCAAGATGGATGATCTTTTAACAGGTGTTGGATTGATTCCATCTTGGTTAGATTTACCAAGATCAGGAGAATCAGAAGGACTCAGCTGTTCATTATATGATTGTTTCGATATCTCTCTATCAATGATCTTGTTCATAGCATCCAATTCACTACCGCCATTGGAATCGCCAGTTCCTGGTTCTTTGACCTTGAGCATCAGCAGCATTTGACCATTCTCTAAAACATTTTCACTCTCATTAACCATCAAATCCATACTCAAATTCAGCATTTTCTGGGGTATTCAATAATTTGCCACTTGATCCAAAAAGAAAGATTCAGAAAAGAGATTCTTTAATTCAATTATCAGTTTTTTCTTGTAGCCGCCCTGTTAAAATTGGTTATACTGATTACGTAACAAAGCGATATCTACAGATATAATATTTATAAACATATTCATTTATTAAAATCACATACAAGATATTAAGACAGTGGCAAGACAAACGATGAAGGATGGCATCAATTTGGTCCAATAGTTGAAGGATCCATCAAGATAAATGACACTTATACCTTTAAATGAAGTAGCTCCACCATTTGCAGAGATTGCAGAAGTGATTGTAACATTTTCAGAAACATAACTAGTTTGAGTGCTAACGATTGAAGAATGACCATATCTATCATGATGCCATAAATAATAATAGATGATACCACCACCAGCTGCACCGGCAAGTGCAGGATGATATCCACCACCACGAGAACCTGAACCTGAAGAACCACGAGAACCTGAGGAGCCTGAACCTGAGGAACCACGAGAACCTGAAGAGCCACCACGAGAGCCTGATGAGCCATGGCTTGAGCTACTTGAACCTGAACGACTTGAGCTAAAGCTAGAACGGAATCCTCTTTTGAGTAAACGACCTAAACCTTTGACTTTTAAGAAATTATCATCATCATCAAGAGACTCTTCTTCATCCTCTTCAGTTGAAACAATATCAGACGGTATGACGGTTGAATAAGTTGTACCTGAGATTATTTCTTCATTATTTATAAGCCTTGTGTCAAAATTGGGGCTTTTAATCAGTTCACTTGAATATTGGGCATTGAAGTTTGATGTTGTGGAAAAAACCAAATTTGAAATTGTACCAAGAAATAACAACGGGAGTAAGAGTTTCATATTGTTGATGTGTATATAAGCTCTTTGAACCTTCCCTTATTGGAATACTGGACTGTTTATATATGCAAAGTAATGAACGTATTTGATGTTGTACTATACGTTGAAAAGGTCATGGATATTATTTGTACTTCAGCCTTTATCATCGCTTCTGCACATTCTAAGCCTAATAAAATTTGTTCAGGCAGCCGGCATTTAACCACAACTCGGCTCAAACCATCATGATCAGTGTATGTCATCCTCAACAGTGTCAATACTGAACCAAGCCACATACAACAGCTAATCTAATCATCATCTGTCACTCATATTCGTTCCAAATTCCAAGCCAAACATCTCGGCTTAGATTATTTGCGCTGTTTATTATGTCAGCTGGTGATCATGTGAATTCGCGAAAAAACCGTAAATTTGTTGGTGAAGAAGAAAAAAACAATTTTTACTTGAACGAAGTACAACTATCAACTTCGAGCAACCAATATGGTTTTTTGGATCACATGGGTCAAGAAAACTAAACCGCTAATGAATATTTTGGTCATTGCACCGAAGCTTTTCGTATTTCTGTTGAATTTGTTAAATTTAATGGCTTACCATGAACGTTTGAACATGAACATCCATGATACCCATTAGTCAAGCATCTACATATATATTATAAACGCTCGACCAATTCAGTTGGTATGTTTTCCATATTTGAAGATAATTGATTCTTGATCTCAGAGACTGATGAGAGCTCTATTGGCTTCCCAGCTACATAGGCACTTATCCAGTTCAACTCATGGTATGACATTGTAATTGATGTGGTTACTTCATTAATCTTGGTAAATGAACTATAGATGATGAGAACCTGGTCAATATACACTACAATTTCAAGATATTTCATAATTAGTAGTTAACAGCCAATTCGATTACACCAATTGACATTTCATCACCACCACGTAATCAATAAATAGTTGAATTACACGGTAAATTGTAATCCCAACCTCACGAATTAATTGGAACCTCAAAACACGAAAAGTTTTTCCTTCTTTTCAACCAATTACTTTAAATTACTTTAGCATACAAGCATAAACCAATGGCGTTCATGATGGATAGTTATCCGTATTTCTTAATTCACAACACATAGATCAGTGAGTTTAAATTTATCTACCTAGTAGTGCTGTGAATGAGCTGTTTGTTTGCTAACCACAGAGAACCTGAATTGTTTTAGTTGACATGTTTTTTACAACGTCCTTCTATTTTCCAAATGGTCTTTGAAGTCCAAATGTATTCTGTGGCGTGATTGCGCTTTAACTCTGGAATATTTGGTATTCCTGATAACGAAGCTATCGATGTAAAGCATTCCAAGGTCGAAACGATTAGATTTTGTTTGTGCTTGATGTTTTTGAATCCATTTCGAAAATCCAGCACTAAAAGAAATCAATTGCTACTCAAAATCGTGTGGAATTTGAAGAGAGTTAACTCATAGAAGTTGCCTACAATCTCACTTCTTGTGCTCTTCAGTTCATTCACAATAAACACATTTTTCTAATAATAATTCTATAAATTGTAGTGATTTTTTGTTTTCTATTGTCTTCACGACACAAAAAAAATACAAGAAATTAGAGACATAACAAACCCCAATCCACAACCAAAACAGAAACAATCTCCCATCTCATCAATATGATATTCATCGAGTCAAAATGGTGCTGATATCAACAATAACAATCTGTCTAACCCATTTCCTCCCACTGGTGCTCTCATTCCAACTAATTTCTCAATCCCTTTATGATGACTTGGTTGCCTATGCTCATCTAATGGATATAGCGTAAGTTGACTCAACATCATCCAACTATTCTTTTTAACTAACCATCAAAAGTTATTGTATTTCTCATATATCCAAGATCCAACCACCATTCCAATGTGATAATGACTGTTCAGATTTCCCACAAACTCAAGTTATTCAACAATGGACATCTGATGAATTTACACTATCATCTTCAAATTTCCCCACAACTGGGTATCTTGCAATAAATCATGATATGAAACTGATAATCTTGGGACTCCGAGGTACGAGATCTTTCAAAGATACTATAATTGATATCAATACAGATATGTTGTTATTGAATGATGTTTGTGTTGGTTGTAAAATTCATAAAGGTTTTTATTATTCATTTTTGAAAACTTGGAACATTATATCAATAGAGTTAGTTAACTTAATTAATCAATACCCAGATTATAAAATATTAATCATGGGTCATTCCCTTGGTGGTGCAATTGCCTTATTATTGGGGATGAAGACTCTTGAATTTAATAAAACTTTACTAGTCATTACAATGGGACAACCAAAAATTGGTAATCTGGTTTTAACAAGACATTTGGATCAATTATTTGGGATAAATACTGATCAATTCAATCTTGATGGGAAATTAATAAGAGTTACTCATAAAAATGATCCAGTTGTTAAATTACCAATAAGTGATAATTATTTCATCTTTGATAGGTATTCTCATTGTTCAAATGAAGTTTTCATTGATGAAGAATATAATCATGGTGCTCTACCTGATCTAAACAATATATTACTTTGTGATGGTGCTGAAGATATTCAATGTTCATACGGTATGAGTTTTACAAGAGATAACACTGAGCATTTGGATTATTTTAGAACTATGGGGAAATGCGGAGTTTCATTAATAACATAATAGCAAATACACATTTATTTCAGTCTTATATACTCTCAACAAGTGTGAAAAATCCAACATATTCGACATTCTCTTGTTTTGCCCTTGAAACAATACTAATCATACCATAATCTAAAATCCTTTGATTACGATAATTTTCTGATATCTGCTTCACGTTACTTTTGTAAATCTTGAATAATCCTGTAATAAACCTCTTCAAATTTTTATAGGCTGCAAGCTTGTACAATCTCATATAATCATGAACGAATAACAACAATTCATGATCACCTATTGATTCCAATAATTGTTCTTTAGACCCCATCAACACATTTGTTGATAGAAAGAATTTTGCAAAATCATCTTTATTCAATCTAAACTTGAAAATTGGATACTGTCTTGATGCAGCAACATAATTACCATTGGAAAGGTCTTCTAAATGAATGGAATAATAAAAATTTGGTCTCATATTGGGGATAAATGAATATTCACTATTACTTTCAAAACAAAGATCATCAAAAATTTCACGATTAAATTTCAAATTAGTCTCAACTAGAACATTATCATCCTGTTTAAGAACATCTTTCCAAATCCTTGTCAATTCTTCATCAATCTCACGATTCTTTCTTAAGTCAAGATTGGCTTGTTTATAAATTGCCCATAATATTAATCCATTCAATGTACACTCACTATCATCACAACGTCTAACATAGTACTTGAAGTTGATAATTCTTTCCACGCTACCATCAGCTTTTGGTAACATCCCAGAATACTCAAAATCTAACTTGAGATAAATACTGATCAAATAATTTGACAAAATGATGTTATCAACTCTGTATAAAAGCATATGTGTCAAGCTTTTCCTTAATAAATCACTAAACTTCAATGCACCATCACCAAGATAATCTTTTTGATCAAAATAACTCTTCATCATATTTTCTAAATCATCTTGGGTAAATTCAAATAACATAAAGTTATTGTTACAGCAGTAAACTAAACTTGGTGGTTGAGTATGGTTAAGACAATCTTTCAAATCTGATCCTAAACTTGAAAACCTAGGATGTGATGTAGGAATCAAAAACTGCTCTGGAAGAATTGAAATTTTGTACTTCAAACACGTATCAAAAAACCAATCAAATTTTTGAACAACCGATTTGAAAGCTTCTTCAAGATCATCTTCTGGAATTTGATAAAAATTTGAATATGGTGTTGGGTGATATTTAACTTCAAAGAGATTTGTATAAATAGCAAATGGACAAACAGCTTTCCCTTTTGAAACTTTTTCAAATATTACCTTATCAATAGCATTCAATTCCTTTTCATAATCATAGACATCATTTTCATTGAACTGGATTGTTAGCTCATCAAATGCTCTCATTTGGTAAGACACAGGATTTGGATCTCTCTGAGGATGGCTCACTTCATCCATATCAACATCTTCATTTACTGGAGACTTTGGAGGAAACAATACAAATCTTGGAACTGTAATTATTGGTTTTCTAAGAATGGTGACAAGTTTTGAAGGTATCACAATGAATAATTTATACCAATAAGGGCAAAGACTTTGGATCAACCGGACTGAAATGAACATATTACCATGAACATGTTTTGGTGAAATATCTTTTGATGCAAAACTGGAAAAAATATCTTGAGCATAATTGATTTGAGTTATTCTCTTGATCTTTAAACAATGAAGCATTCCTTCATTTTCTTCAGCAACTGGTTCCCCTGTGGTGTACGGAGCTGGATTTTTTGGGTTGAGGATCTGAGGTCTTGCTAGCTCCATTTTGGGTTGAAGTCAATCTGTGGTACCATGTTGAAATGAAGTTTTAGAGGTTGTGTTTTTGAATCTTTATGTTTTGATTGTTTTTTGTGTTTTTGTTTTTTTCTTCTGTTTGTGTCACAAAATCGCGCCAATCTACAATTTCGCATTTTTGCGCCAAAACTGAAAAAATATTTTGCCAAACTACACGAAAATATCAAATAAAGATTCGAAATGGTAATTCAAGATCTGAATCTAAACTTTGGTGTATCATCGTCATCGTCGTCATCATCACCGTCATCACTATCATCTTCATCGACTTGTATAGGAATCTGCTTCTCAATTGCCTTTTTCTGCTTAACAGATTCAACAGGTTCCTCCTCTTGACGTCTTCTAAATTCAGGAACATTAGAAACTTCATCTCTTCTAACATCCATATTCAATCCATCATCCACCTCTGAATCCGAATCTTGGTCAACAAATAGTTTACTTCTAGTAGCAGGCTGATCTTTATCCACCATTGTTGGTTGTCTCAAATCATTTCTAAATGCAAATGACTCAACTGGATTCTCGTCATCATCACTTTGAACTTGATCCTGTTGAGCTTGTTGTTTTTCAAAATCTTTGGTGAGCTCATCAGCTGGATTGTTTGGATATTTAGGGTCAAAACTTTTCAAAGGGACAAATTGTCTGGTATATAAAAAACTTTGATCTTTTGAAGCTATTCTAGATTTACCATTTTTGACAAAAGTCTTGAAATTTTTTCTACCAGCCCATTGAGGATTTGTTGATTGTGTTGTTGAAGTTTTTTGTTGTCTCATTGGTATATTAGTAACTTCCACAATTGCTAAATTTTGTAACTGATCAATCGCATCTGGTGTGACTATTTCATCCAAGCCTAGTTGTGTATTGATTCTTTGATTTGCAGATTTCTTTGCATTTATGACTGCATTATGGAATGACGTCTGTTTCTCCACTTTTGAAGGCTCTTGAATATTCTCCTTATCTTCTTCATCTTTTGGTATTGATTCTTCAACTTGAACTAGTGGTTGTGGTTGTTCATTTGATGGTGCTAGTGATCCAGTTGAATTATCATTACTTTCAGGAATTGAATTCATGCTAGGTTTGAAATTTGTATCAAGCATTTGATTAGCTAGACTTTGTACTCTATTTCTTTGTTTTTTCTTCTTTGGAGGTTCTTCAACTTCATCAAGGTTCTCCTCAGGAGTTTCAGAGACTTGAGTTTTAGGTTGAGTTTGACTTGATTCGAATTTCCCACCACCTGCAAAGAAATCTAAACTGTCTAGTGGCTTAATTTGTGGTTTTTTCTTTCTGTTCATTTTTTGCTTCTTCAAAGGAGGTTGATCTTCTGGTAATGAGCTTTGAATCTCTGATTTGGCAACTCTTGTCCTTAGAATCGAATCAGTGTTGAAATCTTTAACAGCATTGAAAATATCCTCCATTGTAACTTCATATTTTTGGAAGCCTTTCGCAAGCTCACTCAATAATTTGGAACTATTGTATTCCTTTGTACTTGGATCAACAACTGATTTGAGGAAATCTTCATCTTGGAAAATCATTGATATGAAAACAAGTTGTTTTCCACCCAATGTATCTTCAATTATCTTGACTAATTCATTCTTTGATGTATCTTTATTCAATTGGAGGATTAACACTTGACCCTCACCAGCCTCCAATGCATTCTTGAACCTTGTGCTCTGTCCACCTTCAACCATAACAAACAAAATATCTTTAAACATAGTGGATCTTCCATGTCGTATCTTTGCATTAGGATCAGGTAAAAAATCATCAATATTTGGGAAATTGGTTTCAAAATCTTGACCTATTGCTTTTGGATCAATTGAATTTATGAAACTTGGTGTTATTATTGCAATCTCTTTCAACATGCCCATCAATGTAGTTGTGGAAACTTTCATATCTGAACAAACAACATGTGTAGTATATTTTAGAAATTGTGAACTATAACTGATATCAAGATCTTTTAATTTTCTCAAATACTTGTCAGGACATCCAGTAACGTTGAAAATTATAGGTTCTCTGATAAAATCATATCTTTTACCACTTTTCCCCAATACAATGGTTGTTGATGATGATAAGATTCTTTCAATTGATTTATCTAGGTCTTCAGGTGGTAATAGCCTTTTATTTATAACTTCTTGACCAATCGATGTGAATTTCCCATCCACTAATAACTTCAATTGAGAAAGGTCTGAAGAGTTATTAATTGATTGAAGTATTGAAATTTGTAAATGAAGCTTTGACACTTTTGAACTATGAGTTGAAAAAGTTACACGTTCACCTCTTCCAAAAGTAAACGTTTCATTTGGTTGGATCCATCGCAGAATATCCTGAGGCTCTGAGTCATCTTTGGGCTCAGTGGTGTATTTGATTAGCCACATGTTGATGTTACTCGTTTTGATGATGTTTTTAGTTAATTCATGGGTTTGTTTTTATTTTTCCTCTGTAGAAAAGAAAATCTATACACAATTTTTCAAAACACATCAAATATAGAAGTAATATGTGGGATAAATAGAGATAAACACGCTTTATCGGTTAGCTATTCCATTCAATCTCGATTGCTCATTTTCATCTCTATAGAATACTTCCTAATATTCATTTCCAACACACTAATTCTAGATCACGTGACTAGACAACTCTGTACTCGATTAGACCTTCAATCAGCGACCATTACACTACTTCTCACTGGGGATGGTTTTGCTATTTACTTTCATATTATATAACATTACTGTTGAAGGATTTATTTGGTTGATCAAAAGTGGACACAACTTGGAATCAAACTCCAAAAGTTCTCTGTTTTTAAATTCTATGGGCTATAAATCAGACTAGGTTCGCCCACAAACCTGGAAAATTCATGACTTTTAAGGTGATTTTTATACCGATTGCACTGCAGAGATCAAGCTTATCAGCAAGTTGTCCATTTTGACCAAGTCTAGCATCGTTGGTGTGTTCCGTCTATGAAAGCGAAGGCTCCTTCTTCGTTAAATTGTTAACCATTGATACGCTGAACATTTTGCTATTGTTTTTCTGACCATTTGATTGCGGAATTCTGTGAAGCTTCATGAAAAAGGGTATATTGTTAAGCTAAATATAAACTTTTCTTCTGCCTTTTGATTATGGTGAGTTTGTTTTCATCTAAAAATGGGTCTGTTGGGTTATATGAAGCTTCAACAAAGATCACTGTCAAAAGTCCTTCTACCATTCAAATATGATTGTTTCTTGGTTTCAAGATGAAGATTGTTAACATTATCTTCTCTTGTACTTTATCATTGAATCATCATGCTATTCTTTTATTCAAGGTTATTTGTAGTTTGTCGAGAGTAGTGTCAAGTTGGTGCTGTGTAACAATAGCGATTGAACAGCAGTTTTGAAATATCTAGATTACAGAAAGGCCGCTTAATACCCATATTCTCTACTGCAATATTATATAACGATTTGATTTTGAACAAACTACAGAGTACTGTTTCGCCTTAATCAATGTGTTTATTCTCATCAATGGGTAGGACAAAATTGTGCAGTGGGATCCTTGTTCTGGCCGTTCTTACTTACTGGCATCTTTCAAAGATATAACATCACCAATAGATTTCACCACCTCATCAAGAGTTGATATGAGTATTAAACTGGATATGTAATTGATCATCTCTTCCCTCCTGTTTTTTAACTCAATTTCAATATCAAGATCTTTCAGGACTTTTATCTCTTTTTCTTTCCTCTGTTTTCCTTATAGGATCAACTAAACCTTGATCTTGAACAAATGCAAAATCAATATCTAATTCACGACCTAGCAATTCTTCACCTTGACCTTGTTCAATTGCCTTTTTAGCATCTTCTAAAGTTTTATACTCTATTAATGTATAACCTTTAACATATCCACTTTGTCTATCTAAATTTAAATGAATATTTTTAACATCACCAAACTCTTGGAAAAAATCAGCAATATCTTCCTCTGTTGCTTCTTCATGTATATTTTGTGCTATGATGACATAACCTTCTATAGATGACTTGATTGGAATTCCTTCCCTCGTTGTTGGTATTGTTGTTAACTCTGGCTCTGTTTTCACGTTAGTAATCTAAAGAAATTGAGTTTTTGAAGGAATCAGTTGATTACATACGATCAATATCCATTGATTCGCCAACTTCACTCATCTTGACACTCTTTTCAGTATAATTGTTGGCCAATTCTAACTGTTGTTGATTGAAGGTTAAAATTGTACGTTTTAATACATTGGAAGTTTTTAACCTGAGTAATACTCTTCTTAACCTGAAGATGACATAATACTTATGTAAGTTTTCTGGTGATATGAATTAATTTTTCAATTTCAATTTGATTTCAACTTTGAATTTAACCTTCTTGAAGGCAAAATGCTCAGATTTTGTTCAATAAACTAGAGATTTCTAATTGCGGTTTTGAATTGCGAATTTCTTATATTTTCATATCTAGTAAGTAGACGTACTTGATCATGGTGGCGGCAATAATAGAGACAATACTGCTAGTACATGCTCTTTTTGCACAAGAATGAAGAGAATTAACATTTATTGGATTAGAGAACTCTGGATTGTAAACGGTTTGTGAACTAAAGAAAACTTTTTCTATGTTAAACTGTTAATAGGACCTTGGTTTCGTCTATTTCAAAAAATGTCAATTAATTGATTGATGATTTGAAGTGAATCAGTGTATACCATATCGATGTACTTTATGTGATCATTTGGTACACTTTCTGAAATGAGTTAAAAAGTCTGAATGTTTCCATCTATTTTGACTAGTTTTAATACAACATTTCAATGTCATTTTGATAATGCGGTTTTGTACTAACGTCGTAGATTTCATTCACAGTTCATCATTACGCTGCCAAAGCGAACCGCCAGGTATTGCAATTGGTAATTCAATTGATTTCAGCCTTTGGACCTTGTACGTTCTTTTCAAAACATTTTTGAATGTCAGTTGATTAAACATAACTATGCTGCACACCGCGGCCGGGCGCCGCGGATCATCTTTGATCGATATTATTATATTGAAACGTTTGATTATATGTGCACTGATACCTATTAATGTAATACGTATATTAGTAAATCCAGAAGTACGTTAGCATTGCAGAATCAATTAGTAGTTAATTTATATAAAAAGGACGTTAGATTTTTGCTTAATCAAATTTAGCGACCTCTGATTTTATAATTCAATTTAAAATTTTTATAAATCAAAAAATTCACAATTTTTGATCAAAACTAATATTCAACACTTGAAACGTGAAAGTACGCTTTTTGAATAGTTATATAAAGTATATACCGTTATCAATTTTATATATAAGATTTTAAACTTGGAAAAGGAATGTATCCGAAAGAATCACTATTTATTTGATTTTACCGCTTTCTTAATGACACGTTGAGCATGACAGAGTATAAACATTGGTACTCATGCTTAACGATGGAACAACTAATACAATATAGAAAAGGTCACATTCAGTAAAAAGATCGCAATTAATTAATGCTATGAGCATAAGCGTATCAAGAATTACATAGTACTGTTAATTTACTTAGACGTTGCACGTGACCACTTTTCTAAGTGGAGAATAGCCGCCAACAAAACAACAATATCGATTGTTCATGGTGAAATAGAGAATGAATATATAGCTATCGTTATAGGATTAGTGTGTGTGGAGCGGTTCAAATCATTGCAACCCAGGGCAATTCTGCTAGTTCGCAGGGTGCTTTTAGTGGTAACCAAGAACTAAGCGCCTAATTCACCATCTAGATATCAATCTTAATTAATGTTAGTAGTCCATTACCATCGTCTTCGATGTCATCAACATTAAAGTATAAAAGCCTTCGATCAATCAATTCCATGCAGGACTTTCACCTTCTCAAACGTCCTTGAAATTAAACAAAGCATTAACATTAATATCAAAATCGAGCGGTATTTCGAAGAAATTGAGAAACCCATCTTTAGGAGTCCAGTTCAGTTGAGGTCTTTTATGCTCAAGTAGAGCTTTCTGTGTTCCATCTACGTGTTCAAATTCGCCCAGCTTTGATGTATTTTATTCTTGCCATTTAGCTCTTGTGATCTTTTGTTGGTGAAGATGAAGACTAACCAATATCTTCTCTTGCCAGCAAGCGACACCTTTCAAACAATCATATTTCACTTGGAGTATACGAATGATCATTATTTAACCCATTGTAATGTGAATATTGTTAATTTGTTGATTGATACATTTGTAGTTGGGCATTCGCGATTTTCTCATAGAAATTTTGGTGATCAGGGGGCAATTTTCAAACTTGACTTCTTACAAAAACATTGAATTCAAACAATTGATTAATTCTGATCAACAGCATTGTTGAAGTCTATTACACTCACATTGTCTTCTTGTTAACAAGTATGTTTCTAAAGGATATATCGCAATGTGCTTTCTTCAATTAGCGAAGCCATTAACTATGTTTGGTCTTATAATGAAATATATCATTATTTCCTACAATGTTTTATAAGGTCCATATGACCGATTGGAATCTTTATTAAGTTCTGTTTTTCGCAAAGCTCAGTGAGTTTCAAAGTCAATAGTGGTTTGGTATCATTCTCAGGAAGTGCTCAGCATTAACTGGAATCACCTTAAGCACACATGATCTCAATATTATGGAGTATCTGGATCGTTGAATCTTGAATTTCTTCACCAGATGATGCTCATAATATACAACTTTTAATCAATTTGTTGATTGTAGTTAAAACGCCCTTCAAAACTACATCAATCACTTTTATAAACTATTTATATATACGAATATCCAGAAAAACTCCTTGTTAAAAAAAGTTCAACGCCACAGAGAATGAAACACCTGGTTTAGCACGATCTTGACTTCTTGAACTTAGCGGAACACTATAAGATAGATCCACAATAGCACTATTTGATCTATAACTTAAACCAACACCTGTGGCAATTGCACTTTTCCCAATAATATCACCATTTTGAATCAATTTAGTAAAAGATTCAATTGATTTGAAATTATAAACATCACCAAGATTAATGAAATTATATAATCTTAAAGGTGATGAGTTTTTAGTATTTGGAATTTTGGAATAGAATGTGAATCCAGTTTTGAAAAAAGATGAACCTCCAATATAATCATGTCCATTCTTTAAACCAACACTGTTTAAATGGAACCCTTTTAATGAGTTTAATCCCCCAAGGAAAAATCTATCAGATATATGAATTTGATCATTAGATTTATTAGAATCTAATTGGAAGATTGATCCAACATTAAAATCAAAACTTGTTGTGAAATTATTATTCCAAAATGATGAATTTTTTTCAAATTTTAAAATTGTCTTGTTAAATTTTTCCAACTCTAAATCTTTTTCAACATTTGATGAAGTTGATGAATTATCAACACTATTAAAACCTGCAAATTCATTAATCAAATCAAATTTTATCCCATTCAATGGGAATGCACCCAAGAATTCTCTTGTATCAATTTTCAAATTACTTTGAAACCCAATTTTAAAATCATCTCCAGCATCATTACGAATAGAATCTGATGCACTATTCAAGACATCTCCAATATTTCTATGAGCTATTGATAATCCATTTGTAAACAAAATAGGTGTTTTATTTTTGGATAACCAAGTCTTTTGAACACCAATTAATCCACCTTTACTGAATTGAGTATGTGATGCCCATGATTTAGCATCTATAAGTGATATACAAGGGTTCAAGACAAATTTTAAAGATGGTGAATTTTGGAATGGTGTTAAGATTGTTAAATCCCATATTTTTTTATTTAATAAATTTTGGAAAGGATCATAATTAACATTAATATCAACTAATAAAGTTGATGCATTTTTGAAAAAATTTGGATCTAAATAACGAATCCCTGATGATGCATCATGATCAGTTGTTGATGAATATGTTGAAAGTTTCGAGATTGGTAATTGTGATAAATTAATTTTAGCATTAATTGGAATTGCACCTTCAATTAATAAATCATTTTTAGATAATTTTGGTGTACTAGATTTATCAAGATCAACATCAATTGAAATATTCTGAAATAATCCTGAATATTCTAATTTCTCTTTGATCAAAACCAATTCATTTTTTAAATCTTTTAATGCAATTGAATTTGATGATTGGTTAATTAATGGAGATAATAAAGATTCATAATATTTATCAGAAAATTCACCACCTTTAATTTCAATTTTTTTCAATTCAACAGGTTTTGTGGTTTGATTGTTTAGGATGTTTAGATGCTCTTTGTTTTGAATTCTTGAATAGAATTCATGATCATTAGGAGAGGCCATAATGAACACCTTGATTCTGTTTGTATCAATGTTCTTTCCATTATTATAATGTCCAGCCAATCCCAAAGCATTTTTGAATTTTTCGAAATCTCGAATCCAGGAGTGGTGTTGGGATGTTGGAAAATCAAAAATAAAATTCGCGATCCATTTTTTTTTGTCTTCTTTGTTCTTAATTTCAATCTGATTAAGTATTAAGTATTGTTGTTTGTTACTTGAGCTTCTTGTGTGCATAGGCCTCGCTCCATGTTCTGTGATGTTATCCCGTACTTTGAAATATCAACATGGAAAATACCAATCCAATCTCGTTCCACAGGCGTAGCCACTGCATTGACTCTTCCAGGTGTTTTACTGACGAGTCAGTTAGTGGTCAAGTAAGCTGTGTTTTGTTGTGATGTTTTTCAATAAAAGCTTTTCAAATAGTAACCTTGAATTTATTGTTTCAGATGTGTTTTACCAAAACTGAAATCCAGGTGAATCGGGTGTTCTTGAATTATATGTTTTGAATCTACTTTCAATATCATCTTCACTATTAGTATTCACTAACTGTTTTGCAACATTAACAACCATTGTATGTGTCAAATCAGCAGATACAAGAATATGTAATATTGTTAATAATATACACTCATGAAATGATCAAGTCACCTGTTCAAAATTGATACTTTTGACACTGATTTGATTAATTTTATTGAACTATTTTCCAAAGCATATGATCTAAAGTAGATGAACCACTTGATCTATTTCAAACTCTTTATCAACTCAACAGAATGGAAATCTTGAGCAGCTTTCATTCCAGGAATTTGCTTTACATATCCATCATCATCAACTTGACAAAAATACACAGTGCCTGTTTCTTTGAACCCGTTTGCCACATAATAAGGAACTAATCCATGTTCTTGAACCATGGTGATGTATAATAATTCAACATCTCCTTTAATAATGGCTTCTTGTTCCACTTGTCTTAATAAATATTTACCAGCACCTTTTGCAATTGATGTGAATGCTGTAACTTCCCATGCCTTTTGTAATTGGAACTCCATTGGCTTACCAGCAATCGTGCCCAGTATTTGATCATGTTCAATCCCATCAAGTGTGGTTTCATTAGTGGCATCTATCAATGAGATGTTTCCTTCTTTCAGTGATTGTTGAACAAGTTCCAGATCATGGGCTATCAGGATCATCAAGAAAGACCCATCTTTATGAATACCCAATTCACGTAAGAAATCTTTATCTTGTTCAATTCTTAAAGAGGTGATGATGTTGTATTTCTTTCTGTTTTGATCATATCCATTGTTGATTCTCTCTGTTAGCAGATTCAAGATCCCTTGTCTATTCGGAGATTCCTCGAGTATATCCTTTGAAAACCTCAAAATTGTTATTGGATTATCACTGTTAGGCATCTTTGATGGTTATTATTGATTCAGGGTCCTAGAGATATAGTGGATGCTCGCAAATTTATAACCACAGTTTCAATGAGTCAAAACTTCATATCATGTGTATCGGATTTACAAGGCTTATCTCCATCTACAGGTACTAAAGAATAATTAATTCATTCATTTCAAATGTTTTATCAACTCTGCAACATGGAAATCTCTTGTGGCATAGATTCCATCTTCTAAGGCATCTCCTTTAACTCTCCCAGTCTCAGGATCCACCTCTAACAATATCACAACACCTGTCTCTTTATACCCATACTTGGCATAATATGGAACTAATTCGTGTTCTTGAATAACTGTTGCAAATAGAAAGTTCAAGTCTTGTTCTATTGCCAATTTTTCCAACCCTGTTATCATAAACTTACCAACTCCTTTTAAAAAAGATGTAAACCCTGTTATTTCCCATCCTTTACCTTTTGACAATTTTGAATCAATCTTAGGTTTAACCCCAATTGTCCCCAATACTTGCTTTTGATCTAATTCATCAAAGGACAAATCAATACCAGCTTCTTTAGTCTCATATAAACCTTCTTGTAAATCTTTCAAAACCACTTCAGGATCAAAATCTTTATCATTTGCAATGACTAACCATAAAAATGACCCAGAAGATTTTATACCCAAATCATTAACAAATGCAGTTTCATTCTTGATCCTCGTAGAATTAATCACTCCAAATTTGACCTTAACCCTATTATAACCTGTGTTCAATACTTTAGTTAAAAAACTAATAATCTTGTGTGAATTTGGTGATTCAATAAATACATGTCCTGGGATTTTAAGGAGTGTCAAATTGTGTTTTTGGGTGCCAGTCATTGATGAATTGTGTCTAGGGATTGCTAATTAATTAAAAGAATGAATGAAGCATAAGTTGGTATGCTCGATATACTCTGTTCTATTTATGTGGGCTATTTGTGTGAACGGCATAAGAATCTTGATGAATGGTTACCTACTACCTCTTCATTATCAATGAGTCAATCCGCTCCGGCAGTTATACCCAATCGGGAAATAATACCGATACACACTACATCATACCAAATCTCAAAATTCAAATATTACAAATAAAAACAATAAAAACAATAAAAAACAATAAATCTAATGTACAAGACACATCATAGATATGCCATCCATAATGGATCAGAAGCTGCCAAATGTCTTGGATTAACAGCTTGTTGAATCAAATCCAAAATATGTTGAGTAGTTACAGAATTTGCACTAGTAACACTGCATAATTGTTGAGCCTTTTTCAAAATCAGATCAACATTAACACGAACAATTTCACGTAATTGAGGTTCATCTGCTGAAGGACGATGTTGTTGGGTAAACCATGAAATAGCTTCATCACGAACAAATAATGGTAAAAATGTATCCAATTCAGATTCTGCTTCAGTTAATGCCTTGGAAATTAACAACATATGAACTGATAAAATACCTTCTAATCCAGCTTCACCAATTAATGTTTGAATATTTGGTGTTAATCTAAATGGAACACTTTCTGCATTGAAAAAAATTGGTGCAGCACGTTGGGCTGAAACATCCAAAGCACTATGTTGGTAAAAATTTGTATTTGTTTTACTGCTTGCCAGTTTTGATGGTAACATTTCAAATGTTGTAACAGCACCAGATTGACCATTGATACTTATTTTATGAGGTAAACGATTATTAATGCTCATCAAATATGTCATGAAAATAAATGAAGCATATTGTGAAGTAAATTGTTTGCGGAATAACCAAAAATCTTCAAAAGTGGAATATAATCCAGTATAATAATCTTTCAAAATTTTGTTTGGAACAATCAATGATTGAATAGCACCTAAAATTTCAACCCTAATACTCATAATATCTGGTTTTGGTAAATGTGGATCAAATGCAGCTCTTAATTTTTCATTATAATATAGCAATGGATCATCACGATTAACCTTCTTATTCTTGCAATAGTCTTCATAAATTTCCTGTAATGATGAAATATTTTCATTATCATTCATAATACGAATATGTGGTGATAATGGAATTGCAATTGGTAATGTCAATTGAATATTACGACGACGTGTTTGAACTTTTCTTGATAAAGTATCATTAAAGATACGATACAATTGGAAAATTCTTTCTTCACGTCTGCAATGACGAGCAGCTGGAAATTGAACAGCAAATGAATGTAAGCTACCATCATGACCACGAATCATAATACGTTTGTAACAAGCATGTGTACCTCTAACCAATTGTAAAGTTGGTAAAAATCTTTCAATCTTGATGAAATGTGAGTTATTATCCTTATTCAACAAATATTGACCTGGAACCTCAATATCTTCAAATTTTTGATGATGGAATTCACTTAAATGTGGACAAACACTCTCCAGATTAACACTAGAAAATCTTCTATCTAATTTATCTTCAAGACGATCTCTCCATTTTCTGAGCTTGGTAATATAAGTTTCCAAGTTTGGTTTTGATGAAACAAAATCTTTATCGAATTCAGCTCTAATATGTCTTGGTAAAACAGTATCAGCAAATCTTGTTATATTGGCCTCAGTAGTAGGTGGCAGTTTAGCATCTTCTCTTGGATTTGGCAGACGATTTGAGTATTGAATACCATCATTCAACAATGCAATAACCAGTCTATAGGCATCTTCATCAGCACTGCACTTGAATCTTTGATTAATTTGGTCAACCAAGGATTCCAAGGAAAGGGCCAAAAGTGGATAAGCAGTTTTCAAAATACCCATTATTTCATCAACGTATTCCCAAGGTTGACGCAAACCAGTGGAGGCTGGACGTGGTTGTTCAGCTGGGGTACCATTTTGACGATTAGCAACAGCCATAGCTTGTCTTTGGATAACAGCAAAATCTTCCTTGGTAGTTCTCAATTGGAAATGTAGAGCTTGTGGATAAGTCTTAGCAATACGAATCAAAATTTGACGAACCAATTTAGCTTCCTTATGTGATAATGATGTCAACAATTGTGGAATGAACGTTATCCAATACCAAACAGGCACTTCACCTCTATAAGACTCAAATGCAGATGACAAGGTACCAGTGGAGTCATCCAAACTGATCAACCATAAGATACGACAAAGTAATTTTCTTGCCTTACCATTCTTGTACAAACCAGCGGCTTGTAAGTAACAACTAATGGCATTATTTGCAAAAACCATTTCAGTTGGATTTTCTTTGGAACGACGGTCATTGAAATGACCCCATTCAGCCCAAGCTTTAGCCAGATTCAAGTCAATTTGGACAGCAGTGGCAAATGCTTGATTAGCTTCATCCTGTGCCTTCAATTTAGCCAAGAACATACCCTTCAATGTGAAGAACTCAGCCTTTTGCTGTGTGGCAAAGTAAACCAAGTTTGTGTTACTAATGACATCTAAACCAGTATTCAGCTCATTAACATTTTGATAATGACATTTGGCTTGTTCTCTCAATTTTAGGAAAGCTTCTTGAATTTCAATATTTGGAAGTGTGTAAATCTTGGTTAACTGATTAATACAAACATCTGGCATGTTATGTTTACGAGCAACATGTGCGAATCTGTTGATGACCCAAGCAATTTCATGATAACCACGATAAGCATAACTATTAGCATTTGAATTGCCATTAGCTTGTTGTAATGCTGGAATGAATGGCATGTACACTCTGTTAATAACACCAAATGCATGTTGACGCCATGTAACAAGATCATTCCAAATATTGATGTCATCCCAAATGTTTGGCAAACGTTCACGCCAGGCTTGTAAAACTCTCTTCAATTCTTGTGACTTGTTATCCAAATTCTGAGCATTAGTTGTAAGCAATGAACCATAAACTTGACTAGCTTCCATGAACTCAACGTATTGTTGGAATGAGTGCAACAGTGGAACATGTGCATTACTGAATCTTTTTGGTAATGCGTGCCACTTGCGTAAAGCCAATTGAATACCTTCATCACACAATTTGGACAAATCTTGTAAAGTTTCCTTTTGTTGAGCATACCCTTGTAAGCATAAAAATGTTTCGAAGATTTGACGACGAGGTGTAGGAACATCCATAACAGTTTTGACAGATTGTTCTAATGGTTCTTTATCAGCAGTCCAATCAGCAACCCTCCAACCACATTCAAGCAACAAATCAGTAAAACCTTCATGCTTGGCCAACTCAGTTAAAATATCCCAATGTTGTAATTTTTCAGCACATAAAATCCAATTGTCCTCCCATAAAGAATATTCAGATTCACCATATGGCAATACACCACTACGTGCCTTTATTTGAGCAGCCTCATAAAGTTGGAGTGCTTTATCCCATAAACCAATTTGCTCATATGACAAAGCTGCATTCGTTTCAAAGTATTTAGCACGTCTTCTCCATTGACCATAAAACATATCATCCTCTTGAAGCGTAGCATACATTTCAATGAGAGCATCTTGATTAGTTTCACGAACAATATTGTTATCAACCAATGGTTCGTCCTCAATAGATTCCAAAATTTTAATGGAAGGATACCAAGAGTCGAAACTATAACCCAAATACTTGATCAAATGTGGCGGCAACTGGAGATCAGAACATTTACCAACACCTTCCAACAAAGATTGAATAACATTTGGACGAGCATCAGCTTGACGAGTGTGGTAATCTTTGGACAACAATGAAACAAGTGCTTCTTTGAAGTTTGTTCTCTCACGACGACTAATGGAGCTGTATGCAACAGGGAAAACATTCACCCAAGTAGAATGAACAGTCTCTGGGCTCTTATAAAAGAGGTTTGATAATGGTCCAATAATATCTCTAGCTTTGATTTGACCAATTTCTCCCAAGAACTTACCATGCTCATTAAGCAAATCTTGAACACCATCCAGTGGCTCATTATCTTCATCACCAATAACCGCTTTGATTTGGTCTAATGTAGCAAATTGATATGAGGATTCAAGTTTCAAAAAATGATCACCGTCAAAAGAGCCGTACAACAATTGCAAAGCTTGATTCAACCATCTGTAATCAGCCAAATATTCCCAGTTTTGTTCCCTGATGACATAGTACAATCTTTTATTTATATCTCTTTCGAGACTTTCATTCAAGATTGACAATAAACGTTGACGAATACTGACATCAGCTAATCTTGTACCAACTAAGAAAGGTTGTTCCATTCTAACAGTGAGCTCAGTACATGTTAGTGATTTATCTTCGAAAATGTCCACAATGATTTGGTAAAACTCTTTTGACAACGATAATTCACCTCTCAGTTCAAATACCAGCATTTTGACAAGAATTGCAGCTTTTTCCTTTGTTGTTGGGAACAGATCAGTTGTTGAGAAGACCCAACCTCTAACTATACCAATGATTTCCTTCAATAAACGGACATCTAATGAACGATCAATCAATTGTGCCAATAATGTCAAAAAGATCCGGCGTTGATCACCAAGTGTTGATATTCTCATAGAAGAGATATATAAAATCTTTTCAAGCAATTTGGTTGTCATCTTGGCTTCATATTCAACTTGTGGAGAAGCAGATTCTGTTTGTGAAATGGAGATATGATCTTTACAGATCTTTGCAAAAGTTCTTATGATACTTTGAACAAGCGTATCAAGTCCCTTTGGATAATAGTTTGCAAGGGCCCAAGCTAAAGTAACACCGGCTGCAACAGAATTTGTATTTTGTAAATCTTCAGCAACAATAGTTGTTAATAATGTTAGGAATGATCTAACCTCTTCGCTTTGTTCTTTTTCATCAGAGCTTGTCTCCTCGGTAATAGCTTTCAAGATAATTCTCAAAACTCTCTGTAAACCTTCTTGAACATCGTGGTTGTCAGAGCGTAAACATTTATCTAACAGGGATTGGAGAAAGCTAATGTTTTCAACAATCCAAGAAGTTGATTTTCCTTCTAAGGCAATACCTAAAACATCTAAAGCATTCAGACAATATCCCAGAAGGTTTGCACTTGACAAGTCAGCTTGAACTAGGAATTTTTCAAAAAATGCTAGCTTAACAGTAACCTCACACCAATAGTCTTTACTTAGCAACTTGTAAAGTATATGCAACGCCTTTTGACCCAGATCATTTTCTGATGCTCTTTGTGAACTAATGCAAATAAACCTGATTAAAAATGTGATACAAGCTTCACGTTGTGCAAATGGAACAGAATAATTCTTTGGTGTAGTAATATCAGAGCTTGAAATTTCTGGAGAGCCAGCACTATCAGCACCCAGTAATTTCTCTTCATCCTTTTCGGTCAGGTTGGAGGCGGCAACAGGAGCAGCTTGGTTTCCAACAGTGCCCGTATCTGCTTCTTCTCTTGCCTTTATTTCCCAGTTCAATATTAATTCAGCCAATTCAATTGCTAAAAGTTGATTCTCTAAAGCTGGATTAGCCATTGAAGTTAATTTACCCATATATGTTATGATATTTGGAATAAAGTGATCTCTGGCAATATAGAAAATATCAGAATGATGAATCAAAAATTGGTAAACTGTCAAGTTTTGAACTGTATTGTTCTCAGATAAGACACGTCTAACCCACTTGATCCAACCAGTAGAAGAACCACTTTGACCCATACGCTGTGGCATGACAGGTGCTAACAAATCAAGAGCTTGTCTCACAAGATATCTTGAATCCACAGTGTGAGTACGCAACAAAGCAACAAAGACTTGAGTAACGATTTTAACAGGCGTCTCATAAACTGAAATGAAATATGAAGTCACAACATAAGCAGCCTGTTTGGTCAATGTGTCATCCAATTTAATAAAATTCCAACTGAATTTGATAACATCCTTACGAAGGTCTGCAGTTAATTGAGGTGCATATTTGATCAATAAAGCAGATAACTGTAGTAATTCAAATCTAAGATTGTCAATTGAGCCAGCAACATGGTTGGTGATCATTTCATTTTGCGCTCTCCAAACTTTGTTATGAACTAGATCCAACCAAGTTGGCAATTTAGCACCTTGTGGTTTATGAGCTAAATTATCCAAGTTACCATTGTGTAAACCTTCATTGATAACAATTGCATTGAAGATGTGTTTCAAAATAAACGTTTTAGATTTTAGTGATTTGTTATCAGTAGCAAAAAGGATTGATTTGGTCATATATTCTTGACGAATTTCACTATCCTCAGATTTAACAACTTTCTCAAAAACGAAGTCTTCCAAGTAAGGCGAAATTGGTATATCTAGTGATGATAGCAAATCAATGAAACCTAGAATGATGTCTGAATCTTTGATATTTTTGTGGAACAATTGGACAAAAAGAGACTGTAATTTCTCGATAGCCTGTCTAATGCAGAAATGGATTGGTGAAGTCAAAGCAGCGTTTTGCTCAACAGTGATAATTTCTTGTGATAGAGAAGAAACATCCAACAACAATTGTTTATGAGAAATCAACCACTCTGAATCACTTTCAGATAAACTTTCTATCAAATCAATAAAGTTGGCAAACTTGATAGTTTTATTTTCGGCTTGAGTTTCTTGAGACACACTATTATAGAGAACTCCAATATTTTCTTTAATAACTTTTTTCAAATCATCGCACTCCTTTAATTTGATAAAATAGGCCAACTTGGTACCCAATTGTCTCAAATGAAATTGTTGTGAGAAAAATTGGAATGTTTCTTGTGGGAAACGATTCAAGAATTTAGCAATTGGTTCACGGAATGGGGAGCCTTGTTTGCGACGCAAGTTATCTTCCAAATATTGTAAGGTCTTGATTATTTCCTCCATGAATGTATAAGCTTTTGGTGGCAAGAGATGGAATATATTCAAAATAGCGACAATGATTTTGACAGTTGGATTGTTTTCCAACTCTTCAGAAGCAATTGAATGTAAAACAACAGGTTGTGCCCAAGCCATCAAATGGTCTAATAACTTTCTACCAATTTCCACTTTGAAGTATGTAATCAAAAGTTCTAATAAACGAGCTAAAGCCTCCAAACCAGAAACAGTCAACTTCTTGTGGTCTGATAAATTCATCAACATTGGTCTTAACCCATTTTGCAGTAACTCCTTAGGTAATTTAGCATTTTGTGACAACACTTGTTGTAATCCTTGATGGGAAGCATTGATGATTTCAGTGGACTTAGCACACAGAGTTTTGAAGAAAACTGCCAGAATTCTTATTCTAGTATGACCTTGTTGACTTGATGTAAACTCAGGTTTTGTTAACGCCAAAGACAACAATCTAATACAAACCACTCTTAATTTCACCAACTGTTCTGATGTACGATGTTCAGAAACTTTATGAGCACTAGTCAATGATTCATCCTCTGCATCGACTAAAGTCAAGGCTTCCATTAACAATCTATTCAACTCATCATTGAAAGTCAAAAATGAATCTTCCAAGCCCAAGCAGAACGTAATGGCATCAATATTACCAATTTGCATTGGGAAAGGCAAAGCTCTCAATGGTTTACCAAAAATTGGAGTCAACAAGATGCTCTTGCATTTTTCAATCATCTTTGCAATTGGTACTTTAGTGGTTTCCGACAATGCCTTCAAAGACTTTTGAGCAGTTTCCCTGACAATTGGATTAGCATTACTCAAATCATAAACCAATGCACCAACAATTGTTTGAAATGGTTTCTCTAGAACTTCAGCTTCAGTAGAATTTTCATTAGCTTTCACCAAAACATTCAAAACAAGATTTTTCGCAGTTTCACAAACTTCATGTGGAGCTTCAGGGTTCGTATCTCTCAAAACATAAAACATCGAGTGAACCAAATCAAACTGACGAACTTTAAACCATGAAATTGGAATGTTCAACTCATTAACCATTGTAGTTAAACCAAGACAACTAGCCAACTTGTTGTAGTAAGCTTCATCATAACTTGAGTGGACAAACGCATTAAATAATGAGCGCAAAACCGGGAACTCTAATGCTTTTTCAACAGAGTCAAATACTAGGACAGAAGTGTTGAAAACAGTCTTTATAGCTTCAATACCAGCTTCTCTGACTTCGATGATATAAGAACTCAAGGCATAAATAATTGCGTAAAACATGATGCGTTCTGAAATGACAACTTTGCCTTCTTTATCATCAACTAAAAATGGTCTTTGATTTTTCAATTTTTCAGTCAAAACTTTATTGACACTTAATAAAGTAAAATGTTGAGCAATATTTTTGATGATTTTAGTTGCTTCATCCTTTGTTTCTGGAACTGAGATAGCATAAAATATGGATTTGTATAATCTTAAAACTAATTCTTGTTCACGATTCAATTTTTGTTTGCTAATAATTATTTCATCTCCAATGTTTGGATTTTCCAATTCAAGTTTCTCTTGAGTGATTAATGAAACAGCAGCTGAAAGTGTAGATGCATAATCCTGTGGGATCTCAGTGGAAGGAATGAATAATAGGAAAACTTTTGAAATGTATTGGAAAGCACTAACTCTATAATGTGATTCAACAGTAACGTCTTCCAAAATCTCAATAGCTGATTTGATACCCGGTGTGATTGATAAAGAAGCATCTTGGTTCAAACCTTCAATTTTGAATTTAGCATTAATTTCTTGTTGCAATTTATCAGTTATTTGTAAGTTTTGATGAGGTTTAATAAAACGACGATTTCTACCACCTAGCTTACCCAAAATTCTGAAAGTTGTATGTGAATGTTGATGGTGGTAAGGTAGCGGTTTCAAGTGTCTCCATAAAGCTTCCATGACTTCTTCAATAACAGGTTCAATGATTGGGTCAAAGTATTCAGCAGTTAAATTATCAACACAAAGTTCCAAAGTTCTTAGTCCTTGACTAACTAATTCTTGAGTACTATTTAGTGCCAGCACCAAAGGTCTCATTAAATAATTCAAATGTGGAACAAGAACACTGAGACGGACTGGGACCGTGAGACATAATTCAACATAAATATCACGTTCTTGAGGACGACGTGCATTCAAGATCATTCTATTCAATGATTCCAACAAAACTTGAAGCAATGGCATGATTTCCTTGTACAAATTTTCAAAACGACCACCACCAATACTTCTGAATAAAGTTCTTATCAGGTGGAAATAGGCAATTGGTTCCTTTGATGTTGTTGTTAATTTCAAGGAAGTTAAAATTAAATCATTCAAATGTGGTAGAATGACTTTCTCATTTAATGTTGGAAACAAGTTAACAGACATAAAACAAAGTTTGAATAATCTAATCAAAATGTTTGATTTTATTATATCATCTCCACCTAGTTCATCTAATTTGCTTTTCAAGAACGAAATCAAGATACCAGAAAAGTTTGGAGATGTGTTTTCATTAGCTAAAAAGAATTGAGGAATGTGCAACAAGGCAGATTCTTTCAACATAGCATTGTATAAGAAGCCAATCTCAGCTTGAACAATTTCATTAAAAGTGGCAGCATCAATATGCATGAAAATGATTGCAAAGTTTTCCATTAGATCCTTCTCTTCTTTTGATGAACTGACAGGTAATGAAGGACCAGAAATTTCATAAATATGTTTATTTTCTAGGATTTGTTGATGTGCCTTTTGCTCTTTTTGTTGAGATGATGAAAAGAACTTCATACCAGAAATACACTCACAAAATAATTGTCTCAAAACAGTAACTTCTTCATTTGAAAAAACACGAGCAAAATCATTCCATTTTTGATTATGCAATTCATCTTGAGTTGCTGGAGGTTGAGGATTGAAGTTTTTTAAACCATAACTGATAGTCTTTAAGAACTGTAGCAAAGTACGGAACAAATAACGAGCATCCTTTAATGGATCTGTTGGTGATGGTGCAGTGATCAAGATAGGAACTTCTCTTTGGATGTCAAAAATATCATATTCTTTTGAATCCTCTTCCACAGTTGAGTCTTTGTTTTCATTACTTTCATCACCATCCATTTCAACATCACCGTCTGCATCTTTATTTTCGACACTTTCCAGCTTCTTAGGTTCATCTTTGAAAAAATAACTTGAAATATCATCATCATGGCCCAAGTTTTCTGATTTCATCAATTCTTTTTGCTTCTTCTCCTTTTCCAATCTCTTGTTCTCCACATCAAAATGATGCTTCATTATATTAGGATATTGTCTATTCAAAGCTTGGAATCTTTTGGTGAATGCATCAATAATCAACATAAATAACTGTCTACCTTCAGCTTTTGAATTCAAACGCATTATACGCTCCACCAAATTGAGCAGTAATTTAGCACTCATAATTTGAACTGTTAAAGCTAATGAACTATCCTGTAAATGATTACAATACATGGTGATTGTTTTCAATATTTTATCAGTGGATAACTCATTTCTCACATTGTGAACAAAATCAGCAACAATGCTGTAGGCTAATGGACGTAAAGTTTCATGTGCAGTTAATCCATCACCAATCAACACACGTTCATCAAATAATAAGTCAAGTTTTGAAATAAACAAATTTCTGTAAGGTGTTGTTAGGATATGTCTTGTTGCATGTAATAGTTCTTTTCTAGCAGCGGATAGTTCACTCGGACAATCTTGTAGTAGCCTCATTATAAGATCAGGTATTATTTCAGTATATTTTTTCAGTAGAGCTTGTGAATAACCACGAATGAAAATGTAAGCCAAAAATGAAGCAGCTTTAACTTGACCTAGAATGAAATCACCATAAGCCAATCTATTCTTAATTGCTGGCGTAACTGAGGTCAATCTCTGGCCATTTTCTTCTGCAAACTTTCTAGCTTCAGCTTGTTGTGGAACTTCCAACTGCAAAATTTGAATAATGTAAGGAATGAAATCTGGTAGTGAAGTATTGACTAATTGCTTATAAGATGAAGTTAAAGTAACCATTGTAATTGGACATTCAGCAATTGTTTTGAAAGAATACATAGCTTTAGCCAATTGTTTTGGTTGAGCATCATCATTACCTAAACTTGGGGACATTGCTCTTGGTGATTGGAAATTATTTGCAGGTGATCCACCATTGTTATTCCCAGAAGCCAAGTTATTTGGGTTTGGTGTTCCTGTTGCATTGTTAACAAATGTATCTTTCACCAGTTGATCCATGTTTTTGTACATTTCAATAATGATTTGTATAAATGGTTCAGCCTTATCAGCAAGTATAGATTTATAAGATTTGAACAATGAAGTTGAAATTTTCAAACATAGAACTCCATTTTCTTCATTTTCAGTTTGTAATAGTTTGATGAGTAAATCATTGATTTCTAATGCATAATTTTGAAATGTATCATTCATTGTAGAACGATGTAAAACCTCTAATATAGAATTTCTTAACTTGTGATCAATTGATTGACTGGAAAAACTAATTGGAACTGTATTCAATAATTCAATATATACAGGAACAAGTTGTGAAAGGTAATGTTCATATTCAGTATTGCCAGTAAATGCTTCAATCATATCAGACAACTCAGAAATTATTGAATGTTTTGTCTTGAAATCGACATCTTCTTTAAGCCTGCTGGCAAAGGTGTCTATTTGAGCGGTGTAGGACATCTCTTTATTGATTCCCACCGCTTTAAATCAAAAAATAAATAAAAGGGCTATTGTGATGTTGTTAGAGACTTGCCAAAACACGTTAAAACTTGAAGTCACAGTTGTACTCACACTTATTTGAGGGCCCACAAAAAGACTAACAAATAGGAGGCTATAGGATCCAGTGGAAACTAACAATTAATGATAGAATTTTACTTGAACTATCTCTTGGATTCCTATGATGCCGTTGATGTTGTTAATTTTGTTGTTGATTTGATTTTAGTGGATCGTTGTTGATTTTTTTAACCATAGTCGAAGTTGAACATTTTTTTTATGTGGAATCGTGAAAACCAAAAACTTCAGAGAAAAGCGTGACATTCACGTGACTAGAATTTTCAGATGTTTAGACTGACAAGTTATTACCCAATAAGGAAGTCAAGACGGTGCACCTAGATAAAACACAATAAATGTAGAGTTGAAATAAAAGTTTTGGTTATATCATTTGAAAGCTGTGTTGCTAATATGAGTGAAGTTTTCAATGACAAGTACATGACTCTTTCAAAGCTCGTTATCGGCACATTCATGGACAGAGCTCGCTTGTGATTGTCTATGATAATATTGAATAGTATGTCAGTACAGATCAATTGAGTAACCTACAAGGAAACACATTAGCCGATGTTAGATCATTGATCATTCTCGATACAGCCTTCTGAGTACAAGTACTTCCAGCATAGTTATTTGTGATATGATTAGTTGATCCAATATTATCGATGTAATTTCTTCAAATATTTTGAGCCAACGTATTTGGTGGTGCATCAATCTGCAACAGAGTCACGAATAGAGGCTTGATCAATGACCAGATATAACCACATGAATACATACACCATATTGCTTGTTTAACATCGGCCCATTCACTATCATCAAACCGTTATTAATTAGTCTATCTGAACCGTTGTTGGAGTCTTGTACGTCATTGGTCATGATGTACTGGCTTAGTTCTGCTTACAACGTGAAGCTAATACGGCTGAACAGCTAGCAAAAGCCACCAAAAAACGCACCAAAACAACACGTTCTGTCCAACCATCAGCACTACACAGCTCACCAAAGGTCATACAACTTCAACACGCTCATTTTATCTTCTCAACTCTCTATAAAATTGAGATTTTATAGTAAAAGTGTGCTCAGCCAATGGCGGCTTCAGTGTGGCCCCATGCCAGATCTGCACCAGCTCGTACTTAAACTTGGCAGACAATGTGAAGATTATACAGAAGACAAAAAAAGTATAAAAGTCTAGTCAAGTCCTTTGATAATAGTTTTACTGAAGACCTAACCTAATCATCAAACTAATCAATCAACAATTACAATGTCACAAGAATTTTATGATGCTCCAAAAGCCCAACCAGGATACACCGATGATACCCCATCTGGTGAAACATTCCAACAAAACATCATCAACAATAATCCTTCAGCTACCTCAAATACAATTAGAAACCCTCCAATTGTCTCAAGAGAACCTGATGCTATAAAGCAAATTACTTATAAAAAGGAATATGATGTTCAACCTCAAGGTACTTATCAATCACTTGTCAATGCATTTGGTAACTTTTTTGGTTATTTTGGTATGGTTTGTTGTTGTCCATGTAGTAATCCATATCATGATGTTAATCAAGGTTCTATTGGTATGATTACAAAATTTGGTGAATTAGCAAGAGTCGCAGATCCAGGTTCAACCTATGTTAATATTTTCAGTGAAAAATTACATATGGTTTCAATTATGATTCAAGTTCAAGATATCCCAGAACAAGCTTGTTTAACAAAAGATAATGTTATTGTTTACTTGAAGAGTGTGTTGTATTATAACATTATTGATCCCCAAAAAGCTGTTTTCGGTATTTCAAATATTCAAGATGCTATTGTGGAAAGAACTCAAACTACTTTAAGAGATGTGATCGGTTCGAGAGTTCTTCAAGATGTTATTGAACGTCGTGAAGAAATTGCAGAAGCTATTCAAATAATTATTGCACAAACAGCTGCTGAATGGGGTGTTCATGTTGAATCCATCTTGATCAAAGATTTACAACTATCTAATGAAGTTACTCAATCATTATCTCAAGCTGCACAAGCAAAGAGAATTGGTGAATCCAAGATCATTACTGCTAAAGCTGAAGTTGAAAGTGCTAAATTGATGAGACAAGCTGCTGATATCTTAGCCTCCAAGCCTGCTATGCAAATTAGATATTTGGATGCTATGCAAAACATGGCCAAATCTGCAAACTCAAAAGTTATCTTTATGCCAAGTTCTGGTGAATTAGATAGAAATGCTTCAAATGTTACTACTGAAAATGGTGAACATTCTGACCAAATTGAAGAAGTTGATGAAGAAAAATTGAGACAGTTGCAAGCTCAATTGGACCAAAGACATGGTGCTTCTCAAACTGATAACTACAAGAATATGATTGCTGTTAAAGAATCATTAGAATAAGTAAAACCTCAAATGGTTCATATCAAATCCAGACATTCCTTTTATTGAATTTCAACACTAATTAATTTTTAATACTCAATTTTTATATATTCCCTTTATGCTGGAACATGAATGATGATGATCACTGTTTTTTTTGTTTTCAAATATGCATTAATTGTAGCAGTAATCTTTATAGCACCTTCCACAAAATCCAGGAACCCGTGATGCTTGCTCCTTGCCACCTTGATTAATCAAGCTTAAACCTCTTGATCTTCTGTCGAATTCCCTTTTAACCATAATACACCCAATACACTTATAATAATTCTCATCAATGGTGGAATTAGAATAGCTCATAATGTTGTAAGCATTTTCTATGAGATGAGAAACTTCATCATCTGTATAGGTTAATCTGAAAGTGGATGTGTTTGATAGGTATGAATGATTGGTATTTGCAAAGTATCCAACGATTGGGGGTAAGTATTCATCAACAACATCTTCTTTATTCAAGTTCCTTTTGGGGAATTTTGATAAATGACATCCAAAGAAAATTGGTCTCTTGTTGAGCTTCTTGTCAACAAACATTTTTGGTTTGGGAATCTCTGGGAACAAATCAATTGAAGTTGGAACACCATCAATACTAACAGTAGTGCCCTTATGATCCTTATGATGATATCTATCCATTGTATTTTGTAAAATGGTACCATTAGGCCATCCACCAACATCTGCAGTTGAATCCAATGCAAATATCAAGTCAACTTGTCTCGATTTCTGCAATAACGGTTGGATTGGTATATTTTGACCATCTTCTCCACCATCAACCATATAAAGATGCTTGTCATGGAAAATCTCATTATTTTGCTCTTGACCATACCTGTAAAAAGGGTTTGGTGTGTATAATGCATAATCAGGATGTTTTTTAGGGTCAATACCATTTTGTTGTGAAGTTAATCCAAAAGTATTCAAGACTGCTTTAATGGCTCTATATTTTTCTCTTGTGGAGGTTGCAGCTAATTGCCAAACATAAATCAAAACATTATTGAACAATGACGATGATGTACCTGTGATGAAACCGGCATTATCAAAGTTGTTGAAACAGATAGCCTTCTTGGATATATGGAATACTGGAACACCACCACAAAGTAAAGATCCAAGATATTTCAAATTCATAAACATTTTCAAATCCCAAGATCCAAATTCAAAAGGTGTGAACTCAAAGATATTTGAATTGATACTCGTCTTTTCCACACCTGGTTCTCTCAAATTTGAAAGAATTATTGGTAAAGGTTGATAAAACATTTGAAATGAGTTCAACATAGTGACACTTGAGAAAGTCTTGTTTGGTGATCTAGCTGATTTGGGGAATATTTTTCTTGATAATGCTCTCCCCCAATAATCAGTAAAAGAGACTGGAAATCCAACTGATTTCTTTGACCTAACTTCAACATGTAAGTTTTTATAGAAATTGAAAATCTTTTTGATATTCTTTAATGATAAATCAGGTGAAACTTCTATATTTGGTAGCACATTAGTTGCTGATATTTTCGGTTCTTCCTTTTTCTTAAACATATCTTTAAAGAACGTTTTGAATCCTTCAAACCAATCATCATTTGACTTTGGTGTATCCCTTTTGATTAGCAATTTGTTACTTTCAAAGTAATCTTCATCCTCTTCCTCCTCATCAATATCATCATCATTATCATTCAACTCTTGTAAAAACTCTAAATTATGGTAAAAAGTTTCAAATACTTCATCAACATAAACCTCATCATCAAGATCATCATCCAACCCATAAAATTGACCTCTTTTCTCAATTCTACGCAATTTCTCATAAAACCCACCATCATCATCTTTAAAATCAACAGGTAAGACTTGTACATCATTTCTTGAAACTTCCACTTGTTTCATATTAGGGATTCCTTCCAATAATGGATCAAGCATATGCCATTCCTTTTTCAATTTCACAATAGGTTCATAATCACCAAGAATCATAGACATTAATAACCAGGATCCTCCACTGATTGCACTAATATATGATGTTGATTGTAAAACCCCACCAAGATGACCAGGATTTGTAGAATTCATTGTACGATCATCAAAGGCAGCTAGGGCACCAGCACCATTAAGAAAAGATCTATACCCACCACCAGATATGGCAATTCCTATGGTGATTGGCTTTAAAGATGAAAGCATGAATTGATCAACATCGAATTCTGGGATGTCCAATCTTTCTAAAAATTGATGTATTGATAATTGGGTTAACCGCTGTCTTTGATTGATATATTCTTCTTCATTGGAACTGATGGACTATGGAAGCTTTGTTAGGATCAGAATGTTAACTATTATGAAAGGGTATCATCGATTACATTTCCTTTCCTCACTAATGGGAAGTCTGGACACTTTACTGAGAAGGGAGCATAAGAGTTGGCGCTTGAGATATTGCTTGACACCACGAAGGACAACAACCATAAGCAGCTGATAAGAGCTTTTGAAATGAGCATTTCTAACCAGAGCGCCATTGACTTTTGCTCTTTGGAATTTAGGTGAATGTGTGGAAGAGTCTACAATTTTTCTTTCTCTGATAAACTTTGAATAAAAAAAAACTTCTATGCATTGGATTTTTTTTTTGGGTTCATGAATCTATTCAGCAGCATCTAATGAGGCAATGACACTACCTGCAATCTCTTTCACCAAGTTGATACTGCTCAGTATCAATTGAGGCTTGACACTTTTCAAATTATCATCATTCAACTTCACATTCTCAGTAGGGGAAATTGGTTTCCCATCAAACCAACTAACTATTAGCCCATTATCACTAACCTCCATCTCTTCAACATTTGGATCAAGAATGTAATTCTTCCCCACTATGGCTAAAGTGAATATGATTGGAAATTTACCAGTTAATTTATTGAATTCATAATCATGGAATGTAGGTTGTTCTTCAATTTCTTTATCATCAACACTAGATGTAATCTTTGGTAAATAAGTATTATTCAAAGCCAAATAAGTTGTAAAAGAAATCAATGTTAATGGATGTGAGTAATTGGATATCACTGAAACATCAATAAATAGTTTATATGCAAATTTTGTAGTAAGATTTAATGATTCTTTTGAGATATGTTTTGAATATAAAGTTTTCAATGTTGCAATCAAGTTCAGGATAAATGAAGAATCGTCTCTATAGCCAGCAACATCAACATCAACATCAATTAGATCTGGAGTAGTAGATTTATCAACGACTTGTGCTTTGATACTAACAATACATTCACTTCCATCACTCAGTGTTATTTTAGCTGAACCATTAGAATTATCTAGGAACCCAATATGTGATTGAATAGGTCTGAATTGTTTTATACTTCTCCCATCTGGCCTTATTGGAGGAGACTGTTGCAATGACTCATACAAGTATGATCTTTCTGTAGCTGATAATATCATATTTATTGTCTAATGAAGTTGATCTTTTGTACCTCTGATTATTCCTTATGTTTATGATTTCTGAATTTTTTTTTTCTTTGCTTCACCAAAAATTTTCTGCAAAAAAACGGCGTAAAGTCGAGAAAACGACAATCTGCGAAAGCGCGAAAAGAGCCGAAAACAGAAATGCAAAAAACGCCAATTTCTCAAATACCGATTCATTCAAATCTCTCAACTGATGTTCTCTTTTAACTAGATACTTGAGCTCCTTTTCAAACTTGTTCAATTGACGATCCACATCATCAATAAGGACTTGGTTTGTGCTCTGGAGATGATGGTTCAATTCTTTCAACTCTTTGTAATTGTATTTGGGCTTGGAGCTCAAGACATCAACATCCATCTCCATTTCTCGAGCTATTCCCTTATTCAACCATGAAGCATCACTCACTATATTGATGAAACATATATCCACAATGGAATGGGGCTCTGGCTTGAACACCATTCTCAAATTATCATCTTTGATGTGCTATGATTCTGTTAGTCTCTTCATACTTTTGGATCTAAAATTCTTTTATACTCACATCTTTTCTTCTCAAAGTGTTGAAATTCTGGTCTTTGATCACCACATTCAACTTTTGATTAGTGATTTCACCACCAGTCCTCACATCAACAACTGTCACTTCATCCTCCAATTCATATCTAAAGCATAGGAATCCCCTTTCCAAGTCCTTCGGGCTCTTTATTTCACGTTGTTTTATAGGTTCAAGGTAGAAACCGAGACTTTGTGCCAGCCCAGCAAATGTTAGCAATAGTAATAACCAGCTCACAAATAACAACATTCTTCGGTCACAACACATGAAATCTTTCCAAGAGAGAATAATAAAGTGAAAGAGTTCATGATGAATTTCTGATCTAACTTTTTTCCTTACGCCTTGTTGGGTATTAACGGTTTTTACTGTGCTTTGGGCTTGTGTCTGGGGTAAGAACCACAAAGCCGATATACAAAAAAAACACTTGCTGAATTTTAAGTTGACATGAAATTAGCACAAACAATAAGCTGTTGCACATATTGTTGAAGCTTTTATAAAATTATAGGATTGTAAGCATCTCTGTCTTTAACGACTCAGAGTTATTCACTACATTTCGAATAAATGAATGAATGAAGCATCGTATTTCATTAAATGTTTGGTCATACTAGAAGTCATATATAGTCATTAAAAGTGAATGCAATACTCTTACAAGAACACACTGTTTGGGGCATTGGCATCAACAACATCATTATCTGTGTCATAGACACCGGCTTTCTCTTTCAATTTCTCATCACCAGTGGTTTGAGAACTAGTTTTTGTGGATTTGGTACCTCCATTCTCTTCCACTGGTAGTCCTCTATGAGTCAATTCGTTATCGATGGCTTCAATTCTCTCTTGTTGGTTCTTTACAACAATTTCATTCTCAGCAACGATTTCCTTGAACAATTGTTCATCATTGGTGTCAATTTCATTCAATTCGTCGTCACTTTCATCACTTTCACTATTCAATTCCTCTTTATTGATCAATTTTGTCAATTTGTTGTTTGTTTTGTATAATTTCGAAATTGACTTGTTCAATATGCTCTTGATGGAGTAAAGCTCTGAATCTTGAACTTCTCTTAAAGTGACGATGAATTCTTCGATTTGAACAGGTCTTTTGATGGCTGACATGTTTGTGAGTTGTAGAATCTGATTAAATACTTCAAATTGAGATTAAATTAAAGGATTAGTTAGATTTATCAAGATTTATCCTATAAAATCCTTCTTTTGTTTGTTAGTTGCTCTAGTCAAAAACATGATCACCAACAATTTTCTTTTCGCCTTCTCGAAGAAAAACAAAAAATCGTCTTGACACAACTTTTCAACGAAATCAAAACAACAACATTTCCAGCTCAAGTGTATTTAAAATGTCTGTCTTGAATCAATGGTTCACTGGTGTTCAGGACCTTGAACTGGTCAATGACAAGATCAAGGAACTCGAGGCTGAAAGATTGGAACTACAGCAATTATCCGATCCAAATCATCATCAAACGTCATCAACAATCGATTTCGAAGAACTCTCAAAACAATTGAAGTTCTCCATTGCAAACTCAGATATAGATACTATAAATGCTCTCATAACAGGTCATGGTGATATACCGTCCCTTGTTGCTGCTAAAAACTTGGTATTGGAAAGGCAAAGACTACTGTCCTTGAAATCTCAACAATCTCAATATAAAGATTTGGATGAAAAATTGAATGAAATTACATATTTTGATCTGATTGGATTGAAAGAGTTGAAGAATGGTATTTCTGAGCTAACAAATTTGAAATATCAAGCCACATTGTATGATAAATTGGATCAATTGATAATTTCACTAAAACCAAAATATCAACAGGCCCTAGTTGAGTCGGCAGGTTCTTCAAAATGGGTAAATTCTTCATCAATCGCTCCAAATTTAGAAACTGATTTCCATAACTTGCTAAATCTACAATCTTTATTAAACAAGCAACCAAAATATCCAGACACTTTATGGGCATTTGAAACGCTGGCTTCAAATTTCAAAATCAGTTTTGATTATCATTTCAATACCGAAAAGGAAACAAATAGAATTGATAGACCGGAGTTATTTCTCAACTATTTCACAAATTATTTATCAAATCACTTAAGTAAATTTGTTGGTGTTTTCCAGTTACAAGATACTGAATATAGTGATCGTTTTGCTCATTCTGAATTCATAACTGCTTTATTGAAACCTGTTCGAGAGAAATTTTCACAAGTTTTAAAAATTTTGAGATCATCCTTAGAAGAAGAGAATCCAAAGACTCAAGAGGCAAACACTCAGCTATTAATACATTTTATCAAAGAGACCATCACTTTTGATCAAGCTTTAGTTTCAGATTTCTACTATGATCCTTTAGATGATGGTAATTGGGAAGGTTTGTTTGCATTGTTCAACTATACTGATCTGGAAAAATGGTTAAACTATGAAACAAAGTTAAATGTGGCAAACTTTGAATCAATTATTAACTCTTCAAACTGTTTCCATATTGATTATACATCTGTTGGTGATGCACAATTGAAACCAACAGTATCTGCCATCAAGTTGAAATATTTATTTGAAAATATTACAAACAGTTTCTCCAAATTTTTCCTTCAAAATTATGAAAACAATTCGAGTTTGAAAAAATTTAAGCTAAAGTTCTTTGCAAAGATATATCTAAGATTTTTGGAATCTTATTTTCAAAGACTTGAAGATGGGTTTATCGCCTTCAACGAACTATTCAAAAAATCAAGATCGGTTATTCACTCGGCTAAAAACAATACAGAAATTGATATAACAGGTACAAAAGGTCTAGAAAGATTATTTCGTATCTATTGTTCATTAAAATACACTATCAACTCCCTCAACTATTGGAACCAAGAATTCATATTCATCGAGTTGAACTCTTTGTTTAATGAATACTCCACAAACAAAACACTATCATTATTCAGCTCAATATTATCAGATTATAACTCACTAGCTGAAAAGACATTACAGTTGATCAATTCGTTCTATTCCAAAACCACAACTACTCTTTTGAGAAATTACACTCAACTAAATGATTGGAATGATAGATCCTCACCAGCACCAACTACATTCACAGCTCAACTAGCTAGTGTCATTGATACATTACAAGAATTAAACCAATTTACAGTCAAAGTTATATCCACTAATGAGTTTCTAGTTGTTAAAAATTCACTATCATATTCAGTAGCTGACTATTTCTTCAACAATATTATCAAAAGCAATCATTTCAGCCATAAAGGTATAAAACAATTGGAACTAGATTTCAGTATAGTTTGGGAGAAATTACAACTATCTAGAAAATTCCCATTATACAAAAAATTGATTGAAGCTTTCCAAATAATGAATCTTGATGATGAACAAATCACCCAATTTGGTCCTTTCAACACAGTTAATCAATTTGCAAAATCTGGTCATTTTGAAATTTTGAGAGAAGTGTTACAATTGGAATATTTGACAGATAGTGATTTATTAGATCTGTTACTACGTATAACTTGATTCATGCAAATTATATTATATATTCATTAATAGTAGTTCTCCATCACTGGATCGAAATCTTCTTTGGTTGTTCTATCAACTAGGTTTTGTTCATCGCTAACAGTTGAATCAACACCTAATGCACCAATCCCCATATTCCAATTCTTGAAATTTTCAAACATTTCATTGAAATTTGTAATGAACCCAGTGGCACCAGCATCGAAAAAACTTTCCTCATTTTTAGAATTGACCCATTCGTGATCTGGACTTAATGTATCTTTAGACATTTTCATATCAGATAAATCAATTTCTTTGTTATCTTTTTGAATGTCATTACGATCTAATAAAGACTTCAACTCATCACCTTCTGAATTATTAACAAGATCTGAAGAAGACGATGAATTTGATGAGTTATTCGAAGCTTCTATACCCAGTTCAGTTTCAGTAAAATGATTTTCAACAAGATGATCAATTACATTCCAACCATAAGCATTTGCAAATCTTCTTCGAACAACGATGTTATTATGAGAATCAGGTTGTAAATGAACCAAAACTTTTCTCCAACTCATCCCATTATGCCACTCTCTCGCTATGTCTTCCTCCAATTCTTCAAATTTCGTATTGGGGTCTAAAGTTTGCATGAATGTCTTCTTTCTTTTAATTTTGGGTGGAATATCAGCTTCAGTATAGACACGATCATGAATTATAACATTTGGTCTTGATCCTGGATCAATTATATATTTCAATGGAGGTAGTGGTGGTAATAACAATGACGCAGCTGACTCGATCATCGAAGTCTTGGGGAAACTTTTCATAGCTTTTTTATCTTCATCGACTTCATTATTACCAGCACTTTTGGGATCTTCCTCGGACTTTTGGGATTGTGAGTATTGGCCCTGAGCATTTGGTGCTAATAAACTCATTGCTTTTTGAAATGGGTTGATAAAAGTCTTTGTAGCTTTGGTAATCATGTCATCATCATCTTCCAGTACATCTTGGGGTCTTTGTCTTGAAGTTTCATTGGGTATTTTACCTGTCTCATCTTCCAATGAACTATCACCAGTACTTCTTTTCCTCACCCGTTGGGCATTAGCAACTTTTGTCAATCCCTTCCAGTCCAAATATAGCAAAGCAGATGTATATAGTGGAACAATACCATCATTTACTGAGTTTGCATAAACAGTTCTATTATGAAACTTTTTCAAAATTTTATGTGTTGGACCGGTTGGTAACAATTTCAAAAGCGGTTCCTTCCCCTGTGTCACCTGAAGTCCTAAATCTTGACCAGTCTTCCCGACAATACCAACGCTTAATGCAGCCTTAATATAAGCAGGATTATCAGTCACTATACCTAATAATGGAGCAGCTAAAGTTATAAAATTCACAGGAGTAACTTTTTCGAAGAACCATGGGAAATTCATTTCAATATAAGCTATGGCAAATGTTTGAACTAAACCACCAAGTGAATGGCCGACAAATGAGATCTTTTTAACATCCTCAGTATATAGTTCATTGACAATGTATTCAGCAACTCTACTCCCCAAATATTTCACACCTTTTTCAGTTTTGCATGTGTTACCTGGGAACCCTTTGACCAATAAATTTTCACCAGTGACTTCTGCATTTTTATCGAGCTGTTCCTTGATGTAATACATATCTGCTTCAACATTACTATGCAATCCGTGTGTCAAAACAACCAAATGAATATCTTTATTGGGCATTGGTCTTGGTAAATTCCACAAATCAAGCGTATCTTTTCTATTAACAGTCAACTGGCTATTGAAGCTTCCTAATTTTTCACATTTCAAACTCAAGGAATCCAGATTGCGCCCTATAAGCAATTCAAACCCAACATCTGTAGATGCATTAAACAAAATTTGACTCACCACATCCACTATCCACACGTATTTCTTCTTGATATTGTGTAGCGATAACTCAGCATTGAAACTCTGACCTGGACTCAAATTCGGTTCATACTTGGGCTGGTCGGCTGTGACAAACGTGGACTTGCTATGATGGTAATCTTCAGTTCTAACATCAACGTATAGTATGTATGGACCCATCAAGAAGGCAGCTCTCATGGGGAGGCTTTCAATGTTCCTCACTTTCAACCATAATGATTTCAATGACAGTTTTGATATTTCTTGCTCTTCGGGCTCGTACGTGATGACATACCTTTCCAATTGACCAACTTTGACAGACCGTTTTGAGCGGTAAAGGATATCAGATTCAGACATCACAAGTCATTTAGCTTAGTGAGATTTGGTGATTCTAAATAGTTGAGGTGGTTTTAAAGAGTTTTGTTGAGATGGAATGCTGATAGCTTCAGCTTTTCAATGTTTCGATTTCGTTTCGCGAATTTGGGCCATGAACTACGTTTAAATTTATTTTATGCTATTTTTCCTTTATTTACAAGTGTCTATAATATTGACTCAGCTAGATGTACTATTCTCCAACTCTTTAGACTTCACTTGACCCTCGTGTTTCTCCAGTTCATCGATCAACAGATCCAATTTCTCACCTTTCATCACGGCTTCAACATCATGTAACGAATAAGAACATCTATGATCAGTTATTCTGTTTTGTGGGAAATTATAAGTTCTGATTTTGTCTGATCTGTCAGTAGTAGAGACTTGATCTGTACGCATTGATCTTTCTTGAGCTTCTCTTTCCTGTCTCTCCTTCTCTGCTAATCTAGCTCTAAGAATATTGAAGGCCTTGGTTTTATTCTTGTGCTGTGATCTTTCATCTTGCATAGAGACGGTGATACCTGTTGGAATATGTGTTAATCTAACTGCTGAATCCGTGGTATTAACGTGTTGACCACCTTTACCACTGGCCCTCATAATATCAATACGAACTTCACCTGGTGCAAACATTCTTTCATCAGCATCTTCAGATTGATTCTTTTCAGCCATTTGAGGTAGCACAACAACACCTGCTGTAGATGTCTGTAAACGACCTTTTGTCTCTGTTTCTGGGATTCTTTGCACTCTATGAACACCTGATTCAAATCTCAGTTTATCATATGCACCTGGCTCATCTATACTGATAATCCCCTCCAAGATACCATTACCACTCCCATTATTTGTTTTGGCAACAATCGTATATGGCCATCTATGATGATTTGCATAATTTATATACATGTTGAATAATTCTAATGTGAATATCATAGCTTCTGTACCTCCGACACCAGGTCTCAATTCCAATAGACAAGGTTTTTCTGCAAACTCATGAGGAGGCAATAATCTTGATTTCAATTTATCTGAAAGGTCCATAAGTTTGGGTATTGTCACTTTGATCTCTTCTTCAGCATCTTCTTTTAATGATTCATCCTTCAGTATAGGAAGAAGTTCCTCATATAGTGTCAAGTTTTCTTTATATTCTCTAAACACATCCACAATAGCAGATAGTCTCGAGTATTTTTTTTGTTGATTTACGTCAAAATGACCACTATCAGCTAATGAACTCTCCAAATCTTTCAATTCTTGAGTTAAAACTTCAGCTCTTTTGACCAGTGATGGATGTAATTGTTGGAAAGCTTGTGGTGGGGCTGTAGAGTTGAACCTTTTGGAAAAAGCTCCGCCAAACGGCCTTTGCGTTATTCTGAAGCTCCTGCCCAAATGAAATCTTAACATTACCAAGTGTTTTGTTTTGTAGGAAAGTTGATTTGTTGACGTTAAAAAAGATTTTAGTCGAGATCGTGTATTTTTTTTCAACCTTTTCGAAAAAGCTCATCTTGAACAGAGTAAATCCTCACAACAAAACAATCACCAAATTTAATTGAAATGCTAGAGACCAATAATAAATCTTCCTCTTCTGTTCAGAGGTACACAAAGTGTGAGTTGTTGGATTGTTCAAAGAGCATCTTGGTTGTTGTTTAAACTGTACTAACAAGACATAATTTTAGCAAAGAAAGTTGGTGAAGGTACATATGCTGTTGTGTATCTTGGAAAACAAATAGAGAGTGGAAGAGATATAGCTATAAAGGAGATCAAAACTGGTCAATTCAAAGATGGACTAGATATGAGTGCCCTGAGGGAAGTGAAGTATCTTCAAGAATTGAGACATGTTAATGTTATTGAACTGGTGGATGTGTTTTCAGCATCTGACAACTTAAACTTGGTTTTAGAATTCCTTCCGGCAGATTTGGAAATGATTATCAAAGATAGAGAAATCTTATTCAGTCCTGCTGATATGAAATCATGGTTGTTGATGACATTAAGAGGTGTCCATCATTGTCATAGAAATTATATCCTTCATAGAGATTTAAAACCAAATAATTTATTGCTTGCACCAGATGGACAATTGAAAATTGCAGATTTTGGGCTAGCTAGATCTTTAGGATCACCAAATGAAGACCTGACATCCAATGTTGTTACGAGGTGGTATAGAGCTCCAGAGTTGTTATTTGGTGCTAAACATTATACAGAAGCTGTTGATTTATGGTCTGTGGGTATTATATTTGCAGAACTCATGCTGAGAGTCCCATACCTTCCAGGGAGAGATGACTTGGATCAGATCGATGTCACGTTCAAAGCATTGGGTACACCTACTGAAGAAAATTGGCCAAATGTGTCAAGTCTGCCATTATACAACAATTTAAATTTTTATCCATGCCCTTCAAGACAGGAGATAAGAAATAGATTCCTTGCAGCAACAGAGACTGCCTTGGATTTGATGTGTGGTATGACTGAGTTGAACCCTGCTAAAAGATGGAACACCGAAAAAGCATTGTTGAGTAAATATTTCACAGATTTGCCTGCACCAACTGAGCCAGCCAAGCTACCCAAACTTACAAAAAAGGAATCATCAGAATGAATTTTAAGTGAACTATAGATCTATTTACATGTAGAACTTTTCAACCATGATAAATATTGGCAACATACTTACCAATAGCCATACTTGAGGTCAACCCAGGACTTTCAATACCCAACAAATTAACAAATCCTGGGAAACCTTCCTCTTCTCTAATCACAAAGTCTTGGAAGGAATCATCACCAGGCCCAATCAACTTAGGTCTTATACCACTATAAGCTGGACTTAAATCTTCTTTCACAAGATGTGGGAAATATCTGATGATTTGTTTGTACGCCTCATCTAAATTATTAACACTAGGTGTATAATCATTTGGTGAATCAACCCATTCAATGTCTGGACCAAATTTCATTTGACCATCTAATCCCAATGTCAAGTGAGTCCCTAGGCCTTTCACCCCTTTAGCAGGGACTGGATAAATTAATCTTCTAACTTCTGGGAATGAATTGTTAAAATTGAAGTAAGTACCTTTAGCATAATATTGCTTCACATGTCTGTCTTTTGGTAATAACATATTTGAAATTTTATCAGCATAAAGACCAGCAGAGTTTACAACGTTATCAACTTCAATAACCACATCTTCATCCTCAAGTGTTGATTTAGCATGAACTTTATAACCATCATTGTTTTTCTCAATACCAATAACTTCAGATCCAACAGCTAATTCACCATCATTTTCCTGAAAGACGGTGTAAAGGTAATCCATTAATGAATGCGCAGATATAATACCAGTTGTTGGGGAGGATAGAATCCCTCTTTCTGCATGAACGGCAGCTTCAATATACTGACCTTTATAAGTTGGTATCAATTCCGTCTTTACCCCAAGGTCTTGTGATTTCCAGTAAAGGTGTTCAATAAAGGCATCTTCTGTATCATTTTGAGCCACTATCCATTTCCCACATTTTTGCATTTCAACTCCTGCTCTGAAGGCATCTCTATATAACAATTCCTTACCTTCAATGCACAACTTTGTCTTCAAACTGTCTTTAGGGTAGTACAAGCCAGCATGAATCACTTCACTATTTCTTGAAGAAGTTTCCTGACCAACCTTTGTGTTTTTTTCAATAATTACAACCTTGTTCCCTGGTTTCTTTGATAACTCTGCTGCAATTGCCAATCCAACGACTCCTCCTCCTATGATCGCATGAGAGTAGTCAGCTCTAGCAATTGAGCTACTGCTAAACTTTCTAATACCTGAACCAAACCGTAGCATTGTGCACTGAGGATTGAATCTATGGTTTGTAAGGAATCTTGATCAACATCATTCACTCGCTCACCGGCTTTTTTTTATCTGGGGAAGTTTGCAAAACACATTCGCGGAACAAGCTGTGATTCGCGAAATGTTTTTGGCCTTGAACTTTTCATCGTGAAGAAACAAATGGAAAACAGACCACTCTGAAGATATTCATTAGACATGATGTTTGGTGGTAGAGTGGTAGTTGGCTCTAAGTCAGTCTTTTTAAGATGCTTTTCTACAAGAAGGCCACCTTTTTATGAAGTTTTCCCCAAGAAAACAGTCATGAATAGAATACTGTTTGATCTTGACAGTAGACATAATTATGGGAAATTATACAAAGTCTTTGAATCAGTCTATCAAAAATTGGATACAGAGGAAGAGCCAGAAATACCCAAGTTTATAAACGCTTCAGATCTCATGATTATGAAAAAAACACTTGAAAACATAAGAATCAGATCTCATACAACAAATAGAAACCTGCTTGATTTGGAAAATGAACTTACAGAAAAAGCTGCAGAGTATGGGAATAATGATGCTGTTGCCCTTTTAGCATTCGAAGCAATCATGAATAAATCAAGCCCTCAGGATGATAGAGCATATGCTAAAAAGCTGGTTGCAAAACTTTTAGAATTAAAACATCCATTAACTTTAAAAATGAGTGGTGATTTATGTGTTCAAAATCAAATGTTGGCACAAGCTGAGAAATTTTATAATGATTTTTTGGAACTAGAAAGTGATACATTCTTAGCATCTGAAGTTTATAAAGCCTTAGGGAAGTTGAATTTCCAAAAACCTGATTTAATCAAGAGTAAGCAATATTTTGAACAATCCATAAAAACTGGACCAATTGATAAAATCTCTGAGTGTCATTATTATTTAGGTCAATTGAATGCACATGATCCTGAAAGAGCAAGATTTCATTTTGAAGCTAGTGCAAGTCAAGGGTTTTTACAATCTTTCCAGTTGTTAGGATTTTTGGAATTGAATTATTTTGATAACAGTTTCAAGGCTAAAGAATGGTTTAAACTTGGTGCTGAACTTTCGGATATACATAGTATTATTGGACTATTTGATTGTTTTATAAAAGAGGATTATTTGAAAGCTGCAAAGAAAACATATAGCACATTGGAGGTATTATTGACTAAGGACGGTGATGATGATAAATTAAAAGTTTGGCATCATTTCAACTCGAATAGAAAAAACGGTGTTGAAAAGGTGAAAGATCTTGCAACATCAGTTGAGTCAACTTTCAAGGGGGCACAAGAAAGCATAGAATTAAGTAATACGGCTCCAAGTCAAGAAAATAGATGGAATTTGTAATAATGCTAAGGTATTTACTCATGTATATAGATCTTCATTCCCATGGCCATTTACAATAAACAATGACATCACCTCTTCTTCTATCATCCCAATGAAAATAGGTATTAAAGAACCTAGCACATTCTTGATAAGGTGAATCTTTCAAATATTGTGAAATAAAAGGTTCCAAGTCTTGAAAAACGACGAGATGAGTTGGCCATTCGTATTTATATTCACGGCCAGGCGACCTCAAATCCTTGTTGAAAACTGGTGGAAAGTTTTGGTATAAAAATGCTTTAGGATCCTCATAAAAAATATCAGATTCATCCATATAGGATTCAACTTCTTTGCTTGAGTTTGTTGAGTTCAAAAGATGTAATGGAGGTTCACATGTTAGAAACCATGTCGAGTTTTGCAGCTCAGGTCTGTGTAAATACGATTGCCAAGGTGTAGAATGGCATGGTGTCAAAAACCCTATTGATTCAACATCTGGATCGTATTTGAGAAATTCAATAACGTCAATAACACCTCTTTCGTGCACTTGGGTGAAAAATAATGATATTAACGTGTTCAAGATGATAATGATATATGCTGAGTATTTGACAATTTTAGAATGATGTAAATTCAAATGATAAAACCCTGAACTTGTAATCAAAAACATTATTGGTTGAACTGGGTAAATAAATCTAAACTCTTTATGATCAATGCAAGAAAATGCTCCAATAACAAAGGCTAACAATAGCTTTAGTTGCCAATTTGGATATTTAAAACAGCCATAAATGAAGATTGGTAAAAATGTCAACAAAATTATTGGAACACTTTGAAATATATGAAAATGCCATGGTGCAACGCCATAAAACTTGGACAACGAGGTGGTGACATTAAACTTGATGAAATTCCAAATTGGCACTGTGAGCTCACCATAATAAAAATAGTCAATTATGATGTTTATTCCAATGACGATGGATCCAATAATCACAGCATGGAGAAATAATCTAGTGCTTTGTTGTAAACTTTTGTTGAAGGCAAACCAAATTGACAAGTAGACCCAAATCAAACCATTTGTAGGCCTTATAGCACAACTGATTGCTGAGAAAAGTAAACTAATATTGATTGATCTCCAATCAACAACCTTTTCCCAATTCCAAAATGCCAATGCAATCGAAGTCAATGTTAATTCGAGACTATTTGAAAAAGTTCTTGTTATGATATACCAATTGAAGGCACTTGTTATCGAAATCAAAAGTCCCCATCTTGCAATTGTTTCATTTTTTGTAACCTGGTAAATGAATCTATATGTAAAATATTCACCAATGGCTGCAACAACTGCTTGGAAAACCTTTGGTAGAATCGACACACCCAAATCACCTATTCCTATAAGTTCACCAATTTGAAACAAGATGGAAAATAATAGAGGATGGATAAAGCTTCTTAGTCCAGTTCTCCATTCCCATGTTAGATAACCATATCCGTAGACTAGTTGATGGGCAGGTTCTAGGGCTTGCCAATATTCGTCCGCTTGGAAAAAAGTTTTAATTGTGAGTGCATTGATAATTCTGATGATTATGAGGTAGGGTAGAATGATACCTTTGGGTAGATGAGATACTTCTTTAGTCTTTTCAGACTCTTCTTCCTTTGGTGGTTCCATTTTGTTGATGTTGTTGGTGAATTTGGTCCTGAACAGCTAGCTCATCGAGATTTTGAACTTGATGACTTCGCGAAATGGCACAATCAAAAAGTTGTAGGATTGAGAGAATGGCTACAAAAATATGTTTGAATTCACAATTAGCTTATATTATTGAAAAGCTCTATATTTAGTCTTCTTCCTCTTGAAACAATTTTTTCAGTGAGACTTGAAGGAGAATGTTATCCAAAAGCGAACCGGTTCTTAGACAGGAAAGGAGCCAACTGCAAGCAGCGAAACCTTACACCAAGAACCAGATTATAAAATGGATTGTTTCGCTCTCCTTTCGGCCATTTTTGCACTAAGCATCATATGGAGGCATTTATGAGAGCGCTGGTAATCCGAAAGTGAAGTTTTAAAATATGTGAGGAATCGATAAAAGAGTACAAGTTCAAGTTTTCCACGGTGAAAAAGTTTTTTATAGGAAAAAATTTAAGCTTGTGATTATGTAAGGATTACATAAATTTATTAGGGTATAAACTTGACAGAGCTTTACATTTTGTGTGCACAATGTATAGAGTTAGAAATATATGATGACCTTTTTATTCACGGTCTGTACATTCCCAGTCAGTTGGTTCATAAGCATCTGGGTGGTCAATTGCTTTGATCTCCTCTGGGCTCAATTCAAAGTTGTAGACATCTAAATTAGTAGGCAAACGGTCAACATTCTTTGTCTTTGGTAATGGAATATTACCATGTTGTAAACTCCAACGGATAAACACTTGACCTGGAGTAACACCATGTGCCTTTGCAATCTTAGCAATGGTTGGATCATTGATTTTACCACCATGTGCCAATGGTGAATATGCTTCAACAGCGATTCCTTTCGATCTAGAGTAATCAGCCAATTCTTGTCTCATTAGCCAAGGATGAATCTCTATTTGATTCACGGCTGGTTTAATTTTCAATCCATCCCAAGCAAGCAATTGATCAATATGATGTTTACCCCAGCTCGAAACACCGATAGATCTAACCTTATCACCAACAGTTTCCTGCATTGCCTTCCAAGCTTCTAATCTTCCTTTAGGACCTGGATTAGGATGGTGTAATAATAAAAGGTCAATGTATCCAATTGAGTGCTCCACTGCTCCAATTGCTCTTGCTATTTCTTGTTTTGTCTGAGCATATGAATTGAAAGTCCATAGCTTTGAAGTATAGAAAACGTCTTCTCTCTTGTTATTGGATGGGTCTTCTTTAATCCATTTGGCAATTGCTTCACCAACTTCTTTTTCATTCCCATACAATATTGCACTATCAAAATGTCTGTAACCAACTTTCAAGGCATTGTAAACCACATTGCTAGCTTCTGACCCTGATAACATCCATGTTCCTAATGCCACAGTTGGGATTTTGTAGCCAGATGATAATTTGATGAATCTTTCAACTTTATGAGACATGTTTAATTGAAATGTTAATTAGATGAAATGAAAAGAAGAAGACTAAAATTTGGATGGAAAATCTGTTTTATATTGTTTTGATTGCTTCACGGTTAAAAGTTTAATGTGCAATCACGTGAAGATAACATTAAACTCGGTTAGTCTTTATAAAAGTACACTACAAGTTAATTAACACAGTTGAAAATCAACAATACATAGCTTTGGGCACCAAATTGTCCTATAAACGCTATACAGTGACCCTTTTTGGTGTCGTTGGTGTGCTTATGGCTCTTCATTGTGGCGAACCAAAGTGCAAGATCTCATGTTCAGAAATTTTCTCGATCGGTGAAGCTTTGAGATCAGACATGCTAGTCCTCAACGACATTCTAGGACTATACCTCACTGGACTTGAGCCAAACGTATCATTTGTTGAAAATGATCTGGTGCTTCTCAATCCTGGCGATGACTCGTCAGTTCTTTGGAAATCTGAAACACTGTGTCGTTGTCTTGGTTGCCTTGTTGGAGTCTTTGGACTAGTTGGTAAAGTTTTGAACTGAGATGATGAACTCCTATTGAGATCTGGACTTCGAAAGCTTCCTAAGCTTGAGGTTCTTGATAATGGTTTTTCAAAATTGAACTCATTAGTCTTTGCAAAATATGAACTTGTTCTTGATTTGAGTGATGGTACAGTATAATCATTGAATTCTTCATCTGCTAAGAGTGTCTCCTCAACGCTATGACATTCTCTCTGTGTTGGAATTGAGTTAGGTCTAGAATTCAAGGAAGACCTTGATGAAACTTGACTAGACCGTCTTCTAAGATTGGATGGTGATAATTTTGACTTGAAATCACCGGTGTCAATAAAGCTGTTATGTTTAGAAGACGCTGAGCTTTTCCTTTTCAAAATTTTGGAACTTGAACTTCTTGTCAACGCTTGACTGTCTTCCATATGATGTTGTTGTGGTCTTGTTGGTGTTCCTATCTCTGTCTCTTTCTTCTCTTCTGGTGGAGCTGGTGGTGTTCTATTTGCAGATGCAAACTCTATTCCAGATGGTGTACCAATGTTCAAGGTGGGAGGGCGTGTCTTTGGTCTTGGTGGTGCTATTCTAGGTATTCTTGGTAAATTCTCAGCTCTTTCAAACTGTGGACTATTTTTTGGAATAGCAAATGGGCTTTTCAAAGCTGGTTGTTCATTAAAAGGGTCATGATTCTCTTTATTTTGCCCAACATTAACAGAACCATGCTGAACATCTTCATTTCTCAACTGCTCAAACTTTTTTTGCTGATGATAAGCAATCATATCCTCTACACTGATACCAAAGTTGATTGAATTTCTTTGAACTTCATTGTAAACCCATTTTGATTGTTTTCGAACATGTTCTTTCTTGGGTGGTTGTGTTACTCCAGTTGATTTTTCAAAATTCTTTGCTGCAAAATCAGAAAAGTCAATAGAATTTCTTAGCCTTGGAGATTGTGGAAGTGATTTTGTCAAGTATCGTAACTTGTTTATATCAACAACAGGTCCTGGTTCCATACTGGTTTGCTTTATGAGGTCTGCTCAAAAGTTATTGAGTATTTGAGAAGAGAATATCAATCACTCAATAATTTTCAAGTATCACGGTTTTTTTTATTCTCAAGAATCATCAATAAGTTGAATGGGTTAAAGTTTTGACAATTTCACTGATTTCATCTGCACCAATATACCTTACCGAAAAGGCTTACAAAGTTTCAGGAACATTCAGAACAAATACGGCAAAGTACAAGGGGAAGACCAAATGATATCTTACCACTGATAAAAGTATGAGTACCTCCTTAAACTTTGGCAGATAATTAAGGCTCTGGTAACTGTTCCAATGTGTGGTTCAAATTTTTGGAATCAAGCAATTTTTCCTATTTAGGCAATTTGTTCTTGATGCAGGTTCCATGCTTTAGACTTAGTGAATTCTAGCATCAACATCACCTCAAAACACAGCGAAGCTCACACTCCATTTTCTTCAATGCTAGATTATTCTTTGAGAGGCCTCTGCGTGCGCGTTTCTCATGAGAAATGTGATGCAAGTGGTGATCTAGAATTTGTCAGGGATGGTATAAAACATGCCTCGAATACATGAAGGCAGACATAATTCAATACACGGTATGAAATTGTGGGATAACTTGTTACTATGTAGTGCATTGACCTCCAATAAAAAACTTTGAACAAACACTCAAGATACCACTTTAATCACTTGAAAAATCATTCAAATCGTCCATTCCGGATATAATCGCCTTATGATCCCAAAGATAGTGGCCGAATCATGCCGAATTTTCGCGAATGGCAAATGATTGTTTGTACTTTTGCTTTCCAAAAGTATTGGTACAAGAGATACAAAGAGCTCTTGAAAGATTTTAGCTTATAAGGTCAATTGAACTAAAACATATACTGAAAACTGAAAATGTCACAATCAGTCATTCCATTAGAATCTAACCCAGAAATTTTCACTCAATTTGCCCATAAATTGGGTCTTTCCCAATCGTTTGTGTTTCATGATGTCTATTCATTAACCGATAAAGATTTACTTTCATTTATACCACGTCCAAGTCCAGCTATAATTCTATTATTTCCAATCACACCAGATTATGAAAAGGCTAGATTAGCTGAAGAGGAAAAATCAAAAGGTAGCACCGATGATGAAAATGTTGTTTGGTTCAAACAAACTGTTAAAAATGCTTGTGGTTTGTATGCTTTATTAAATTCAATTTCAAACTTAGATGAAGTTAGTTATGAGCCAAATTCTAGAATTGTTGAATTTAAAAAATCTTATAAGGACATTTCTAAATTAGAACAATTGGTGGAAAATTTGAAAAAAGATTATACAGATGCAGCCACATCAGGAGAAACTCAAGCTCCAGATGCTGAAGAAGATACATCATTACATTTCATTGCATTTATTAAGAAAGACGGTCATATTTATGAAATGGATGGAAGACGTAAAGGACCATTGGATTTGGGTGAAGCTCAAGAATCGAACAGTGAAGATGTCTTGGGTGAGTCAACAGTTGTTGAAAGATTTCAACGTTATATTGAATTATCAGATGATGAAAACAAATTGAATTTCTCATTAATGGCCTTAGCTCCATCTTTTGAATGAATATGCTTTTATTTTTTCAATTTGCTCGATGTGTAATGAATTTTAATTTCTTGAATTGATGAATTGTATTGTATTGTATTGTATTGGATAGTTTTTTTTCTTGCTACTCTTTGGATACTTACTAGCTCTGCAACTTCAAACTTGACCTTTAATATCAACTCTTTTACTTTGATTCAAGAACCCCAATATGGTACTTCTCGCATTAGCAGCGTTTAAATAAACAGCATTGTCACCTCTTAATTCAATAAATTTTTCAATTTGTTTCTCTTTAATGAAATTCATACAATCAACTTCATTTTCAAAATGAAAGTTCTTCAGTAAAAATTCAAGGCTTAAAATCTTATAAGCGGTGCAAATGACAGCTAAAGCTCTAACTCTTTCATTATCAATAAAACAATTCAATAAATTTCTCGTAGTACCAACTGTTTTTGAATATAATCTGAATAATTCATGATAATTATTTGAGATATGAGCTTTTGAGATTTTCAAAGCTTGAATAATTAATGGGCTTTCCTTATCTTTTGCAGTCAATTTTAATTTAATTAAACTGATTGAATCATAATTTCTTGTTAAAAGGTAATAAAGGATTCTATAACTTAAGAAATCAACTTTATTTGCACTTGAATTTATATGGGGCATTTGATAAAGACTCTTCAAAACAGTTTGACATTGATTAAATTCACCCAAATCTTTATTTTCAATAGCTATTCTTCCATGAGTTTCATAAACTTTGACACTAAATTCATTTTCAATCAATTGGACTCTCAAGTCTTGTCTTATAGATTTAAATTGGTCACAAAGATAGGCATATTTAGCATCGCCACTCTTGTATTTGTCCATTAAAGCTGTGAATGCTCTTTGCAATACCGGTAAAGGTCTAACTTTTGAAGGATCAGGAGCAGAAGTTAACCTTAGATACGATTTTTCCAATGTTTGACAAGTACCTCTTACTGGCTGGTTTTTATCAGCCTCGAAAACCTCATCATTAACTGAGAATCCAGATGGAGTGGAAACACTTAATTCTCTTTCGAATCTTGAAGCTCTTGCCTTTTTTCTTGAATCTGAGAATAATTCATCGTCATCTTCATTACTGTCATCATCACTATCATTGAATTGACGACGTTTTAAAACACCTACTCTGTGTTTCAGGCTTTGATCTTTGATATTAAATCTCAAAGGTTGGTTTTGTATTTTTGGTTTTGGTAGATTACAATTCAATTCAAATGAAGCGACATTGTTGAAAATAGGCAACTCTTGTTTATCCCAATCATTTTCCCACAATTTCCCAATATTGTTAGCTTTTTCAATCATTGTCTTCAATTGTAATTGCATTTCAGCGGTTTTCTTGGAATCAAATTTCAAATCAGAAGCTCTTTCATGGCAAACTTCTACAAATCTGGTTAAACTTTGAGGAAGGGCATCTGTGGCTGGAGGGGTCTGTTGTTGCATGGCTGGTGTATCTCTATGCTTTGAGGCACCTAATGCTGTTGGCGTTACAGAATTATAGGTACTCATATTGTTATGGAATTGTTGTTGTAGATGATCCCCCTATGTTTGGCAATAAAAAATGTATGAGGCAAATGGGCGACAATATTTAAAGGATTCAAAGTCTTTCTTTTAGCGTGTTGGAGATGTGAGGAAGAATGGACAAAGTGAAATGTAAAAAAGGCTAGTTAAGTTATGTTAGTAAAAGCTGGTTGTTGTTCCGTTTGTACTTGATCAGCTAGTTGTTTACTTCTTCTGTTCATGTTTTTTTTTCTGGTTTTTTTTTTTATCCTCCAACGAAACTTTTGAGGAACTGCCAAAGGGTACCGGGTCAGTTATTATATAAGATATTACGTAAAATTAAAGGCGAAATGTATGAATAAATAGAATTAGCTATTATAAATATGGGAAAACCCTTGATCTGTATATGAAAACCCTTTGAAAAGGTCATCATTATCTCTATTGTTGTTACTGTTTTGAATTGAAAGTCCGTTCAATGGGGACCCAACTGGTGTAATATTCATTTCTGTGAATTCACTATCAAAATTCTCAGCCAGTATTGGATCAGTAATTATTGGAACAATTGGTGGTTCAAAACCTCTATTCTCTATCTCTTTCCAATTGATCTTTCTGAAGAATCTATGTGATTTGACGGCTTGGAAATTTGTTAATCTTTTTTCTGGATTTTTCTTTAATAAACGTAATAGTAAATCTTTGGCATCTTGTGATAAATAAAATGGAACTTTAAACTTATTGGCTAATATTTTATCCATGATTCTTTTGTTGTTGTTACCAGTGAATGGTGGTGAGCCTGTCAACATATCAAACATAACACAACCAAGAGACCAAAAATCCACCGCATAATCATAAGGAATATCTTGAAGAATCTCTGGAGCCATATATTCTGGAGTTCCTATCAACGAGGTACATAGTTCATCATCATTCAGACCAACTTTACTCAATCCAAAGTCAGTCAACACTAAATATCCATTTGAATCTAGTAGACAATTCTCTGGTTTCAAATCTCTATAGACAATACCGATGTTGTGTAAATGTTCTAAACCTAAAACCATTTGCGCCAGATAAACAGCAGCATTAGTTTCACTTAAAAATTTCTCTTGTTGTAAATGTTGAAATAATTCACCTCCATCAAGATATTCTAAAATCAAATATAATTTATCATAATCTTGGAACGCATAATATAATTTAACGATGGAATTGTGACTAACACTTTCTAAAATGGACTTTTCATTTATTGTTCTTTCCACTGTCTTGTTTTGTAAGATGATTGAAGCTTTTTTCAATTGCTTTTGAGCAAATAATTTACCTGTTTTTCTTTCACGCACTAATAGCACTTTACCATATGAGCCAACACCAAGGACTTTAATATATTCAAAATCTGAAGGTTTAGGTTTCCCTGTGGTGATATTAATGACCTTAACAGGCGATGCAGCATCATCTGTTGGTAGGAATTCATTTTCGGAAACATATGAGCTAACGAATGAATGATCTATACCAATCTCCACAGATGTACCCAGTCTATTCATTGGAGCATTTCTATTTGAAGCAGTTGAACTTTTACGTCTTCTATGGTTTGGAATATCCAATGGCTCACTAATCAGAAATCTATTTTGGAAATCTTGGTGAAGTGCTTCGTCATTATATTCTTCTTCATCTAAAGTGAAAACACTCATTGTTGCACGTTTCTCTTTGGTCTTGAAGACTTTTCTTACACCAGTCTGATGTAGTGGATTCTAAGCTACTTTGCGTAAAGTGAAAAAGACAGGTATGGCCTAGTGGAGTGAATGGGATGCTTCTCTTTATTCAGATCTGTGGCGGTTCTTCATTTGAAACGTTCAGTTCGATCTATTTCACTTGTTGAAGCGATTAAGGCCTGGCATTTTTTCGTGTCTATTGTTTTTGGAGCTGTTGGTCGCGAAAAGTACCCGGCTAGGAGAAAATGTGATTATATAATCATTGGTGGTAGAGCATTAGGTATTAAATATATTCAATAATTCTAATATAATATTAATATTAGCTACTAGTACAATATTCATCATCTGCAATATTATCTCAATTAAACTTATAGTCATGTAAGTCAATAAAATCCTGGTTAAGCAACTTTTGGTCAATTCCCCGAGCAGGGTCAAAGAGTGAACAACGGTTAAAGTCAAAGATCCAAATTGACGAAGTTTGTTCATCAAAACATATATTACACCTCATGATATCTCCATGAACAATCCCTATGGAATGAAGTTTTTCAATTTCATCACATGCACTGAAGAGAAGTTCATCATAATCATGTGGTTTCCTCTCCACAAATGGAATCTCAGAAATTGCCATATAATAGATAAATTTACCACTAGAACGTTGTTTTATTTTACCATGACCAATCAAATAAGGGGCATTGATTTTGTGTTTTGGGTGTAAACGAGTTTCATTATAATTTTGAATTCTTTGATATGCCTGAATTTCATTAAGGTACCTGTTAAATATACTTTGTTCATAAGCTTTAAAATCAGAATTGTATCTTTCTTCATCAAAAAGAGGAGAGCCACCACTCTCATTAGTTAGAGTATAATACTTGCTCATACCCTCTTCCTTGAAATATTTCTCTATTTTTTCTTCATCATACAATTTTAATATGACATTCCCATCTTTCAGTTCATCCTGAATTGGGATGCCCTGAACCGGATTCTTTGGTTTAAAGTTCAAATAATAATTTTCCGCACTCATTTTGTAGACTTCTATTGGAGTATCGATACTATATTCTTGAATACTTTCTCCAAGGTTATCGATTTTTTCCATAATTTCAGCTTCAGGAATGCTTTCCAAGGTATGAGGTTTGTTTGTAAACTGATTCCTTCTAGCAGCAGTACTTGTTAATGAGTATTGATCTCTTGACGAACTTATAGTATCTGATGATCCTGATGATGTTTGTAAGAGTAGAGGGGAGGTTGACGTATCAAACTCACAACGGCTACTTATGGTTAAAATATCTTCATCATTTCTTTCTAGTTCAGCATTTGAACCATTGATCAAGCCAGAGCAACCATCATATAAAATGCACATAACAATTTTGGATGCTGTTACTCGTTCTTCAGGACTTGCATTTTGGGAATAGATCTTCCACATTTCTATGGTTTTAGATTTTTCATCAACAAAGTCACTAGAATTAACATTAGTGGAGCTTTCATCAACCTGGACACTATTCATATTTTCATTCACAATATCTATTTGATTGAAATGGGTAAAACGCATTGATACACCATCTGTAAGTAAACCTTTCCTTACAGTGGGTGATATCATCAAATATGACAGGAGTTGACAGTAAAAATCTCTGTATTTCTCATCAAATCCTCTTTCTTTGGAATTAAATAATGGTGACAGAAATGGCTTCTTTGCTCCAAGCACCAAATGAATCTTTGCTTTGCCAATGGGACCACTCCAAACTCCCAAATCGGATCGAATTTGCTCTCCAAATTTCGGACTCTCAAGCTCCACAGCATCCTTCAATGGTTTATTAACTCTAGCTTTTAGTCTCATGTTGTAGACAATATTAAATAATCCAGTAACTGGATTAATAAGACATGAATGAAGTGCTTGGGTAATAGAATCCTCGCGATTGTCATATTCTGTTGGTATACCTGCACAAACCCACATGCAATTTAAAACTCGCCAAACTTCCGTATGGTCAGCTGAACAGGCATTTTGAATATTTCTCATGAGATCCTGGTCAATAGTTTCCAATCTTTCATGTAGCCATGAATCAAACTCGTTTTCCTTTGTGTCTTCAGCGCTTAATTTGATGTTGGAAGATTTGATTTGGTGGGCTAGTGAATTGTTCGATCCTGTTGATGGAGATGTGTTTGAATTCCTTAAATCCTCCTGAGCATTTGAAGGTGATTCAGGGTTATATCCATCAATTTCCAACCCCATGAAGGGCATTATAAGCAGTATTTTAGCGAGAGCCGCAGTATCTTGATATGAATGAGCCTCATAGTTGTATCTCATTCCAAGAGTCTGTATAGTTTTCACCAACAACAATCTATCAACTTTTGTAACATCAGTTGGTCTAAGATATTTATCTTCCTTTGGGACATCTTTGTAAAAGTTGTGGTAGTTGATCAGATGGTGTTATTCTTTAGTTCCTCTAATACATTATGTAATATCAGCTGGAAGTTGTCGTTGACGTACGAATCCTTTAGCTTCTCAATGCTCTGCATTTTGAAATGATATTGGTGATGATATAAAAGATGGTGATGATGAAGATGGCGTATAATGTATCGGTTAATGGTTTTGATGTGTAAGAGATCATTTTTTGTTTTTCGCGAGTGCAATACTCTCCGCGAACTCGTTTTTTTTCTTGATTTTCAAAAAAAAAAAAGGATGCACAATTTTAATTTAGAAGCAACGGTTCTTGTCGCGCACACATGGGTGTACATTTCATAAGGTTGTAAGTTTAGATGAAGTAATAGAAATGATTTTGAAGTTTGGCATCAAGTTTCAGTGTCTTTGAAGGCCCTTTCAATATATGGTTGTTTGAATATGCTTCAACTCCTGACAGCCATGTTGTGTACTCCTGGTTTTTGCAAATTATGTCTTGGTCTAGTTCATGACGAGCCCAAGATATGAATTATGGGCGCTAATGACTTGGAAGTCCAAATGAGACGTTGGCACAATTAAGACTTTTCACTAAAAATAAGCTTAAAAGCTAACACCTCTTTAAGTTTATCTCCTTTTGGTACCTGAAAATGAACGTTTAAACTGATGAAAACTGGTACGGCTGATCAACAATCATCAAGGGTCCTGAAAAACCTTGATATCTTCTCCAAACTAGTTTGTACGTTAGCAGTTTTTACAAATTGTTTGCTAATAAGTCATTGTGACTATATGACCTAGGGGCACATGTCAAAGACTGATTTCAAGTTTCAAGCTGTTTCAACTTAGGAAAAACCATCATGATGATTAACAGAATCATTCGTTTAATTTAAGTGATCGCCAAAAACTCCAAAGTACAAATAGGATTTCTTGGGGGATTTACAGAACAACCTATGATCGCATGTCCGTGATTTGTCTTTGGCGTTTGACGTTTGAAATTTGAAGTCTAGGACCTTGATTTGCAAGGAACTGTTACAGATCACAGATCTATTTTTGATCTTTTAAGGTGTTACACAGGCTATCGGAAAATGAGCTGATGATTTCTATCATTTTCTTAAGAGCAGGCAGTTTGGTTATTCAATTAAGGTCACTTTATATCGTTTGGTGATATATTAACGTCAACTTCGTTTTTACCAAGCTCAATCTTATCGAAATGATGTTTTTGGAAAATACCAAGATATGTCAACTAGTTGGAGGAATTTTCAGCTCAGATAAATTTGATTCCTTCCAGATTTAAGAAGCAACACCCATTTTTTTTTAACAGACATCAGTTTAGTCCAATCAATAGCTACGTGAGCAAAATTACGATCTATTGTGCCTTGTTTAGGTAAACTAATAGGATAGATCTAACGTTGATCGTTGTTGCATAACATGATTTTTCTGACTGATGGAGCCAATGATGATTTTGACATTAATGCAACTCAAAGTGTTGGTGGAATCATAGAAGAGATTGAAAAAACTGATAACTGGTCAACTAAGCCTCAAGGATTCAATCAAGCTTTTCCTATATCTATATATAATAATGTTTGGTCCAAATTGAAAAAATCAATTATTTCTTGAAGAAAAACACTATTTGTTGGTCAAAACACACACACTGATGAAATTTCAATCATACTTTATCTTATTGATCTTGAGTCTGTCACAACTTGTTGTATCTTCCAAACATCCAGCAAAATCTCACAATAGAAACCATAAATGGTATTATATCTATCGTGCCTGCATGGAGGGTACTAATGATTATAAATGGGAATCATCAATCAAGGCCAAACTAACAAAACAATGTCAATACCAGCCAATTTTAGGTTCAATTTTGATATGTATTGCTAATGAAATGGGTGATTCTACTAAAAACTTTCAAAAATCACTAAATGCTTTAGGAGAACGTTGTAACCCAAGAGCTAAAACAAACTATTCGGTTGATGACTTGAATAAAATTTATCACAATGCTACGCAATATGTTATTGATCCTAAAACTATACAAGGAAATGTCACAAAAATCAAATTTTCTCAACCTGTTAACATAGTGAAAGCAGACATTGAGGATGCCTTGCGGTTTTATAAGGCCAATTTCGCAAATACAGGAAATGCTTCACTCTATTCTGGTATAATGTGGGCTTATTTTGTCGGAATTTTCATCTTGATGGGGGTTGCAAATTTTATAAAGAGACTAGGCTATCAACATAATTTCAACCATAAGGTTATAAAATGGTATAGATCCAATATTTCAATTCCTGCATTGTTTAATGCAAAACACACGGATCCTTTCCAATTTTGCAAAATATTTGCTGGTCTCGTACCAACTAGAGTTGAAACTTTAATAGTGATTGGATTCTTAGGATTAAATGCCTTGTTCCTTGGTGGATTCCATGATTTTGGTTCCCATCTCCAGTCCAGAAAGATCCAGGTTATGAGGATGGTTGCTGATAGAGCAGGTGTTTTAGCATTTGGAATAATCCCATTGATTGTTTTATTTGCGGGAAGAAATAATATATTAACTTCATTGACTGGGTTGCCTTTCCAATCGTTTATTGTTTTCCATAAATATGTTGCCAGGATGATGTGGATACATGCCTTGATCCATAGTGCTTGTTACACTGCATATGCTGTTCATACAAATTCGGTTTCTGCTTATTTCCACAAAAGATACTTTGTTTGGGGTGTGGGTGCTACAATATTTGGTGGGTTTATATTACTTCAAGCATTCCATGTTTTCAGATCAAGAGCTTATGAAACCTTTTTAATCATTCATATTATATTGGCCATCTTGTTTATTGTTGCTTGCTTTTGGCATTGTTATGATATAGGTTATCTTGAATGGATATATGCATCTTGGGCACTATGGATATTTGATAGATTGTTGAGAGTTGTTAGAATGGTGAATTTTGGTTTCAGGAATGCAGATGTTGAATTGATTGCGGATGATACTTTCAAAGTTAGTGTTATTCATAACACAAGGTTCAAACCGTTTCCTGGTGCATTTGCTTATGTTTATTTCTTAACACCAAGTACCTTTTGGCAATCACATCCATTTACAATTATTGATTCGGCCTTGAAAGAAAATGAACTTACAATTTATATCAAGACCAAGAATGGTGTTACAAAAAGAATTAATAAATTATTAGAGAGATCTGATAACAAGAGAACTTTAAGAGTTTGCGTTGAAGGTCCTTATGGTCATCGTGCCCCAATGGAAAAATATGATACTACATTATTGCTTGCTGGTGGGAATGGTATTCCAGGTCCATATTATCATGCTATTGACCTTGCTAAACGTGATTCTGCAACTAAACAACAGATCAAGTTGACTTGGGTGGTTCGTAACCCAGAATCTATATGCTGGTTCTATAAAGAGTTGATGGGTTTAAAACAAACAACTGTTCAAACAGATGTCTACATCACAGGTAAGATACCCTCACATGTTGAATTGGCAAACTCATTAGAGAAAAGATCGAATTCTAGTGAAACTAGTTCAAGTCAGGATTTAAAAGATGAAAAAAATGAAAGCTTCAAAACTTATGAGGTGGAGTCAGATAAGACAGATTCTAGTGCTATTATTTCGAAACTGTCAACACATATAAATTTCCATTATGGCAGACCAAACCTTGAAAAGGTTATGGAATATGAATTTATAGGTCAGGGGAAACAAGATGTTGGGGTTATGACATGTGGACCACCAAAGATGGTTGATAATGTAAGAAGATTGGTTGCTGATTACATACCAAAATCTGAGGGTCGTGTTGATTTGTTTGAAGAACTACAAACTTGGTGATCATGTTTATTGAATAGATATATATTTCATTGACAGGGCCTCGTAGTCGTTTGTTACCTCTTTCTTGTTGCTACACAAGCTCAAGAACTTTTCTTTCTCCAACTTAGAAGTTGCAACAGTGGTCTGTTTTCAAATTCTCATATGCAGCTTCAATTAATATCAGCTGCTGTACATGAAGGAAAAAACACCCAATCACAAGACCGTTTGAAAGATTTTTTTCAAAATGATCGACAGCTCAAATGGCAGCACATATGAGTTTTGCTCCGTTGTTGAAAAAAAGTGAAGGACGTTGTAGAGGTTTGGAACTCATTGCTCAAATATTCAGTACCTGATAATGGCTCAAAGAGATGTTATTAACATCGCCAAGCAAACAGCCCATTTCCTTCACAATTTTTAGCTCCAAAAAAGCGTTGAACTTGACTTTTGTCTTGTTGATCAATTGTATGTCCGATGATTTACAGTTTCAGCAGGGGCCTTTTCGAAAATTTTTAAGCTTAAATTTGGGGACTGATCTGATCGATCTGATAACAAACGGGAGACTAAATAAGGGTCTAGGTCTAAACGGCACAATGCCAACTAGACCCTGGAAAATTGCCTCGATGAGCCTGTGAAAAGTGGTCAATTACATTCACAAGTGCAGGTTCAAAGAGCCAAGCTAAGTAGTAGTACATTTTGACAAGTTGTAGCAAGAAATAACTGGGCTCTCGTCACTATCAAAAGAATAAAGCTTTGGAAAGTATTAAAAACACTGGCTTTCGCACTTCTACTACGTTTTAAATCCTTCTGGTTTAGATTTTGCAAAAATCTACACCTTCGTGTAAAGCAGTCTTCAAAACATCCTGGAGGGCTCAAATGCTGGCTGGATTCCTGCACCATAAATTATCTAGAAGATCTTTAGACCAATCAGAGTGAAAAACTATTCGCGAAGTGGGTAAAACATGAAAAAAATCAGCACTTCAACCTTCATAACGGGCATTTAATTAATTAAGCAGCTTTCAAAGAAAAAAACGGTCATCAGCTTACAGTTGATTTCTTTTTGCGTTTGAATCTGACTCCTTGATCACTAAATAGTTATCCTAACCATCCAATCATGACTGGGGAATATCAAGAAAAATGCAATGCTTTTGAAGTCATCAAACCAAAAATGAAGCTGAAAAGGTATTGATCAAACAAGCTAGACGGTATTGAAAGATGAAAGCTGGCATAAAGCAATCTATGAGGTAACTGGTATGAGCTGGTCCTTCTGAAGAGATGTGTATGCTTGAACCTCAAATTTCTATATGATTTTTTCTATATGTTGTCGGTTATACGTACACTTCAGCAAAAGTACGAAGTACATTGAATCGATCAGCATTGTCTACAGGAAATAGTAAAAGAGCCGGATGCTTGTTCGTTTTCAAAATAAAATACATAACGTATAAATTTAATGAAGTTCCCCATGGGTTGATTTTCAAGCCAAGACCCAGATAAGATCAAGCATTGTACCACTCATCATGAACTTGAAACCCAATTTTTTATTCTTGCTTTTAACACTACTTCAATATGTTGCAGCGGCCCCAAGAAAAACAGAAGCTTTAGGTTATAGATGGAAATACATTGTGTTCACTTGTAAATCTGCAAGTTCTTACTATACCTTTGGTACAAATTTAACTGCTTATTATACATCTTTATGTGGTTATGAACCTATTACTGGTACTGTTGTTAACTGTATGGCCAATGAGTTAGGCCCTGACAGTAACTTGTTCCAAAAATCATTGAAAAGACTGGCAAACACATGTACACTTTATGGTGGACATAACTATACAGCTGATCAACTTGAATCATTATATAAAAATGCTACTGAGAATTTGATTGATTTGAATACCGTCACAACAAATTTGACAACAACAGTCTTTTACCAACCTGTCAACGTTACACATGAAATGATTCAAAGTTCTTTAACATATTACGAGTATCTATACTTCAATTTTGATCAAGGTTCAATGTTGGCTGGTATTATGTATTTGTTCTTTGTGTTGGTGTTCATCATTATAGGATCTGTTAATTTTATCAAAAGATTAGGTTTCCATAGACATTTCAATAACAAGTTCATCAATTGGTATCGTGCTAAAATTTCCATACCAGCATTGTTTAATGGCAAACATACTGAAGCACCAACTGCTCTTAAAGTGTTTTCCACATTGATTCCAACAAGAGTTGAGTCCATTGTTATATTCTTTTTCTTGTGCTTGAACATCTTGTTATCCACTGCTCACTATAGTTTCAAATCAACAGAAGAAGTGAGAAATGTTCAACTTATGGAATTTGTTGCTGATAGAACAGGGTTATTATCATTTGGTTTGATTCCACTATTGATTATCTTTGCTGGTAGAAATAATATTCTTACTACATTGACTGGTATTCCATACTCAACTTTTATTGTTTTCCATAAATGGGTTGCAAGATTCATGTGGATCCATGCTTTGATTCATTCCGCTTGTTGGACAGCATATGCAGTTTATTATAAGGCGATGGCTGAAGATTCAGCTGAAACATATTGGACTTGGGGTATTGTTGCTACTATCCTTGGTGGATTGATCTTGGTCCAAGCCTTCCACATCTTCAGAAATATGGCTTATGAAACCTTCTTGTTCATACATATTGTTTTAGCTATTCTGTTTATTGTTGGTTGTTGGTGGCATTGTTATACTCTAGGCTGGCTAGAATGGATTTATGTTTCATGGGCAGTTTGGATATTTGATAGAGTGTTGAGAGTTGTTAAAATGTGTATGTTTGGATTTAGAAATGCTCAGATTGAATTGATTGCTGATGATACTTTCAAAATCACTGTTAAACATGGTAAATGGTTTGCTCCATATCCAGGCTCATTTGGTTATGTTTATTTCATTACACCAACAATGTTTTGGCAATCCCATCCATTCACTTTGATTGATTCAGTGCTAAACAAGGATGAAACAACTATTTATGTGAAAACCAAGGCTGGTATCACCAAGAGACTAAACAAACAATTAGCCAAAATCCCTGGAAACAAAAAAACCATTAGAATATCCATTGAAGGTCCATATGGTCATAGAGCTCCAATTGAAAAATATGATACTGCATTATTGTTGGCTGGTGGTAATGGAATCCCCGGCCCATACTACCATGCTATTGACTTGTCTAAACGTGAATCTTCAACAAAGCAACAGATAAAGCTTACCTGGATTATTCGTAATCCAGATGCGTTACAATGGTTTCATAAAGAGTTGGAACTTTTAGCTCACACCAACGTTCAAACAGATATTTACATTACTGCTCAAGACCAAAATAAAGAGAAATTAGAAGTTAATGTGGAGGAGAAAAAAGATACATCGAGTGATGAAGAAGGTAAAGCTTCAAATTCAGATACAACATCCGATAAAGCACCAAGCACAAGTGAAGTTATTTCATCATTATCTAATCATATAAATTTCCATTATGGAAGACCAAACTTGGAGGAGATTATAGTGAAAGAATTCACAGATGAAAAAGGTCCATCAGTTGCTGTGATGAGTTGTGGACCTCCAAAGATGGTTGATGCTATTAGAAACCTTGTCGCAAAACATTTACAAGAGTCTAAAGGTCGTGTTGATCTGTATGAAGAGTTGCAAGTTTGGTAATGATGCTGACTCTGAATCTTTCTCTGTACCCTTCGTGTCTTTGTTGATGCTCAAAATGATTTCGTGTATATATACCTAATTTAACCTCAAAAATTCCTTCTTATTGAGTACTGTGTAGCTTAGGTATGTCTTATAGACACGTAATCTGTCAAGTAACCTACAGAGTTGAACTAGATGTTGAAGCTGGCGATTCTCCAGCTTGTAGTCACATTAAATGCTCTCCAGAATTCCCGAGATACAAATATAGATCATTTGAATTATCCCAGTGCAAATACCAGTACAGTTGTAAAGAAATTTATCAACACTTGAACGTTCCTGAATGTATGCCGAGTCTCGTAAGTCTCGTCTCCAATTGTTCAAAATCTCCTTGAAGTCAAAGCCGAGTACAGACGTTAATTAAAGTTTGAGCCACTCACAGCTTGAGTATTAGACAGCTTTCATGACTATAGCCAGTCAGGATCCCAGCTTATAGAATTGTCTTCTAACGGTTATATGCTAATTAATTAAAAACAGCGATCAAACACCCTCAATTTTGAGAAGGGGACTAATTTTAAGGTTATTATGACTTCGCGAAAATTTTAATTGATCAAATATCGCGAAAGAAAAAGAAAGTGGCATAACTTCTTCAAAGAGTTAAGCACAATGTTTATGCTATTAACTGGTGATTGTTATTGCTCTTAAGTGAATGGTTCAAGTAAAGCTAATGCCAAATCATCACATGCCTCCTGTTAAGCTCCACAAGTCCAGGACCTCATCTTGCAAATAATTTAGCATGGGCAAAAAAAAAAAGAGGTGTGCTTTTCATTTAATTCATCATGTACAAAAAAACAGCAGCCTAGGTTTACGTGAATGCAGGTCATTGAGTAGAGCAGCCAAGTCCAAAAGACAATAACAATTCTTCGAGGGAAGCAGTCATTTGAGGCATCCCCGTTCATGAGTGGGTTTTGGGTTATTCGTGATAGGTCCCTGAAGTGTCTGTCAAAGACAACCGTTGTGATATTTTTTGACTTTAACCCAAGAGAATAAGGATACAGCTTCAATGGTTGAGCTTTATTGTTCCAATAGCTTGTGTTCAATAAGAAGAGTTAACAGCGACGCTAAGCTTTTCCAAGCATCGGTTGGGTTTGAGTTGACTTGACCTGAAGCGGGTATTTAAAGAAAATTATTATCTAAAAGATCTTCAAAGAGAGGGTCCGAAATGAATAACTCAAGCTGTTGCAACATCATTGGTCCATGGATAGAAACGTCTAGACATTTCAAATCCTTTCCATTGCATGATCTTTAGTTGAAGAATTATTTTAGTTTTTGTCAGGTAGCATATTATTTCAACCTCCATTATCCCAAAAGAAAGGGTCCAATCATCAGCTGTTGAAATTGGAAATAGCGCCATTACTTGCAGGTCCACGTCTGTACTTTGAGATTTGCATATGTGGATGCTTGAGTCATGATTATCACTGTGATCTAGCCTATAGGAACCAAGGCTCAAGGGCTTGATCTCGTAATTTGTCCAATAATGGGTAAAATTATTATGATGGGCTGCTTAAGAGAAGCAGGACCGAAGAAGATGGAAAATACGAGTGATTCAGTTATGATGGGTGGTGAAAATTATATCGATACTACTTTTTCAAGGTTCATACTTGAGGTCTATATAATGGAAGAATTTTCCCCAGAATGATTTGGTTCTTATTCAGCATCAGATCCATCACCATTGAAACAGATGAATAAACTATTCAATTTTTTGGTTTACTTTTCTTTACTACTCCAATTTACCCTTGGTCATGGAGGACCAAGTAAAACTGAAGTTTATGGTTATGAATGGAAATATACTATTTATGCATGTAATGATGCTATTGAAGATTATAAATTTGGTGCAAATATAACAGGTTATTATCCATTAATGTGTGGATATGCTCCGTTAACAGGTACTGTCTTGAACTGTGTTGCTAATGAAGTTGGTCCAGAGAGTGCAACTTTTAATAAATCTTTGAAAAGGGTATCAACCATGTGTACGGATTATGCTAAAGTGAATATGAGTGTTGCTGAATTACGTTCACTATATGAAAATGCTACTCATTATTTATTAGATATAAGCACAGTGACTACAAATTTAACTACAACTAAATTTTATCAACCAATTAATGTTACCCATGAGATGGTTAAGAATTCAAAACAATATTATACCAATCTTTACTTCAATTTTGATAAGGCTTCAACGTTAGCTGGTATTATGTATTTTTATTTCATTTTCGTTTTCATTTTAGTTGGTGGTGCAAATTTCATCAAGAGATTAGGATATCATAAAAATTTCAACAATAGTTTTATCAATTGGTATCGTGCCAAAATCTCCATTCCAGCTTTATTCAATGGGAAACATACAGAAGCACCTGTTTACCTTAAAGTGTTTTCAACTCTATGGCCTACAAGGGTGGAATCAGTTGTTGTTTTCTTTTTCATTTGCTTAAATGTCTTATTAACAACTGTTAATTATCATTTTGCTAAAGGTGATACACCAAGTTATATCCAATTGATGATTTGTGTTGCTGATAGAACTGGGTTATTATCATTTGGGTTGATTCCATTATTGATTATCTTTGCAGGTAGAAATAATATCCTAACCTCGTTAACTGGTATACCGTATACATCATTTATTGTCTATCATAAATGGGTTGCAAGATTCATGTGGATCCATGCCTTAATCCATTCTGCATGTTGGACAGCGTATGCAGTTAATAAGAGTTATCTAACTTATTATTCCTCTGAGGCTTATTGGAGATGGGGGATTGTTGCTACAATCATTGGTGGGATAATGTTATTTCAAGCATTCCATGTATTTAGAAACATGGCTTATGAAACTTTTTTGGTTATTCATATTGTTTTGGCAATCTTATTTATTGTTGCATGTTGGTGGCATTGTTATGAATTGGGTTGGTTAGAATGGATTTATGTTTCTTGGGCAGTTTGGATCTTTGATAGATTGGTTAGAATCATTAGAATGTGCATGTTTGGATTCACAAATGCTCAAGTGGAGTTAATTGCAGATGATACTTTTAAAATTAGTGTTAAACATGGGAAATGGTTTGTTCCGTTCCCTGGTTCATTTGCTTATGTTTATTTTATCACTCCAACAATGTTTTGGCAATCACATCCATTCACAATTATTGATTCAGCTTTGGAAAGAGATGTGACCACCATTTATATCAAGACTAAAGCCGGTATCACCAAGAGAATTAATAAAGAACTTGCTAAACATCCAGGTAATAAGAAAACTATTAGAATTTCAATTGAAGGGCCATATGGTCATAGAGCACCAATGGAAAAATATGATACGGCGTTATTATTGGCTGGTGGTAATGGTATTCCAGGTCCATATTATCATGCTATTGATCTTGCTAAACGTGAATCTTCAACAAGACAACAAATCAAATTATTATGGGTGATTCGTAACCCTGAAGCTCTTAAATGGTTTTATGATGAGTTGAGAGTCTTGATGCATACAAATGTTCAAACAGATATTTACATCACAGCACCACAAACTAAACAAGATTTGGGGACCATTGAGAAGAAAGATTCAGAGTCTAGTGATGGTGCCGAGGTGAAGAAATCAGATGGTGTTTCGAGTGATGAAGATGTTAAATCAAAAAAATTGAGTGTTGATGAGATTATTGCATCGTTGTCGAATCATATTGGGTTCCATTATGGGAGACCAAACCTGGAGGAAATAATAGTGAATGAGTTTACAAAAGAGAACCAAGGAAACCACTCAGTTGGTGTGATGAGCTGTGGTCCACCAAAAATGGTTGATGGCATCCGAACACTTGTTGCAGAGCATCTTCAGGAGGCCAAGGGACGCGTTGACTTGTTTGAAGAGTTGCAAGTTTGGTGATTAATTGTTAATTGTGAATAGAAATAGAAAGTGTCACGTGCATGTGGTTATATTTTGTTGGCGGCTAATTGTAGTTTAAAAACAGGAAACTTTTCATCATCGACTTTTAATTTACTTTCACTTTTACCACTGCACTTATAATTTAATGATCTGTTTTTTTATCGATGTTTGCGCGAGCTTCGTTCACATTATTACTGACCAAGAAATTGTTGTACCCTATTGACGCAATGGATTATATGATGATCAGCTTAATGTTTGTACAAAAGCAATTAATGTTGAATGGCATAGATGCTGACATACTTGGTCATATTGAATGAATATGGTTTTGATGACAACAGCTAGCTCATTTGCGATTTAGTGCTGATTAGCTGGCTAATCGCATCATTTGATATTGATATTTGTATTAATTCATTGATTGGAATTAATTGATATAAATATCCTAGCTGATCAGATATATCTTTCTCTTTTGATGTGATCAACTAAGCTGGTATTGAATTGATTTATTTACTACTGGTACTATGATGATCCAAATCAAAAGAGTTTTTTGTATATCATTAATTTTAATTTATTGAACATGGTTATTGATATAATAACTTGTTCTATTGCATTTTGACGTTCTTTTATGATTATTCTAGTAGCTTTACGTCGTGATTCTACTGATCTATAAAAATTAATATTCGTGGGCGGCAAATAATATTGTAGTATATTAAAAAGCACGAAACAATTTTTTTTCAGCTAGTTAATGTCAATATCTTTACGTCAACAATTATAATATCATAATTTTATATATTAACTTGACGGTCCAAATGTGAATATATCTGTTATTATAAATATAATTTTGCAGCTGGCAAATTGACGGAATGCTTTGGCCCAGCTAGCTGAAATATCATTTATATTAGAAATTTAACAAATTCTTTGGTGCATTTGATCAAATGGTGACCATATAACTGATTATACAGGATGCACTAGTATAATTAATATCTGACAGATCAATATAATAATAAATATATTATTAGTGGTCAACATTAATATCATTTGATATTGATAATATTTGTTATTAATTATTGACTGGTCTGATGATAGTATCCTGACTGAGATATATTTTTCTCTTGTGATGTGTTCAATTAAGGTATTGAATCAATTGATCGATCCCTGGTTTGATCCAACTCAAAAGAGTTTTTTTGTATATTAAGTTTCATTTTAATTAAATCATTTGACGTTCGGGCCGGTTTCCTGATTTGAAGTATTAATTTTAATTTGTTCTGATAGTTCTTCGTACCTAGCTTTGCGTTCTGATCATATTTATCTTCAACTAGAAGAAACTGCTTCACATGATAAAAATGTGTTCTAGCAAACTACAATATGACTTAACATTGATTCATTGAATATGTTGATTATTACATTATTACATTTAGAACTTTCTAGTTAAAGAAAGCATTACGCTAGTTCAATTCCTTTTCCCATGATCACCTTCATCACCTGAAATGTCAACTGCACCAACTCCATCACCTGTTTTGGGCACGGGCACATTCAATTTCGCGGAAAGTTGATTCCGTTGGTTGTTTTTCTCGATAAAAACACACATCGGACCTATCTACGATATCGAGAAAACACGGTTGAAAACAATCATGTCTTTTGACAACATACGTTGATAAACCAAAAAGACCTCCTGATGAATGGAATATGACAACTGAATTAGCTCATGATGGCACTGCAAATGGTGCAAAGAGGAAATACTCCAGAAATGGTTGTACAGAGTGTAAAAAAAGACGTATGAAGGTGAGTTGAAAAATTATAGCATAATGATGAAAAATTGATTCTAACATTTCCAAGTGCGATGAAAGGAAACCAATTTGTTGGCAATGTGAAAGACTCGGAAGAGATTGTAAATATCTAGAGAACACTAAAAATAGGAAAAGAAGAACAAAAGCTGAAATGGAAAGAGATCGTTTAAAAGCTATGGAGGTTAATCATGTAACTAGTAATAATGATTATTCAAGATCTGATAGAATGTTATCTGTTGATAGTTTAGTTCATACTGGAAATAACTCGAGTGTTGTTGATTCTCCCTTATCTGAAATGGCATTAAACACAGAGTTCAACTTCTCTGTATCAGATGCAAACTTACTTTATAATGATTTAAATGAAATTGTTAATTCAAGATTAGAAGAAGCTTTAACTCCAACTTTGAAAACTTATATTGAAGAAACTGCAAACCCGTTCAATACAGACTTGATTAATGAAGATGATAATGATGAATTTGCAAATAAAGGTATAATTTTCAATGTACCATTAGATTATTTCAGTTTAGGAGATCCTCATAATCATTATTTATCATTATATTTTGAGAATTTCAGTACATTATCATCTCCATTGATGCCCAACATTGGATTGAACCCTATTCGTGATGTTTTATTAAATTATGCTAAAAGGGAAACTTATTTATTATATGCAATATTAGCATGTGGTGCTAAAACTGCATTTAGACAATCCCAAAAAATCGAAGATGATCAAGCTTATTGTTCATATTTATCTTCATGTTTAAATATACTGAGTGAACATTTTGCTGATGAAAATTTAATTATTGATAATGTTGAACCAATGTTGTTAACGATTTTATTACTTACAAGTGATTGTGCATCAAGTAAAAATGTTAGATGGAGAGCTCATTTGAAAGGTGCAAAAGAATTATTTAAGAAATTTTCAATTGATCAATCTGATATTTTAAATTTTTGTCGAAATTGGTTAATTACATATGAAGTCTTAGCTGGTGTTACAAATACTTATGGAGGTATTTTCCAATCAGATACTGATGAATTGGATAAATTTATCACAAATGACGCACGTTATTTAAAATCATTGAAAAAATTAAATATGATTGATATACATGGTTTCAATTATATCTCTGGTCATATAATTGATTTGGATTTAGTTTTCAAAGAAATTATTAAAATGTTGAACAAGATGAGAAAATTAAAATTAAATCAAGAAACTAAAACTACTTCACATTTATCATCAAACATCCCACCAATAGTGTCATATGATAAAATTGAAACATTAATGGTTCAACTGCATTCTTTACAACAAAAAGAAATCATTGATAAATCAGGTATAATCCCATCAACAAATCCAAATCATCCATCACAAACAAGTTTTTTCCAACAAAATAATTTTGATAGTATAGAAACTATTAAATTACCCATGCAGAACAAAACTCAAACTTTGAGTTGGTATGATATAAGTCATCAAGCTCATATAATAGCTGCAAAGTTAATAATAATGACAAAAATCCTTGAATTTCATAAATCAACTTCAATAATCCAAGATCTTGTACGGAAGGCTTTAAATTTCATTAGATTTCTAAATGAAATTGATCATTATAACAACAAATGTATTACACATTTACATTTTGTTATGGTTATTGTTGGACCAAATTGTATTACAATTCAAGATCAATCATTAGTGAGGAAATTTTTGGAATTGTGTAGATCAATGGGTTTGGAAAGTGCTGCTCATAATTTGAAAAAATTTGAAAAAAATTGGTTAAATGGGGATGAACATAATGATATTGATGAAGGTGAAGAAGAGGATATATTGACATGGTGAAGTTATTGATTATAATTAGTATAAATTTGATTATAGTTGTTATTTGTGATTGGTTGTATTTGATTGTAGAACTGTGGAGTTGATCTGATTTGTTGTTGATCATATAACGATGCACCTGTTGCTGGATCCAAAAAATCAACCAATTGGCCAGTTGATGGGTTAACAGCTACCAAGTAATACCCACCATTGATATCACAAACATAACTATTGGGGAAAGGTCCACGTCCTAAATTGGGAATCTCTTGATCACCATAGAAAATTATGTTTGGATTATGGAGATATTGAGTTTCAGGTGGAGACGTTTGATTATAATCAATCAATTCATCAATTTCTGTTTGACCTTGTAAAAAATCAGATGATATTACTCTCGGCGTGGTTTCTTGATGATTATCAATGGACTCATTAGTTGATAACTTGTAATTTTTGTCTGTGGAATCGAAACCAGGGTCAAGCTCCTCCTCTTCAAAGTTCAAGCTCTTGAATTCTGATGAATCAACGATTTTCAAATTTGTGTTACAACTAATGAAATCCAAAGTTCCCTTATAATATTCTCTGCTTTTCTTATCCAAATGGTAACATAGATCTCGTAGAATCTTGGAAAACTTTTCTTTGGATGAATCTAGTTGATCAATTGAACATAGACTATTAATATTCAGAGCATGTAACTTTTTATCAACATCAACTATAACACCTCTCAATTTGTCTGATTTGTGATTCTTATTCTTCTGTTTCTTTGGAGTACAGTAATCCATAACATCACTCAAAAGGTAGTTTAGGGAGCTAATTTTGAACTTGAACAGCTCAATTCCCCATTGATCTTTATATTGTTCTGGACATGTAAAATACAATTCTAGATCATCCATTCCATATTCTTCAAACATCAATTCAAGATATCTTTTGATTCTTAGTGAGTTGATAATCGGTTCTGCAGAGGCATCTAGTAAAAGTTCACCAACTATTATAGCTTTTCTTTGATCAAAGTCAGCCGATTGATTTGAACCTCGTCTATCTGACACCATTATTAACACCACTTTGATTTTTCACCTATTCAACGTCTCTGTAGCCACTGTTCGATTTTCTTCAATATCAGTATGGAAAACAAGCAGCTATTTATACCCAAATTAACAAACAATATTATCAATTTAGCTTCTTTTACATGAATTTCAAATTATTTGATCCTTGATCAAACAAACAATTTTTAGTTTTGTTTTTTTTTTTGCCAGTTCCAGAACAGATTATGCAAGGCTCGGAGAATGCTACAAACTTAAATCCGAGATAAACTTGAACATTTCAGAGCATAACAACACCAACTTTACTCAAATTTGTTGGATCAATATGGTTTTCTTTATCTAATCCACCGGAAATTGGCTTAGCTCTGTAGTTGAATAAGTAATAGTTCAATAATCCATCACCTTCACCAAATTTCAAGTCTTGTAAGAATAAATTATTATCTTGAGATGATAATGCATTGAAAACATCAACTCCTAAAGATTTAGCTATTATTAAAGCATCTCCTATCAAATCAGTTAATCTCTTCTTTAATAATGCATTACCTTCAGCTTCTTCTTTATCAAATGCAACATCTGAAGCATAATAGAATAAATATGCAATACCTAAATCTTGATGATCACTATTGTTTAAAATACTAAAAGGTAATAAATAAAAACTGAAAAAATCTGTGATTTCACCATCATCATTTTCCACAACCCATGTATGAACAACTTTTTGATCATTTTTCAAAGATAAATCACCAAATATCCAATGTTTGAATTCTTCTTCATTAAAATCATGTACTATTTCATAACGAGTTTGAAATTTTTTAAATAATGCAATCAATTGTTTATAATCTTGAGCTTTAACTTCTCTCAAGTTTTTAACTTTTCCTTGATTTCTCAAAGTATATTTAGCAATCATTTGAGTTTCTGAAACACCATCTGGTAAATAACTAAAACCAACTTCATGTAATTTTTTCCAATTTATTGGACGATGATTATATCTACAAACACTAACAGGACTTGGTAAAACAACACCAGCTGTATACAAAGCTTGGAAAATTCCTTGTAAATTAACTCTTCTTGTGACTTCTTTAATCAAGATTGGTGCTAATCTTTTTGATCTTAATTTTTTATGAACACAAATAAAATTAATCTCCACAGCTTTGATTTTTTTACCATGAACATCTAAATCAGCAGGCATACCAGCAATGAACCCTATTAATCTACCACTAGATTTAACACGGACACCAACATGCCAATCTTTACGATATCCTGGAGGTTTCAAAGCCCAATTTAAAAATTCAGGAGTATATTTAAAACGAAATGTTGAATCAGCATCTTCAACATAATTCTCATATAATAATCTAAAGACTTCATCATGATCCTCTGGGTTTGTCATATCTAGATCAGCCCATTCGAATTCTTTCAATAAAGGTAAACGTTCAGTGGAGATATCAGCAATTGTTTTAGTTTCAATTGGACCATCTTCAGTAATGGATTCATCAAATTTAGGAACCGGTTGAGTTTTCCAAAACTTGTAATCCTTCATTTCCTTTTTCTGGTCATCCGTAAGCTGGACACCCTCAGCAAGCTTCTTCAAAAGCTCCTCAATTGATTTATTCGACATCTCTTTAAGCAACAAAAGAACCTCAAAAATGCTTCACTTTAAATTCGAATTGAAATAATCGACGTTCTTTTACACGAAAAAAAATAAAAAACAAAATCAAGAAAATTCGCGAAATGTAAAATGACTTGGTGACACGTGAAAATGATGGCAGATGACGGTAATATTGGGAATTTTGTTTGGAGAAATTTGGTTAAAATTGGTTAGAAAAGCAGCAGCAATTAAGAGAGAAGATATTATATATTATTGGCTTCCTCCACCATAGTTTTGTCATTTCAATACCATTTTATTTCACTTTAAAGCGTTTTCTTGAAGTCAGAAATTCGTGCTCCTGCCAAATTTTTTTTTTTGGTAGGAAAATTTTTTTTTTTGAGATGAGCTTTAAATTGACTACTAGTACTAGAAATTCAGTTTAAATTGGATAAAAAGTTATTGTTTTACTTGTTTAAAGATGCTTTCTTCGAGTACATGGGTCCCAAGAGGCTTTGCAAGTGAATTCCCAGTTCAGTACGAACTGGATGATGAAGAAATGGAGAGAATCAACAAGTTGGCTCAATTAGAGATCAATGATGCTAAACAAGAATTGGCTGAAGAAGAGGAGGAAACTACATCTTCAAACAAATTAACTGATCAATTTGAAGTTGATGATGATTTGAAAGAATATGACTTGGAACATTATGATGATGATGAAGATGAAGACGATGGTGCTAGAGTTTCAATGTTGCCAGGTTTATCAAATGATGCAGAATATCATGAAAATGAAGATGGTGAAGATCCTTATATTTCATTACCAAACCAAGATGAAGTTGTTCAAGATAAAAAAGAATCTCAAGTTTACCCAACTGATAATCTAATCTTAAGTACTCGTACTGAAGATGATATTTCATATTTAGATATTCATGTTTATGATGATGGTGCTGATGAATTTGCAGATCCAGAAGTTCCAACTGGTCATGAACGTCCAAATGCTCTTTATGTTCATCATGATTTAATGTTACCTGCATTCCCATTATGTGTTGAATGGATCAATTTTAGACCAAATAATGCTGAAAATGATGTTGGAAATTTTGCTGCCGTTGGTACATTTGATCCACAAATTGAAATTTGGAACTTGGACTGTATCGATAAGGCATTTCCTGATATTATTTTGGGTGAACCTTCAAACCATCCATCTTTAAAGAAAAAAAAGAATAAGAAATCAAAACATATTACAACTCATCATATAGATGCTATTTTATCATTATCACATAATAAGTATCATAGAAATATATTGGCTTCAACATCTGCCGATTCAACAATAAAATTATGGGACTTAAATACAGCTTCAGCTGCTAGATCGTTAAATCAAATTCATCAAGGTAAAAACGTTTCAAGTTCACAATGGCATCAAACTGAAAGTTCAATTTTATTAACTGGTGGTTATGATTCCAGAGTTGCAATAAGTGATGTTAGAATTGCTCAAGATTCTGAAATGTCCAAATATTGGAATGCTTTAGGTGATGTTGAAAATGTTAAATGGATTAATGAAACTCAATTTTTAGCTGGTAATGATCAAGGTGGTGTTTATTGTTTTGATATTAGACAAGAATCTAAACCTCTCTGGACTTTACAAGCTCATGATGCAGGTATTTCCTCATTGGAAGTGAATCCATATGTTTCTGAAATGTTGGTTACTGCTGCAATGGGTGAAAAAGTTGTTAAATTATGGAAAATGCCAACAGAGGAAGGTAAAGGTCCATCAATGGTATTATCAAGAGATTTTGGCGTTGGTAATGTTTTAACAACAAGTTTTGCCCCAGATTTAGAAGTTGCAGGTAATTTAGTTGTTGGTGGTGTTAATAAAGGTTTGAAAATGTTTGATTTTTTTTCAAATAAAGCTGTTAGAACTAATTTTAAAGATCAATTGAAGGCAGTACAACAAAAAGCAAGAGATGAAGCTAAAGCTCAAGGGAAAGTTGATTCAAGAATAGCAAGAAAGTATCAAGGTGATTATAGTGAAACAATGTTACAAGTTGAAGATGATGATGGAGAAGATGAAGATGATGAAGATGAAGAAGTTGAAGAGTAAACTTACAGCATATAGACTTAATATTAATTAATGTACAATAGAGTGACATTGAAAAATGTCAAAAACACTACAATATTTAAATCAGTTTGTAGAAGTATGATCCTAAATTTTTTTCTCTTTTCAATAATGCAAAAAACAAAAGTAATATAAAAAAATATTGGTAATTATTATTTATAAAAAAACGTAATGGTACAAAGTCAAGTTAATAGCTCCTTACTCTCTCCCCTATTTTGATTTCTTCTTCTTTTTTGGAGATTCATCATCATCATCACCTTTTGATCTCTTTTTTTCCTTCTTTTCCTTTTTATCTTTCTTTTCCTTTTTGTCTTTCTTTTCCTTTTTATCCTTCTTTTCCTTCTTTTCTTTCTTTGGGGTTGCAACTTCTTCATCCTTTTCATCATCACTAGCATCTGGGATTTCAATATCTAAATCTTTATATAAACCTAAAGCTTCAGTAATAGCATCTGAATTTTTCATAGTTGGAGCACCAGTATCATAGAAGTTCAATCTTTGTTCAACTTGTTTTTTCAAAACTGAACCGAAAACTGTACTTGGTTCATCTGAATAATTATCAATTCTTGAAGCAATTGAACATTTATTTGCCAAATATCTTGAAATTCTACCTTTATTTTTAGCAGAAGCACGACCAATAAAAGTTGAGTGATAAATTAAACCATATTTTGGAGTATTACCTTTAGTTTTCAAAGCTCTGAATAAAGCTTTTTCAGCACCCAAGATTTGAACAGTTGAAGCAGCTTGTTTTGATAAATTAGTTAAAGAACCAGCATGAGAAATTAATCTAGCACCAATAACTTCACCAATCAATTCTGATAAATTTGGAGCAACAGTATGCATTTTATCAACCAAATAATTATATAGAGATCTTCTATAATCAGTGATTGAAACAACTCTTTTAGCGAAAACTAATAAATTATCAAAATCTTGTTCAGAAATATCTTGACCCATTGAAATCATAGCATTATCAATAACGGTTTGAGCTAAACCTGAATCATTTGATAAAATGGCAGTTAAATCATGTAAAGAATCTTCATTTAATGAAGCTTTATCTTTAATGAATAAAACCAATTTGGCAAAAATATAATTATCAGGAACTAATTTAGCCAATTCTGGGAAATGCCATCCATACCATTCTTTAACACGCATTGAAAAAGTGTTGATATCTTTATCTAATTGATCCAAAAGAGCAATAGCTTGAATAATATGGTTATCATTTTTTTGAACTGAAAATTTCACTTTAGCTCTTGAATAAGCATGACCAAGACCTAATTGGGCTCTTTCAATATCACCTTGTTGTAAATCTTTTAATAATTTATCACCATGTAATCTAACACCTCTGATTAAATCTTGAGCTAATTCATTTGAAATACAATCAATATAACCAAAAGTTTCTTTAATTGAAGGACCTAAATTTTTATCAGAAATTGCCAAAGTTATAGATTTTTTTGATGAACCTTTTGGTAAATTTAATTCTAAAACTGATTTTAAATATTCAGAAACTAAACCTTCAGAGATTTCATTAGCATTTTCTAAAGCTTGAGCAGCACCTTTAAAAGGAGCAAAAGAGATTAATTCAACTAATTTTGAGAAACTTGATAAATCATTAATTTGTTGTTGAACTTCTTTTAATTTGGAACCAATGTTGTCTTGTTGTAACTTGACCTTAAAGACAGCATAACCAGTTGCTTCTTCGAAAAGAAGATAGTCAATAGGAGCAGACATTTGGGATTATGGTTATTGACTAAGTACCAAGTAGAAGAGTATTAGTTAAAATTTATGATTTTATTATGGGCTTCTATAAAAAAAAAATTTTCAAAACCGATGAGTTTACCCGGGTGTTTCCCGATTAGGAAGGTGACAGAATAACATTATTTGGATATCCTAATCGGGGAGCGTGACTAATTAGGCAATGGTCATATTATCGGCTATTCACGCCCTCTTATAACATGACTTTACCCTGATTTTGGGCTTATCGCAATACAAATGATTCATATTAACCTTCACAATTCCATATTCACAAAGAAAACTTGTACTAGAAAGGCATTCTGGGAGAAAAAGAACTGGAGTTTTTCTTGATATTGTGCTGGTTATAGATTTGATAAAGAGAAGAAAGAGAGTCCAAAATGCAAGCAGACAGTGATCAATCACCTGTTACAAAGAACAAGGCTATTAAAAGAAAGTTACAATCCACGTCGACAAGAAGTAGTGAATCCAAAGAAATTGATGAGAAAGGCGCTGATGCTCATAGAAAACCTGCTTATCGTCATTCCATTTCTTATATGATGAATTCTCAAGATGGTGATGGTAATTCTCCAAAATTGGAACGTCGTTCCTCATTTGCTTCACCTTCTTCATCATTTGCAAGACGTCGTTCATTTTTATCACCTTCAATGATTTCTAATGAAAAACATACTGTTTATGAATTACATAATGGGATGGGGTATAATACCCCTTCTTTTTCAATATCTTTAAAGGAAAGTCAAGGTTTTAGTTGGAATCAAGATTTATTTGCTTCACAATATCAACAACAATCAAGTGCGGTTTATGATGATGATGATGACGATGTGGAGGATGAGGATCAAGATGACGTTGTGGATGAAGAGGAGACTGATTATGAATATGAAGGTTATGATGGTTCTTCTTATCGTCATGGTAATTCAAGATCATTATCAATGAGTAATGAAAATGGGTATAAAGTACGGGTTATTGATATTAAAGTTGATGAAGATGAAAACATTTTCCAAGTGGAAACTTGAAGAGAATGTTAAACTACATAACTATTATGACCTAATGAAATTATTTCCCCCCTCTATATATATAAACCAAAATTGTTTACACTTGATCCAGTGTTAACTAATGATTCCACATGTTTAATGAAATTTGAATTTAATTTAAATTTGTCTTGTAAATAATGAGCTAATTCATTGATGCTATCATTATTAATTTTTTCAAAACCTGAAACACCTTCACTTTGTAATACTAGTGTTTGAATATTATTCTTTGATTGAGTTTTTGAATTACTAACAAGACTTGCAGAAATCCCAGTTATGATGAATGGAGGTGATAATTGTGGGAAATTTGTTGAACTTGAACCAATTTCTGCTATATTACAATTGAAAGGTAATGTACCTGGTGTTATTGTTAATATTTCAATATTTGGAAACTTTATAATATCTCTTGCAATGATTTCATAATTTATAACATCTTGGAAATTGGGAGTCACGATGATATTTATCCCATTAATTTGATAGATTTCAATTTCATCACTCAATTCTTCTTGATTTGATTCATTAGCTTTATATAATTGTTCATCTTCAATGTATTCTTCACTTTCAATTTGATTTTTAACAATTCTAAATATTTTCAAACCACCAATTAATTTGGAATCACCTTGTTTCAATAAGGCTTCTTTAATGAAATGCAAAGTATTTGGTAATATAAGAACTTGACCAGTTAATGAACAAGATATTTCAATTCTTGGGATTGGTGAAGATGTTAAAGTTGATATATCTTCAAAAATATGACGAGGAGCTCTTTCTGTCCAGGGTTTGAACTGGCGAGAGTTAGTGATTTGCTTTATGAATTAATTGGAATGATTTATACTCACCACCATAATTAATCGATTATTTAATTCTTTAAATTAATTCAATTTCAATTCAATTTTGCCATTAAATATTTCTCGAAATTTAATTGAATTTGGCTGGAAATTACATAATCACCATACAAAATTCGAAAACTGAAAATTAACAGATTTGAACCATTTAAACCACTTAAAGCTGATTATCAACTAACTTAAAATATGAGCAAAAACGAATTCGAACAAATCTCTTTGGAGTTCAACAGATTACAAACAGAATTACAAGATTTATTATCTTCAAGACAAAAATTAGAAACTCAATTTCAAGAAAATTCAATAGTATTGAATGAATTTAAAAATTTAGAAGATGATGCCAAAATTTATAAATTAACAGGTCCTGTTTTATTACCACAAGATAAAAATGAGGCTAATATCAATGTTGAAAAGAGAATAGAGTTTATAAAGAATGAAATGTGAGTATAAATCAAGATCTTGTGGGTAGTTATAATACTAACATTTGTTTAGTGAACGTGTTGAAAAAAATGTTCAATCAACTCAATCAAAATTAGAATCTTCAAGGGCAAAACTACTTGAAATACGTTCAAAATTACAACCAGCTAGTGCGTGAATGAAAGTTTGTATGATTATAAATATGTATGAGCATAAATATTATGTAAAAATGATGCTTAACCTCTTGATGCTTGACTCTTGATCAAATTTATACCTGAGTGGAACCCATAATTAATGAATTCCTCCAAATCATTATAAAACCCACCAAGTCCATCAATTGAATCTAATCTTTTATCAACCAATTGTAAAGTATTTTGGAAACCTTCACTTTTATCATTTGACATAAATAATTCAAAAGCAACATAACTTGAACTTAGAGATAATCTTTTAGTATACCATGCGAAATCATTTGATTTATCACCTGCAAAGAAAACAATATCATCACTCAGATTATGTAATTCTTCTGAACTTTGTTTAAAATATGGTGGTAATATTAAATAACTTTGTAATTGAGATAAATGTTCAACATATGGTTTATTTGCTAATAATCTTTTCTTAACCAAGAATTTCAATTTCCCCAATTCATTTAATTTTAAGAATTCCTCAGTTTGTAAATATTTTTGTAAATTTAAACGTTGTTTAACTAAATGATAATGAATTAAATCATAAGTACCATGAGAGAATAAAGATTGGATAGCATCACTATAACCAACTTCACGACTAGCTTCTAATATGGCTTTATGTTGAAATCCATATTTGGGAACATATGCTAAAGCTTTTTCTAATATTTCAGTTTGTGGTTTTGTTAGACTAAATTCATCAACATCTTTATGATCTTTTGAATGGTATTGACGGGATAAAATTGATGGTTTAATGAATCTAGTGGAGCATCTTAGGGAAGATGGATTTATTAATTGTTTGAACAGCATTTCCAATTGAATTGAATAGACGTTTAAAGGGAAATTTATTGTAAAAGTCTTTAAAAATGGGTCTTTTTTGCAGTTATGGTTCGAGTTTTCTTTTCGTATACAAAAAAAATAGGGAAAAAAAGGATGGAAATTGACACATTGGGTAATTACCGTATTAGGCAAGTAAGTGCTTTATGGATAAAGTAATCAACTTTATAATCCAGGGGAAAGGTGATAATTAGGAGAATAAGACGGTGATATTGAGCTTATTCAGGTCTCTTTGTATGGTTATCTCGTTTTCCAGAAGTTGAAAGTGTTTAAATTGGTGTTTTTAATGTTGAAGTCTTGATTGAACCCTTGAATGATTGAATTAAAACTTGTTAAAAAGATGAAACCAATCCAAAAGTCATGAATCTGATGCTTTTGATCATTCTAATCCACTATTATTACACCTAATCACACTTTTTCCAAGCTCTAAACCTCCATTTCCATCTATTTCAACACTCCGAATGATGCTCATCACCTTCAACACCTTCAACTCCATCAATAATCAACCATTTCAACCAGTTTAAAAACGAGTAGAAGCCTTTAGACTCACTCTAACACTCTAACCATCCGTATCCTCGAGTATCATCATTTTAACCCTCTTTAAACTCCCTAATCCTCATATTCCCAATCCTCTGAATGTGTCAAGTCAACGCAATTCCAACGGCCAATCAAATCACAAATCACAACGGAAACGACACTGGAAGAAATACAAAACACGTTCAATTGAAATAAATTAAATAAATAATTAAATTAAATAATGAAATCAATAATTAAAATAATCTCAATCTTTCCTTTATCTTTTAAACAATCCACTAACAAAAATTTCCCAGTTCCAATTTTCCAATTCTGGATTCCTTATCTAAATCGGGCGAAAATTTTACCTTTTGACTTTGGCAATAACAATTCACTTTTCAAATATTTAAGCCGTATTGAATCCATTTTAATTCCAAACTTCTACTAAAATCAATTCAATTCAATTCAATCAATCACATAATGTCTGAATCTACTGTTGGAAAAGTATGTCTTTCTTCAATTGCCACCCAATCATCATTAACCTTTTCAAATAGACAATCACCTGTAAAGCTGCTATTGCCTGGGAAGCTGGTAAACCTTTATCAATTGAAGAAATTGAAGTGTTGCCACCAAGAGCTCATGAAGTCCGTATCAAAGTGACAAACACTGGTGTCTGTCACACTGACGCCTACACCTTATCTGGTGTTGATCCTGAAGGTGCCTTCCCTGCAATCTTGGGTCATGAAGGTGCTGGTATTGTCGAAAGTGTTGGTGAAGGTGTTACAAGTGTTAAACCTGGTGATTCTGTTATCGCTCTATACACTGCTGAATGTAAAGAGTGTAAGTTTTGTAAATCTGGTAAAACCAACTTATGTGGTTCTGTTAGAGCTACCCAAGGTAAAGGTGTTATGCCAGATGGAACAGTTAGATTTAAACATAAAGAATCTGGTAAAGAATTGTTACATTTCATGGGTTGTTCCACTTTTTCACAATACACTGTTGTTGCTGATGTCTCTGTTGTTGCTGTTAACCCTGAAGCTCCAAAAGATAGAACTTGTTTATTAGGTTGCGGTGTCACTACTGGTTATGGTGCTGCTGTCATCACTGCAAATGTTCAAGAAGGTGATAATGTTGCAGTCTTTGGTGCTGGTGCAGTTGGTTTATCTGTCGTGCAAGGTGCTGCTCAAAGAAAAGCTAATAAAATCATTGTTGTTGATATAAATGATTCTAAAAAAGAATGGGCTGAAAAATTCGGTGCTACTGATTTTGTTAATCCAACTAAATTACCTGAAGGTCAATCAATTGTTGATAAATTGGTTGAAATGACTGATGGTGGGTTAGAATTCACTTTTGATTGTACTGGTAACGTTACAGTCATGAGACAAGCTTTAGAAGCTTGCCATAAAGGTTGGGGTCAATCAATTATCATTGGTGTTGCAGCTGCTGGTAAAGAAATTTCAACAAGACCTTTCCAATTGGTCACTGGTAGAGTTTGGAAAGGTTCTGCCTTTGGTGGTGTTAAAGGTAGAACTCAATTACCAGGCTTTGTTGAAGATTATTTACAAGGTAAATTAAAAGTTGATGAATTTATTACTCATCGTCACCCATTAAGTGGTATAAACACTGCTTTTGAAGATATGCATAAAGGTGATTGTATTAGAGCTGTTGTTAACTTGTTTGATAATTAGCAATTAAAGTCATCAAAGTTATAAGACAAATACAATTCATCAATATTTAATATTTTAGGGCATGAATCATGCTCATGGGGGTTTAATTAAAAAAGTATATTACGTATCCTTAGTGATTGTTAATAAAAATTATTACATTTATTACGTCTGAGTATGTAGACCATTCACCGAATTTGCAAATCACAAGCTTATAAACAAAAACATGCCATCCTTTTAAAAACACATATATATACAACAATTATATTATGATAAATCCAAAAACATCCTTCCAATATACAAAAAGACCCATCTAGAAAAAAAAACACACACACAGCAAAAACTTAAAACCAAAAGAAAAAACAATTAATCATTTTTATAAAATCAAGAAAAGATAACCCTAATTCACATAGCATTAGTTTCACCAATATTAATTGGTGTTGAAGATGTTGAACCACCATTGATAACTAACCCGTTAATCTTTGAAGCAATATCTGGTAATTGTTCATTATTAAACTGTTGATAATAATTCATCATACTTGGTTGAGGTTGTTGAACTGATGGTAAGCCTGAGTTTGATTGCTGTTGTTGTTGTTGTTGTGGGAATTGATTGATTAAATCTTGATTATTTGAATTAGATAAATGTGATGAAATGTTTGGATTAACCCTTGGTGCTCCACATCTTAAACAACATATATTTTTAGCAAAATTATGATATGAACATCCTTCATTACCACATTTCCAATCTCCGGCTCTAAATGGAACTGAACTGACTCTTGACTGACCATTACCATTACCATGTCCATTTCCATTGTTATTATTATTATTGTTACTATTACCATTTGAAGATCCAACTGCATTAGCAGTGGCATTATTATTAATGAAATTCAACCCATTACCACCATTGTTATGATGTCCATTACCATTGTGATGATTATTCCCATTGTTATTATGATGATGATTATGATGATGGTTTTGATGTTGATGACTATTATTATTATTGTTATTATTGTTGTTGTTATTTGTAATGCTATTATTATTATAATGATTACTATGACTATTACTTGGCGTATTTGTACCATTTGATGAATACATTGATTCTTGAATTGCCGCAGCTGAAGCAGCAGGGAATGAACATCTAAAACATGCTGTACGTCTTTGGAAATTTGAAAATCCACAAGATGGACATGTCCAATCTCCTGGTCTTGGTCTATTCTTACTTGGTGGGAATGGTGTTAAAATCTCTTGTGCACGATCTAAAACTCTTGCACTTGAAGGTTGAACTTCAATTGAACGATCATTTAATGCTCGTCCATTCATTGCTAATGATTCTGCAGCTTCTTCATGAGAACTGAAAACTGCGAATCCTAACCCAGTAGGTTTGTGTTGATCTGGAGTTTTCAAAGTCCAAAATGCAATTGGACGTCCACCATATTGGGTAAACCATGATTCTAATTCACTTTGTGTTGTATCTTGAGGTAAATTTGATAAATGTAAAACTTTTGAACGTTCAGCTAAAAATGCTCGAACATCTGCACGACCATCAAATGGTCTAGATAAAACATCTGAATGATCTTCAATTGGTTGAGATTTTTTAATTAATGATTTTAAAATTTTCTCCAAAACAATTGTTTCATCAATTGCACGACGTGGGGTTTGTAAAGCCAATTGTTGTAAATGGAATGGTAAATTACCATTTAATCCATTCGATGAAGCTGCTGCAACTGCTGCTAAATTCCCTTGTGGTTCAATTTCAACTTCTAATGCAGTACAAATTGATGATAAATTTGATGAACTATATGATAAAGTTTCTGGATGATGAGCTTGCCATTTGGAATATTCTTGTTTTAAATCAAAGCAACGAGAATGTTGTAAATATGGAGGTAAGACAACACTTTTATCTCTAGCTTCCCTTGGTAATTGTACTCTTAAATCCCATGCATTTAATGTAACAAATGTAAAATCTAAACCTTTTGAAGTGATTTTTTCATGAATAAATTGATCCAATTTTAAAACAGCATCTCTAAAAGTACCCGCATTACGAACATGTTCCCAAGTTAATGTAGTTATGCTGGTACATAATGCAGTGATTGGTGTATTTATTGGTCTGATTAAAACTGAATCAGAATCTAATTTTTCCAATGTATTTGCATCTAATAAACTCCATGCAATTTCAATAATTTCAGATGAATCCTTGGTAACATAAACCCCATTCTCATCACATGTTGTGGCAAGATGGATCACAATGAAAACGTCACTCATGTTGATAAATTGATATATATGGTACAGGAAATTCTTATGTTATTGTTTTGATTATGGTTTGATGTAATGAATGGACACACAAGCGTACAACGAGGAAACAACAAAAAGCAAAAGAAAAACAGAACAGATCAAAAGTAAACTATGCACCAGCTTTCCAATAAAAGTACCTTGAACTCTTCTCTTTACTCCTTTTACTCCAGGATTTTATGGTATTCAACTCATGTTTTTTGGTGAGTTTCCCGCAAATTTTTTTTTTCATCGAATCGACAAAAAAAAAAAAAAAAAAACGCGCGAATGTGATTACGTAAGTTTTGTTTTGATTTTTTTTTGGGAATTCAACAGATTTCGTTTACAACCAAAAAGACATACGGAATTTTAAGGAATTTGGCTAAAGAATAGTGGGTTTGAGTTGTTATTTTGTGGTGTGTTGACTGTTTGGTTGGATTTAGTATCAAATTTTGACTCGGCAGGTTTTTTTGGTGGTTAACTTTACCACAATTTACGGTATCTTTAACTTTGTGATTGATCACACGAATTATGAGTGCACTACCCCCAGATATTGATCCCACAAAGCAGCCTCAAAGAGTGTTCAAGGCCCAGCTGATCGTATCCACTGTGTTTGGGATCTTTGCGTTTTTGGCGTTTTGTGTGCTGCGATTCAGATGGCCTCATATCTATGCAGTACGCGTCTTAAGAAAGAAAGATATTAGAATATTACCCAGTACGTTATTTGGCTGGTGTTTATCCCTTTATAATGTGACTGATGATGAAGTTTTGGAACATGGTGGACTTGATGCGTACGTGTTTTTAGGATTTTTCAGAATGGCTATTAAATATTTTGCACTTTGCTCAGTTATATCATTCTGTTTAATAGGTCCAATCAGATATTATTACACTGGACATTTCGATAGTGATGGTATAGCATGGGATGTTGGACCAGTCACATATGGTAAAGGCGATCATGATAATGATCCCTTGGATCCTAAACAATACAAGGCTGCTTGGGTTTATACTGTTTTCACCTACATTTTTTCATGGTTGGCGTATTATTTTCTTTGGCAACAAACTGAAAAAGTCGTTTCTGTTAGACAAAGATATTTAGGCCAACAAAATTCGGTTACAGACCGTACAATTTTGCTTGAAGGTCTACCTCAAGAGTTTGATCCAAATGATTATTCAAGTTCTACAGATTTGATCCCTCAAAATTCAATCAAGTTTGATGAAGAAAAATTGAAGAAATATATTGAAGAATTAGGCATTGGTAAAGTACGTGATATTTATATCTCATATAATTGGGATACATTGAAGGCATTGTTCAAAAAAAGAGAAAAAATTTTAAGAGCACTAGAGATTGCTTATTCGAGATATGTTCCGTTAAATGTTGAAGTGTACACTTACGGGAATCTAGAACCCTCTGTCTCACCAGTCAGAAACTTGCCCCAAACTGAAACACAGCCTTTAATTGAAGATAGACCAAAACCAACAATTAGATTAGGATTATGGGGTATTTTTGGTGAAAAAGTTGATGCAATAGATTATTATTCTGATCAACTAATTGAACTTGATAAAGAAATTATAGGTGAACGTGAAAAAAATAATTTTCAACAGGCAAGGTCTGCTTTTGTCACTATGGATTCTGTTGCATCTGCCCAAATGGCTGCCCAAGCAGTTTTGGATCCTCATGTTCATCGTCTTATTGCCAGATTAGCACCTGCTCCTCATGATGTGTGTTGGGATAATATCTCTTTAACAAAACCTGCAAAGTTTCTTAGGGCAAATATTATCACCTTGATTATTGGTGTTTCCACTGTTGGTTTAATTTTCCCAGTTGTTTCCCTTTCAACTTTAATTAATTTGAAAACTATTGAAAAATTTTGGCCTGCACTTGGTGAATGGATTTCAAAATCTGATACAGCAATTCTTATTATTGGATTGATTCCACCATATATCTATACTCTTTTGAATGTCACCATTCCTTATTTTTACTCTTATTTATCTACTCAACAAGGTTATTTATCAAATGGTGAAGTTGAATTATCAACATTATCAAAGAATTTCTTTTATATTTTTTTTAATTTGTTTTTGATCTTCACATTGGCAGGTACTGCTTCTAATGTTTGGGCATTATTTGGTGATACAACAAAGATTGCATTTGAATTGGCAAATTCTTTGAAAACCTTGTCATTATTCTATGTTGATTTGATTCTACTTCAAGGATTAGGAATGTTCCCTTTTAAATTATTACAGGTTGGTGATGTTGGATTGGAAATTGTTTCAAAATTGTTTTATTGTCGTACTGCAAGAGATTATAGAGCTCTTTACTATACTCCCCCAGTTTTTGATTTTGGTATCATCTTACCACAACATATTTTGATTTTGATAATAACAATGATATATTCAGTTACTTCCACAAAGATTGTCACTGCAGGTTTGGTCTACTATGTGTTAGGTTATTACACCTATAAATATCAATTATTATACACCATGGTTCACCCACAACATTCTACTGGCCAGGCATGGCCAATGATTTTCAGAAGAGTTTGTTTAGGTTTAGTTTTGTTCCAAATAACGATGGCTGGTACATTAGCATTAGAACATGCTTTCATCCTATCTATTTTGGTGGTTCCATTGATTTTTATGACATTATTCGTTGCTTATAACTTTGAAAAAGATTATTTACCTTTATCATTCTTTATTGCTTTGAAAGCTATCAAAAAATATCCATTAAGCTCAGAAAATGTGGGCTCCACAACAAGTGGTGCTCAACAAAATCTTGATACACTTAATGAAAACACTTTGACGCAGAGAACATTAAAAAAGCGGAGAAGTACAATTGATGAAGCTAGAGAAGAGTATAAAACTTATAAATGCCCTTATTTAACAGACCCATTAGACGGTCCAATAATTGGTTTTGATGGTGATTATATTCAACAGATTCAATATGAACCAACAAGTCTGAATGAGCGTGTTGTTAGAAAATATTATTCAGTTTCTGAATGGGAATGAGTTGTTTTAATTTGTTTTTTTGTTTAATCTGTTTTATTTCTTTTAATTTTTTCCGTTTTGCATTGTGATCTATTAGATATGCTGGTTTTTCTTTATTGGGATCTGGAAATTCACATTTTAAGTCACTTGTTAAACACCGTATACATCTTGGTTTCCTTTCATCACACTTCATATGTCTAACACGACAGATATAACAACCATTTAATGATCTTGGTGATCCCGGTTGACTGGCCGTGTGCCTTGGTGTTGTCGGTTGGCTTGTACTTGGTGAATTATCAGGTGTTCTTGGTGATTCTATTTTGGCTGGTGCTATCACCACACTTGTGATTTTTGGTGTTTTGTCAATGGTATCAAATTGTAACGGGGAACTGAATAGGTATTCATCCATTAAATTGGCCATATAAGGAGTGGGTTGGATATAGTTAATGTTGTGGTCAGCACCTAATTGATGTTTATACTTTAATCTTGTGTCATAATTCCAATCTGCAAAAGTTGAATCGAGTGATTTGTTCTTTGGGGATCTAGGATGGGTGGTAGTTTGTGGTTCATGGAGTGTAGTACTATGTACTTTGGGTGATGGCATTTCTTGTAGCTTTGGTTTTTTTTGAAAGAAAGGACCTGTTAAAGGGGATTTATGTTCCTTATAAGTTTATTTTGCCTCTTTGAACCCATTTCAGGCTTGTTTCAATCGAGTTTTGCGTATTGTTTGGTTATTATGGTAGTGTCCCTTGCATTTTTCAATCTGCCAATATCTTTTTTTTTCGATTTCAAAACATCTTCAAGATAGTTTCAAATGTTGGCTTAAACCTGATCGACCTTAAGAGTGATTCATTCATCATGTCTAGTCCTGCTATCACATTCGTCACTGGTAATGCTAAGAAGCTAAAAGAATTTCAAGCCATCATTGGTGATGATTCAATCAGAAATCAAAGTGTTGATCTTGAAGAAGTTCAAGGTTCAATTAAAGATATTTCAACCAAAAAGGCAATTGCAGCTGCTGAAGTCATCAAAGGTCCTGTTTTAGTTGAAGACACATGTCTTGTTTTCAATGCATTGTCTAAACCTGAATTAGAATTACCGGGTCCATATATTAAATGGTTTGTGGAATCAGTTGGTGTTGAAAACTTACCAAGATTATTAGCTGGTTTTGAAGATAAATCTGCTCAAACTGTCTGTACTTTTGCGTTCACTGAAGGCCCAGGTAAAGAAGTCAAATTATTCCAAGGTATAACTGAAGGTAAAATTGTCGAACCACGTTATAATGGTGAAGAAGTTTTCGGCTTTGATCCAATTTTTGAACCAACTGGATTTTCTCAAACTTTTGGTGAAATGGATAAAAGTTTGAAAAACACAATCAGTCATAGATACAGAGCTCTAGAGAAAGTTAAAGAGTTTTTGAAAACTAGAGATTGAATAAGTCACATAATACACATAGAATTAATTTGAAACATCATACATCAATCTTATAATGCTAATTCATTTGAAGCACCATCAGGGTTGTTTACTTTCCATGTATCAATCCAAGATATCACACGTGCAACATTTGAGTCTATATCTTCAGTGGTGTTGGATTGTAATTCCACAATGATCTCTGGAGCATAAGCTTCTCTAGCTTCTTGTAATATAACTTCCATTATTTCACAATCCAAGTTTTCATCAATTTTACTTTGTGAGTAATCTCTTTTGCTCAATCTGTCATAAAGAATGCCATTTTCAGTTCTTAAAACAACAACTAAATCTATCAATCTTTCAGGGAATAAATCATTTGCGTGCCAATCAATCAAGATCCCACCTTTTTCTAACAATGGTTCTAATGCATCCAATAATTTATCTTCATCGACAATATGGCTATTTCTTTCTTTATCAAATCCATCGTAAGCATCATTCTCTTTAGCAAAATCTGTGATGTTAACATGTTTGAAACCTTTAATCTCTTGACTGATTAGTTCGGCATGGCTGGTTTTACCACATCCCTAGAGATTTATGTTAGTTTTCTGTGAAATTCATCAGATCTTAAACCCCACTCACTGGAGTACCAGTTAAAATAATATTTGGCAACGGTCTGTAACTCATTTTCTCAGTAGTTGATATTTAAAATTAACAATCTTTGAAGCACATCGCAAATTGAATTGAATTTGGTATAAAAATTGAAATCCGAGGACTTCACGATCACATGACTTATCTATCCTCGAATTTCCCGATTGGTGAATTTTGAAATGAAAATGAAAATTGGTTGGAAAGAGAGAATAGAGGTCAAATATCAAAAACACAACAAATTCAAAGCAACGTTGAGAATTTCGAAGAAGGAGAATATATAAAACAATGGGTTAGTTATTATTCCTGTGACTGTCCTGGATGTTTACTAACTGAATTCTTTTTTCTAGCGTCTTGGGATTCTGTTGATGAAAACCTAATAAAGAAACAATTGGGAAGTAAAGTGAATCAAGGCTTCAATTTGAATGAGTTCCCAGCTCTTGGATCTTCAGATGTTAATCTAAGACAAACACTTGAAACCAGCACATCGCTAGGTGGTACTCAAACAATTCCACCTCCAGGCTTACAACCTCAGTTGCAACATCATGTACAAAGCACACAAACACCAATAACGAACTCTAATAATATAATTAATGAACTGAAATTAAAACCAAAACCAAAGTCAGAGGAAGAACTGACAGATATGGATAGATATGGATTGAATGGATTATTGGGATTACTTAGAGCTGAAAATCCAGATCAAAATACTGTTGCTATTGGATCTGATTTAAACATATTGGGATTAGATATGAGTGAAAAATCAATAGATGTTAAATTATCCAAAACATTCCCATCTCCATGGATTGAAACTTCAAGAAGTGAAGTTGAACCTCAATTCACAGTTCCAGAATATTTTAAAGTGGACTCTTTATCAAAAGTTGAAGATAAGTTAACTTTATTTACAGATGAGACACTTTTTTATATTTTTTATACAAGAACAAAAGATGTCTTGCAAGAACTAAGTGCAAGAGAATTGATGAACAGAAATTGGAGATATCACAAAGAACTGCAAGTTTGGTTAACTAAGGACTCAAATACTGAACCAATTCAACAATCTCCTCAAAGTGAACGTGGATTATATATTTTCTTTGACCCTCATAATTGGGAAAAAGTTAGAAAAGAATTTATTTTGTATTATCAAGCAATAATGTCGACATGAAAGATTCAATAAAAGGAGAAGAAGATGTTAAAAATATTCAGTACATAATGTAGAATTGTTTTTCATTAAATAAACCTATTTCTCTTTTTCTTTTGTTGTATAATATATACAAGAGTTTTGATAAAACTTAAACAAATTATTTATAAATTGCATGATAACGTTTACCTCTAACAGCAAACAATTTTTGATTGAATCTGTAAACTTCATGAGGATTCAAATCATTTAATTCCCATTTTGTAGAAGCAAATTTATTATCTTCAATATTCATTAAAACATCTAAATCATCCTTGAAATTATCCATTAACCAATTCCAGTCAGTATTTGCATCGTTTTCGTGATAACCAGTAATGAAAATTGGACATTTTGAATCTAATAAACCTGGCATTGTCTTTTTCCATAAATCTTTAACATCTGGATAACCTAAACCTGGATGGAAAAGGAAAAAAGAATCTAAATAAGGATCATAAGGGAAGAAATCTTGAGCTTCATGGAAAACATGGAAATAATCAGTATGATAAACAAATTTTAAATTAACATCAACTTTTTTCACTATTGGTCTTGAACTTTGTAAATATTGATTTTTTTCACGATCAAAATAAGATTCTGGTCCAATAAAGTGTAACTCAAATTCAGTATCTGGGAACAAAAAATTCAATTGCTTCCAAACATGACCAGGTAATTGACCTTCAGCTCTTGCACCTATAATGAATAATCTTAAAGGACGATCTTTTAATGGTGAAGTTCTTAGATCTGGATATAAAGAATAACGCAAGGCAGCTAAGGATTTTAAACCTTCTAAAGTAACTGGACCTTTTGGAGTTAATCCATATGGAGAATATTGATGTAATAAAGTACCAATTGTTATAGGATATGAAAGCATTTTAGTGACAGCAGCCAATTGGAACTCGGTATCCATAGAATAGAAACTTCTCGTATAGAAATATAAATCCCAATTTGATAAATTAACTTGTGATTCATTTTCTTGAACACCTGGGAAATCAAATTCTGGGAATTGACGACCAGATCTTAAATCATGTTCATATATGTTTACTTTTTTCAATAATTCATATTTTTTTGTCTTGTGATATTCTTCATCTTGTTCCCATGCTTCTTTTGAATGATGAGTTGGGATTCCACTATATGGACAAGTAAAATTGATTTCCTTTTTGGTGACTGGACATTTAGCTAATGCTCTTATTGTGGCAGCACGATGTCTTAGATCTTGTGAAGGTGATGAGTCCCAAGGGTGGAATCTATTCTCAACGCTTGGTTCATCTGGAGAAGGAGGAGGATCCATTCCAAGAGCATTTCTCAACACTGATATTATCCCTCTTTTTGATTGATAGTTATAATTCACTAGTAAAGGCTTTGAGACCCTAGTCTTTGCGAGCAGCATTTTTGTTTCCTTTGTATTATCAGCTAATTGAAAATGATACAAGCAGCAATAACAGGCAGCAATAAGATCTCAACAATCTCTGATCAAAAACGTACCCCAAATCTTCTGGTTGTTGTTGTTCTGATTATTATACCGATTTCTCGTTTCTATGATTTTTTGGAAAATTTGCCTGTTCAAAGCCCAGCAGCGAAATGGCAGATTTGCGGGTAAAAATGCTTTTCGAAGTGGAATTTAAAGCAGCTTTGAGTGGATTAAAAAGGCAAAATAATTAGCTGGTCATGTTATATTAGCCTATGAGGATTTCTTTTATAACTCACCTTTTTTTAATACATTTTAATTTGAAATTGGGCTCAGTATCTTTGAAATCTTGACTTTGATTTCCTTTGATTACTAATTTTATGTGTACTGATTACATAAGTTTTCTTGAAAATTGGAAAAACTGAAAAAAAAACTTTGAACGTCCAATGAATATAAAGGTGAATTCATATTGAGGTCTTTGTTTGTTATTGCTGTGTGTCAGATATAGATCTTATCATGTTCAAGATAATACCTAGCAGGGCTGGTATGAGAACTGGGATTAGATTCCTCAGCTCAGGGTTCAGATCAATTGGTCAAACACCTTTACCAACATTCATGATTAAACAATCAACAACCACAACCACATTCAATCCAATATCGAAACCAAACAGTGTGCTGTCACAACTCCAAACTTCTGCATTATATCAAAATATAACAAAACAACGTGAAATTGTGGATTCAAAATTAGAAGAATCAGATATTAAAGATTTTGAGTCAAATGATTCCAAAACTCCTTCGATGCAATTAGATTCTGTTATGAGAAAAAGAAGATATAAAATCAAGAAGCATAAATTTAGAAAGAGAAGAAAAGCACAAAAGGCCTTGAGACGTAAATTAAAGAAATGATCATGTACATATTATCAATCACACAATACATATACATATTGGGGGAGAAGAGTAAAGTAGACAACTACACTGCAATATAACTTATCATAAGGTATCATTAAAAAATAAGAATATATATGTTGCTTTTAAAATATCAAATGGTTCAAGATACGACGAGTAAAATATAATAAAGCAATACTTGCCAGTATTAATCCAATATAGTACCCATAAACTGCAACTTTATATGATAATTTACCAGTAATTTTTTCTCTATTATGACGCTCAATACCTCTAATCATTTCGGCATTTCTTTTATAGATTTCTTTAGCTTCTTCAATAATATCCAATTTTTCTTGTTCTGTTAATGCATTTCTTGTAGCTAATTCATATTCTCTTTTATAGGATTGTCTTAAAACTTGGTCATCCTCAACGTCAAATTGGAAAAGATTTGTACCGTATAATGAAACTTGTTCAGTAGTTTGACCATCAACTTGTGGGAATAAACCAGTAGCTTTAGCTAAACTTGATCTCAACACTTTACCGCCAGCAAATAAAGCCAAATACATGACATGACAATAAGCTAATAAAACATGAGGTTTTTCTTGATGGACTTTATAAATATGATTAACAAAATCAATCTGTTCTTCTCTTATTGGGGCTTCAAATTTTTTTGGATCATTATCATAAAAATATAGTAAATCTCTTGTTAAAGGTTCTGTTCTTGAAATTTTTTCATCCCAAAATGAAGCTAATAAATCACCAGTTTTAGATCTTGGTTTTTGTTGTAATTCTTGATTTATAAGGATTTCAATGGTCTTGAAGACATGATAAAACCCTTGGATGCCCTGTCTATAGATTTTACCATCTCTTAATGCAACTGCGAATTTCAACGATACTGTTTTATCCACCACATCATGTTCTTTTCTGGTATTGATATTGATTCTGTTACCCAAGGCACCGATGTCGGTTGGTAGAGGTATTATTTCGTGTTGGTTTAGCTTGGACATTGTTATTAGCTGATTTGGATATAAACATCATCAAACTGAAAGGGAAAAGGATCCAAACTTGTCTTTATAACTCTTCTCCTTCAATTTGAGATTGACTTCTCCGATATGTCCCAATGGGATAATGCGGTAGGAACACACTTGTAATTTACTATACATATTTTAGTGTAAAAGATCTCAATAAATCTGATATTATAATAGATGTGGTGTTTCTCTATAATTTCATATAGTCTATTTAGCACTTTCTCTTACAATGTCATCTCATTATTTAGCAATATCCTCTTCTCAATTCCAAGTCGCGCTCAAAATATTTGTCATTTCGAGATTTGACACCTTTTGATCGTCAAAATTTACCACAGTCTTGAAAAATTAATCAACAAAAGGGAAATTTGGAATAGGAATTGGACGTGACTGTTTGAGAATATTAATGACTCAACAAATTCAATCACTGACTCAATTTGACATTCAACTCTGAGTTTTTGATGAATTACGCGTACACTACAGAGAAGAAAAACCATTCACCGAAATCTTACGCGTAATATTGTTGTCCGTTATCTACGAGCATCATCAATCATCAATTCATTAAATCTATTCTAATCTTTCAAACATTACAGATCATAAAGGGCCTTTATAATTCACGGCTGAAACTGCATCGGTCTTAAAAAGTCCAATCATTGTACTTGACTTGTTCATCTTGACACCACTGTTTAATCACCTTCAAACTATAAGCACAAATCTCCTTTAATGAAACACCAGTATTGATTGGTAATTGTATGGAATCACGAGTAGGATCAAGGAAAAAATCAACATCTTTAATCAGTCTATTTCTTTCAGGTTGATTTTCAAAAAATTCAAAAACTGATGGATATTTTCTTTGAATCTTGAAAACTGATAAATATCTTTCACTTTGTATAAATGATCTTTTAGATAATTCTTTATATCTGGAAAAGTTTTTAAAATGATTAACCAAGTTATCATCAATCTTTAATATATCTGCATCAGTTTTAGCCTTCCTTCTCTTAACATTGTTCAGTTGTATAAATTCATCCAATATTTTACAAACATGTTCATAAACAACAGCTTTAATCTGTAAACATAACCCAGCAACATCAACAATACCATTATCAGTACTCAGTTTCAAAGCATGATCAATCAATGATATAAGGCTTAACCATGTCTTATCATTATACAACTTCTTCAGTAACCTTCTCGATTGATCTTCATAATTAAAACCAACCAGATAAATAATGATAGAATCCAAGAAACAAGCTAATGAAAATTTTAAATTTTTAGTTCTTTGCTCATCTCCTCTATGTTTCTTTTCTTTTGCAATCAGTAAATATTCTTCATTCTTGGCCATTAAACTAGTATGATCTAATTTCGAATCTTTAGTTGAATCTTTATGACTAGCACTTGTTGGAGGTGATGGGTCTTTACTTGAAGTCTTAAATATACTAGCCTTTTTGACTTTTTGTTGATGATCATTATTGGACTTCTCTGTAACAACACTTGAGGACTTTTCAGGAACTCGTTTAATTCCCAATCCTATTGGCTTTGAAACCTTCTGTCTCTTGTTCTTATAATATGATGGAATATGTAACGTCAATAACAATGATTTTGAGTTGGTGGTTTCAGTGAGCTTGTACGAATGAACTCCAAAATGCTCAATCTTTTCAAATGATTTCCTCTTGACTGGGGGGTTGGGTATTTTTTCTTCAACTTTAATCTCATTAATTTCTTCACTACTTGCACTATCTTCATCCTCATCATCCTCTATACGTATCTTTCCACTTGGTCTTTGCGGTACTGGTTGTTTGATTGAAGAACCATTGGATTTCTTCTCATTGAAAATGTCTGGTAAAGTTGGTGATAACATTTTGGGTATTTCCAGTTTCAGCTCATCACCTCCATAAACGTTAGGTAAGGTTGGAGATAAAGGTGGTGGTAACGTTTTTGTATCATGGAAATTCTTAGTCAACACTTCTAAACTTTCCCATCCATTTTTATTACCATTATTCTTCTCAAGTACAACAGACGACCCATTATCATCATTCCCTTCTTGTTCTTTGACTTGTGTTTTTTGTTCTGACTTGACATTTCCGTTCCCATTGGCCCTTCTCGAAAGGTATTCAGTCAGATTCTGTGACATTGTACACTATTATCATCAGCTGTACTATGAAAAATGGCCGTTGCAAGCTAAAGTTGATCAATGTAAGGTACTTTAAAGTTCACAAAAAAATTGTTATTGTTTGATTTTGAAAAACTGTTGATAAGGGGACACACACATCGCGAACTTTTTTTTATAGCGTCTTCGCGAAAAAAGGTTGTCTCCCATTTTTTGAGGTTGTGTCCAAAATTACTGTATTCGGCCAAGGTAAAAATCGAGACAACCTCTCGGGCCACACGACTTTCGCCGAGTTTCGTCTGAGAAAAAAAATTACCTAATTAGGTAACCCTGAGATGGGAAGACAACCTCAAAATAGGGTACACAACCTACTAAAAGTTTCAACCACTGTATTTGGCTGATTGTACTGAATTTAGGTGTTGAAATTAGGGCATATATAATTGCGATACCAAATAAGGCATTGCAGGGTTATAATGGATGATTTTTAAAGGTTGGTTCCTTCTTTGTTCCATGTTTACTATTGTATCAAGTGTAATGGAGGTAGGTGACAAAGCTTTGGTCAGGTGTTCGCGAAGAGAGGTTGTACACAATCTGACGTTCCTAAATAGGAAATTCGTAGGGTTGTCCCTTGGTGACTTTTTTCGCGACTTTTTGGGATTCAGAGGTTGTCACAACCTTTCGCACCGAGAACGCTATTAGTACTTTTCATCATCATTCGGATGGTATACTTTAGCAAAACTCTATAATATATATATTGTATTATAAATCAATTCACTTCTGTAACTGTATTAGATTTGGTTTTATTTTATTTCGTTCATTATAACCCTCTTTTGGGCGATTTACTTCATAAGATCAATCTACGGATGTCTCCAATATCATTAAAATGTTCCCAGTAAACAGTCAATCATTTTCTTAGTTCGATCAATCAAAGCTAGACACTACATACAGAATAAATCATAAATTCATAAATTTGAAAACTGATTAAATGTAATTTTTTCACTATTTGATCAACTCTTGGGCTACTAGCTTGAGAATATCTGTAGGCTGTTTGTCCAGATTTTCGATTCTTTTGGAAACTATTGGCCAAACATCACCATGATGAGGTTCAACATCTGAAAATTTCTTTAAAAATGCATCAAACTCCTCTGTAGGTTCATTGTTCTTTATCAAAAAGTTATAATACCAACCCCAAGCATCTCCAAAATCTTCATTTGCTATGATGGCACGCTCGAACCATCTTTTTGCCTTATCAAGCTTACCATCAATCCAAAAATTATACCCAATGATTATCAACACCCTAACATCGTTATTTGTTGCATTCAATGCATCTTGATATAAAGTCTTTCTCAGTGACTTCTTTGTGTTGAAAGTTAAATTAAAACTCCATAAATATGATGAATGGGGAAACTCTTTTAGAGCTTTGGTCAATATCACTTTGATCTGATCAATATTCTTCAATTTCAATTCTAGTTGGAGTTTTTTAAACCACAATTTATCTGATTGTGGATTCTTCAATAATCCCAAATCAAGATCTGAACGTGCCTTGGTACCGTTATCCAATTTGAAGTCTATATCTGATAAATATATCCACAGCTCAACAGAATCTGGAACCGATTTCGTTCCTACTGATAATACATTTCTAGCTTTAACTAAATCACCAGACTCTTCTAAAATTTGAGCCTTTTGCATGTATAGTTTGAAACAACTTGGAAAATTCATTAAGCCATCTTCAATAAGCTCTAATGCTTCATTGGTTGCGTCTGATTGTCTTAAAAAGGTAACATATTTATACCAAATACGTTCATTAGTAACTCTTGCTCTAGCCTCTTTAAACAGCTCACGGACCTGATCATAATTTTGTTCGACACTTTCTAATTTAATCAAAGCCAGCCACATATCAGCATTTGAATCCAAAAACTTAAAAGCCCTTTGCAATATTTGTTTGGCACTGGGTATATCACCATTCTTCCAAACTTCTTTAGAATACATTAACCAAAACAATGGATTCTTCGGTAAAATCTCTATAATATTTTCAAAAATCTTGTAAAGTTCTGAAGCTTCAAAGTTTAGCTTGTATAACTCAATCAGTCTTCTCCATATAGCAGTCTTTTTTGGGAACTTGATAACAATGAAATTCAAAATCGATTTATAAACAAAGATTTGATCTTTATATTTATCAGCCTCTGAAACCAATGATGAATAATCTGGCTCAAGGTCTTGAGATAACAGCTCATTGACAATCAAATCTGTCAACAAAGAGAGTTGTTGGTTCTCAAATTCGATAGCATGTTTATACCATTCATCTTTTGTAAGGTTACACTCTTTGAATGTCTTTTTGATCATTTTTTCAATCTTATCACTTCCAGGATTATTAACAAGTTCCAGCTTGCAGGCAGTTAACCAAATGCTGACATTATTAGGGAGGGCTTTTCTTGCTTTATTCAAAGTGGATTTGGCAATTTCATATGGTTGTAAACTAATCAACTCTAGCCACAACTCTTCATCCTCTGGTGCTAGCTCAGTGGCTTTTTCAGCAATTCTGATCTGATCTTCAACATTTTCCTCAATCTTGATTGACTCTTTCCAAAGCTCTGGGCTTGTGGGTAGACTCTCCAATGCTTTCCTTAGTACCCTTTTCTTATTGAAAACCTCTTGCTCTAGTTCAGTTGCCTTAAGCCATAACTTTAACGACTTGTTATTTAGCTTGACACCTTCAGCTACTATGATTTTAGCATACTTCACGTCTGATCTGTTTAATCTAACATTTTCCAACCAAATCTCTTCATCAAATGGACAATTGGTACAACCTTGCTGGATCAATTTTTTTGCAGCTTCAAAGCTTTTGTTGAATTCTTCTAATCTTGCTCTGGCGATCCAACCTTCAGGTTTCTTTGGATCAGCTTTCGTGAATGAATTCAAAATTGTTTTGATCTTTTTAATTTCTTCATCATTGTTTTGGGACAAATTAGAAATTTCATTCAAATAAGTAGCAGAATCCACACCATCGTCTTCATTGAAATCGAAATTTGAATCAATCTTAGACCCGAGCAATTTCTGTCTTTCAGATGTTAAAGCACTTAAATCAACAGAGCTATCAATGTTGCCACTTGCGTTCAACCCTGATATCAATGAATCTGGAGCTGCATATGATCTTTTTTGTTCTTGTAGAAGCTTTCTGTGTCTTTTGTTTCTCTTGGTAAAATCACCTGCATCTGGCAAGTTGGCCCATTCATCTTCAGTAACGGCCTCCAATTTCTTCTTCAAGTCTGCAAATTGATTAGCAATTTTGGTCAAGTTGTTATCTTCAGCTTTATCTTCACCATCTGGTGACAATCTTCTCTTATTACGATTTTTCAGTCTATTGTCTATATCTTGATATATAGCATCTGCTTCTTCATCATCCTTATTAACTAATGAGTCTCCAAGCAGACCGCTTTCATCAACATCTTGGAAATTATCTTCATCATCAGAACCAATTTGTCGCTGTTGAGGAGGTAATCTGGCATTTCCAACGTCCGCCCTGGTAGTGAAACCAGTGGCACCTCTCCCAATACCAGCGATATAGCCAACAGGGGCCTCCTGGTCAAGAAATGCTTTTCTCTCCATTCAGTTTTTGACAAAATTCTACTTTGTTTTGGATGTTGATAAATTTGGCCCTTGAGTTCTATGCATTTTTTCACCGCCGGCCGAAATAAATTTTGTACTAGAGCGTGGCCCTGTTCAAGAAAGCCACATACAAACAAAATCTACAATTTACGTTTCTCTAATTAAAACCATATTTTATATTATAACAACTCTATAATTATTTTTGAATGAAAACAAATATACCCCAGAAATCAAAACCAGTTGAATGAAAAGAAATGGAAAAGCTTAAATCAGACTTATTCGTCGTCATCATCAGTATCAACTGGTTTTGGAGTACCTTTAGGACTACTCAACCATTCAATATGTCTCAAACGACGACGTTCTTCTCTTAGTTTCTTTTCGTTTCTTGTCATCTTCTTCTTTCTAGTACGAACCTTGATGTTAGCAGGAGAATCATCATCATTACTGGTTTGTGGAACACTTGGGGCTGGTGAGCCATCTTTAGAAACAGCACCTGAGCCACCATCTTCAAAACTAGTACCATCAACAGCAGCAAAACCTTTACGAACCATAGTACCGTTTTCAACAATCCATTGCTCTGGACATAAAGCACCAACGAATTCATTGTTATGTGAAATCATAACAACACCACCAGACCAATCTCTGATGGCAACAGCTAACCCACCTAAAGAGTCTCTATCCAAATAATTGGTAGGTTCATCAAGAACTAATAAGTGAGGGTTGTTCCACATGGCACCTGCAATAACAACTTTAACTAATTGACCACCAGATAAGGAACCCATTGGAGTATGATCAGCAATATCACCATCTAAACCAACATCTTCAAAATGTTTACGGATAACTGATGGAATCAACTGTCTATAACCTAAACCTTCTCTAGAAGCTTCATGATCATCGAATTTTTGAACTAATTTATCAAACCCGTTTTCAATTAATAATTCTTTTGACACCCAACTGTTATATTTAGGTAACCAGAATTTCCACTTAACTTCATATTGGAAAGATTTTTTCAATTTTTGTCTACCAACAATAGCTTCAAGTTGTCTTGGGCCTCTACCATCACCGACATCAATTTCTTTAGCCATTTGTTCTTTTTCTTCTTCGGAAATCTTTCTAGATTCTTTTAATAAAACTTCACGATCATCACCAAATCTATATCTCCATTGCAAATATTGGTTAGCAGTTTTTTCTTTATGCATTTCAACGTGTTGCAAAGCATGTTGAGCAATATAACCAATACGCAAATTTGGATGTTTTTCAACCTTACCTTCATTTGGAATTAATTCAGCAGTCAACAATTTGATCAAAGTAGATTTACCAGCACCATTTGGACCTAAAATAGCAACTCTTGAACTTAAAGATAAAGAACATGAAACATTACTTAATGATGGTTTGGCAGCACCTGGGTAAGCAAAAGTGACATTTGACATTCTAGCAACTGATCTAGTGTTTGACTTGACACCGGTCAAAATACCTGGTGGTGGGAAAGCCATTTTAACATTAGAATCAGTCAAAGTATAGTATGACTTACCCTCTGGTTTGACTTTAACAAATTCTGATAAATTACCTTTGTAATAAGCTAATTTTTTATTTTCATAATGAATGATATCAGTACAAACGGTATCCAAGAAACCAGAATCATGTGAAACAATTAAAGAGGTAATTTCATCATGTGAAACAAGGTAATCTTGTAACCATTTAACGTTACCAACATCCAAATGATTGGTAGGTTCATCCAATAGTAAAACATCAGCTTTCATTAACATGGCTCTGGCCAATTCTAACTTCATCTTCCAACCACCTGACAATGAACCAACATGTTGTTCTCTTCTTTCTTGATCAAATCCAACCTCTTCCAAGGCTTTAGCAATTTCTTCTTTAGAAACTTGAGCCAATTCAGGATCAGATCCAATGAAGCTAACTAAATCCATATCAGCTTCTGAACCTTGCAATTTATGTTCAACAAAACAAGTTCTTAATTCTGATTTGTCTGGGAAACCTTCCAATTGTCCATTGGCAATTGCTCTCATCAATGTAGATTTACCAGCACCATTACGACCACATAAACCATATCTATGACCTTTTAATAATCTCAAGTTGGTCTTATTCAACAACATACGACCACCATAGGCCAAAGAGAAATCAGAGTTAACAATTTCAATACCATCATCTTCATTTGATGCAACAGCATCAGGGGTGAATAAAGCTCTTAATTTGGTGACAGTTTCTTCTGCGATCTTTGAAATTTCAGATTCATCTTCAATATATTGTGGTAATGCTAAGTTCAAATATTCTTTTAATCTATTCCAGTCATTCACATTAGCATCTGCAACTAAAATGGAGATCAAATATTCATAGACAGTTTCATCATTGTTGACAAGATCTGCACTCAAATAGTTTTTACCCTCTTCATGTGGCAATCTACCACTAAATTTACCATCATCAATGGAATCATCTTTCAAAACTTTCAATGCCTTTTCAGCTAATTCTCTAACTTCTGGTAAAGCTGCAGTATCGACAACTTTTTGAACACCTGGCATTAATTGTGGAATGAAACTTTCAATTTCAAACTTATTGTTAACCAATCTAGTTAAATTTTCCACGACAATAACAGTTTGACGCAATTGTTCTTGTGATGATGAGGACAAATTCAATGATCTAACCAAAATTGGAACTAATAATGATAAAGCAGGTTCAGTAACTTCAGCAACAAAAGTAACAGAGGATAAAGATTTAATACAATCTGGAACCTTGTTTGGGTCTGCTAATGTTGAGATAATCATGTCATAACGAGGTTGTAAATCTAAGTTATCCAAGACCTTGACAAAAGTTGACATGGTTTTTAGACCAACTTTAGCTAGTTCCGGTTTGAAATCAACACTGACATCAGTTAGCACTGGAACGGCTTCTTTGAATTTTAATTCAATTAAATCACCTGGAGAATCTTCAACAATCTTGTCAACCAACTTCAAAGCACCAACTTTTGATTGCCATTTAGCTGAGGATTTCAAGTATTTCAAAATTTCAACCAAAACAATAGAAGCTAAAGCTTCGATTGGGTATGATCCATATATGGAATCAATAGCGGCTTGAGATGCTCTTTTAACATTGTTTTCTTTATCAGCTAAACCATCTAATGCAATTGATAAAAATGTCAAAAAGTAGGCTTCTTTTGGTGTTTGACCAGAAAACTTTCTAACAATGGATGATATCATAACAAACCCACCTTCTCTGACTAAAGCAGGGTTTTTTGGCTTTATCAGCTTTGAGATAATTTCTTCAATTTTCCATTCTTCCAAAGAGGAAATACCATTTTCATTGATTGAGTCAACAATAGAGTTGATTTCGGTTTTAACATCACTAATTGTTTTAGCTTCTTTCAATGCTTGTAGATTATTTGTGATAGGAGAAATTTCTAATTTGTCTAATGTTTGGTTTAAAGATGTCAATGAAGTTGTTGATTGTGATGGTGAGTTCAAATTACTGTTCAATGGAGTTGATGAGATTGAGCTTGGAGTGCTATCATATTGACCCTGTTGCTGGAAATTTTGACGAGGAGCTCTGTTTAAACCAGCTGATTGTTGCTGGATATATTGATCATAACCCATTGGTTTTCTTTGGAACCCTTGGTAAGAAGAACCACCTCTACTTCTATCGTTGGAATACTGATTACCACCATATTGTTGCTGTGGGTCAGCACCAGATCCAGGAACAAAAGAGCCTGCGCTATAAGGATTAAACTTTGGAGGCATCTTAGATTATTTAATCTTGTACAACAGCTCTATGTATCTAGTTTAATTATCAAAAGGTGTTCTTAAGTCAGTATATAAATTTTTTTTTTTAGAGTTGAGAAAAGAAATCAGAAAAAAAAAAAAAAAGGCAGTTCCGGTCCAGGTCACGTTTCCAGCTGATTCGGGAAATTCCGGGATTTCGTAAACCAGGTACAATTGATCAATTAACACGGATGTAATCCTTTAATTAAATACAGAAAAAGAGCTAAATATAGATTTATCACACTCTTAATTTGAACAGGAATTGAAAATTTAGCGAAAATTCCCTTATTTAAAAGCTGTTTTAGTTTTTACAACTTTTAATTAGATATTTGAGTTTAAATTAAAATGTTTTACATGGCCAAAATCTGAAATTTGTCAAAAATACTAAGAGACGTCGCACTCTTAGCCCACCCACCACAGACCTGGCCAAGATAGAGCAAGAGGCAGCCAGATACCTGAAGCTCAAACGTTCCCCAATCCACTACTATGATGATGTCAGTTAGTTAGCCAACCCATATGTTGATTGATCAACAATTCTTTTTTCAATTCCTATGCCATTTTTTACTTCCATTTCCAGGTTCATCCGGCATTCATGCTCAGCTCCTTTACGCTAGTGGTTCAGTCACCTTAGAATCAACTAATTAACAAACCATTCGGACTTCATCAAGAACAGTATTAGGAATATCTTGGTGATTTCCACAAATTTTACAATTGCTCCAATTATAACAATGGCCAGCTTTTTTAGTTCATTCTTACTTGTTTTTATTCTGATTTATCCCTTTTATTATAAATCAGTCATAGACTGAGTCCCCAGTGATTCACATATAACGGGCTGATTCATTTTTTTTGAAAAATTCAGGTTTTTTTTGGCTGGGAGTGATTACATAATAAATTCACCGGAATTTTTTTGCTGGGAAAATTTTTGTCTCGCTGGGACATTGAGCCAATCTAGAATGACGTCAATGTCTCCAAAGCGAAAAGACAAGAAGACAATCCAGTCACGGGATCAGTCACGAGACAAGTCACGAGGACGGGCACGTGAGAGCTTAATCGTTTAGAGTTTAGGTCCTAAAATCTAGAATGACGTATTTAAAACGGTTTCAATTTTACGAGAATGTTATTTTTAGATTGATCTAATCTGTATTGTTGGAATCTAGAATTTAGATCCAACTCAAGCTATATAAATATATACTCTATTTATTGGTATAAGCTGTTGTAGAGGGTAACCTTTTGAAAATTGGAAAAAACCAGGAATTGATAGACTTCAAAAACGCGTTTTAAACAAACCTTGCAATTACCACCCACGAGAGCCAAAAACCAACCCAAGCAAAGACATCAGATACTTACCAGCTATAATGTTGTTGAAACTAAGCTAATAATGTTAGTAAACTGGAAAAGAAATGATATCAATCACAACAGAATGTCGTTCTTGAAAGCAAAAAAAAACATACCTAAAAAATCAAGATGAACAACTCAAAAGCTTTGAAACGCAGCCTGTAACCAATGAACCTAAGACCAAATGCAAAACTGTTGACTAGCATCAACCCACAATCAACCCCTACCATCTGTTCCATCATCATTGGCAACTCAATACCCTCTGAACCAAGGAACCCACTCACCATCAAAACATTCCTATTGATATAGTTACTACTTGGCTTATGATCCAACCTCCAGCAGCACTCCTCTAAATCATTCACCCTCATAACCAACAGTATTCCATTCATCACCACCAGAATAACTGCCAACAAGCTCTATGAGTCACCATACCAGCCTCCATTATCAATAGCACACCTGTTATGGTTAGTATTATCTATTCTTATGAATAAGACCACATAGTTATGGAATACTTAGTACAGTTAAAAAA